TATAGATGTCGTATCCAGAATAACACTTCACCTTAACTTCATATAAAGTTATCTAAGCAAAGGTAAGGAATCAACATCAGAATCAGTGGCTTAGCGTAGGTGTCAGCCGCCCGGGGCGGAAGACAATTTTGCCGCCCTTTTATTCAGGTACATATTTCACTTTGATGCATACTATACATTAATTCTAGATTTTTTTTGGCAAAAGCAGTCATCATTATTTTGCATTATATCTACAGGTAAGACTTTAAATAAAAAAGTTTATCTAAGTGTTACAATCGCGTTTATTAATACAAAAAATATTCTATTCCGTTGACCTGTAAACATGAAATTTGACAGGAATCTCGGTAGGTATATCTTACAACACATCTATCTATAGGGAAAAATCTGAAAACCGTAAACATTTGTACAGAACCGTGAGTAAGAGAGTGTAAAACTCGCACTTGGCCGTTTTTTTTATTTTAATAATAATTTATTGCTTATATAAGCTTGAACAACATTTCAGACAGTCCAACATACAATTACATAAATAAAATACATATTTAATACTTACACAGTGTAATTCGGGTACACGGAGCGGAAAAATTCAATTTTTCACAATTTTGAATCACAACTACTACACGTAGGTACTTATTTGCACAAAAATCACAGTTTTAAAGCGTAACATAAATTACGATACGTCAATGTGAAATGGACAACTGACAATCCACCAATAAAACTTTCTTTGAATGGTTAAAGCATCACGTACTTCCCACTGTACATTCTTTACTATTATAAAAACGGGGAATCCCCGCGAGTCAGTATAGACGGTGCCGCCAGTTCAATTGGTCCAAATAATTTGTATTTTTTTTATTTATTTTTTATTGCTTAAATGTGTGGACGAGCTCACAGCCTACCTGGTGTTAAGTGGTTACTGGAGCTCATAGACATCTACAACGTAAATGCGCCACACACCTTGAAATATCGTAGTTACGATAGAAATATGAAATGGTTCAAATATTTTATTATTTATTGTGAAATTTTGCCAACCCCTAGAAAGTGCCGAGCAGGGAGGGCCAAACCTACAATAGACTGGCATACCATAATCATATGCTATTAACAGGGCGTGTTTAGTGCTCACACGGATAGGTACCACAATTTTGACTATTTCTACCGCAAACCAATGTGATACGTTTGTTTAAAGAGTCGAAAAACGGATATAGAACACGAAATTGATGTTTTAGCTTAGGATTTCAAAGAGGGGGACGCCAATTTGACCCGGCCATTTCACATAACTAGAAGTAGGCATACCGGACATCTAATATAACCCTGTAGGCCACAGGCGGCTCAATTGCTATTTAATTATTTTTTAATTAAATTCAATAATTACTATTCTATTTATACTTAACTTTGTCTTAAGTTAAAAAAAAGACTTTTGTATAGATATAAAATGATACTTAAGCATAGTAAAGTATCAAAGCTTATGACAACATGGAAGACCACAGTTCTCTTTGCATATGACAGTGCCTATCCATGGTGTTGTTGGGAAGAGGTGGCTAATAAAATAATAGTTCTAAAAACTAAAAACCACGTTTTTATAGAAAATCCAATAAAAAAATGGAAAATAAATTTATCTATACTAATATTATATTATTATTTTATATATAATTATAAAGAGGAAAGATTTGTTTGTTTGTTTGTACTGAATAGGCTCCGAAACTACTGAACCGATTTAAAAAATTATTTCACTGTTGGAAAGCTACGGTATCCCCGGGTGACATGCTATATTTATTATATTTTCAAAAAAACTAGGGATCCTTACTGAAACTCTAATAATGTAACCGAATGTGTAAAAAAAATACCTAAAATTCGTTACATCGCCCGCGCTACTTCCCAAGCGAAGCCGGGGCGGGCCACTAGTTGTATTATAAAAGCGTGGGGTGCATGATATCAATAGTCATAAATATTTTATTGACAAATATGAGTAGAAGGATTATCATTTTGATAATATCTTAAAAAGCACCCTACGAAATATTGTAATAACATCGGTCCTTGATAAGTATGTCAAATTTCGAGTTAATCCGACATTTTGAAGGGGCACATGTCAAAAGTTTCCGTTACATGCATAAATTCATTGCACTTACCACTATTTTCTCTGCACTACATTTTGTTGACTGGTAGATAATGCCTTAGGCATGAAGTCCGCCAATGTAAATTTTATATGAAGTGTAAATTACACTTACATATTTATTTATATATTACACTGTGTAATACATACTAACATAAGTATGTAGCTAATAAGACCGTGTTAAAAACAACATCACATGCCATATGTAGCAACTTACTATTACTGGTGGCAGGACGTCTTGTGAGTCCGCGCGGGTAGGTACCACCACCCTGTCTATTTCTGCCGTGAAGCAGTAATGCGTTTCGGTTTGAAGGGTGGGGCAGCCGTTGTAACTATACTGAGACCTTAGAACTTATATCTCAAGGTGGGTGGCGCATTTACGTTATAGATGTCTATGGGCTGCAGCAACCACTTAACACCAGGTGGGCTGTGAGCTCGTCCACCCATCTAAGCAATAAAAAAAACAATTCAATTGTATTCTGTATTTATTCTGCTGGTCTGCGCATTGGCAGTTCATGCAGGTAGTTGTCTCAAATATTAAGTGTATTATCTATGGCCACCATACTGCCTATAGACCAGTGTCGATAATTTTTAAAACCAAAAAAAATAATGGTAGGATGAAACCCATTACAAACGTTCATTATAAATAATTGGTACCCGCCTGCGGGATTCGAACACCGGTGCATCGCTTCAACACGAATTCATATATATCATATATTCAATAATAAAATAAAATAAAAATAAAATAAAATTCACCGGACGTCTTATCTTTTTAGGCCACGACGACATAATTGAATCTATTTTGAAGTTTAATCATGAATATTTGTAATGAAAACTTCATTTGCGCCATAATTGGCAGCCAAATTTCGTTAATTTTGGCTAAGGTCATTAATATCGACGTTCTATAAGTTTCAACTGATCAACGCGCTTGATGTCTTTAGGTATTATAAAATGATAATACGTTTTGCCAATTTCACTGTGTTGTTTTTATAATATGAGTTTAAATGGCTTCATAAATAGCACTAATAATATTATAACCATAAAGGTGTGAGTTTGGTTTAAAATTATACTTTGGGAAACCAAGTCAATTCACGGTCGAATTTATAATTCGACAATTCAGACAAATCTTTAAAAAAGTACTGCTTTTTTTTCCTACCTAAGCTGGTAGCCTGGAGCGGCTATTCCAGCGTAACCGTAACTAGTAGGTGAGCTCACGGGGCTCAAACCTGACGACGATGCTAACACGAACCCTAGCAAGAGTCGTGCTTCGCAGAATCTACCACCGGATCGGAAACGCGACCCACTGAGAAGATCCGGCGAGAAACTCAGTGGGCTGTGTCTGAGAGTAAAGTACTGCAGTATCGTGCGCTGCTAGGGGCCGCTTGAAGTTTTTAATCAAGATCTTGTAATTATAGCGCTTGGGTAAAACAAAAAAAAAAAAAAAACAAAAAAAATGAGTTAATTTTGTTCAAAAATATGTAATCTGTTGGAAAAGGAGAATGTACTTCGATTCTTTTTAAATGACGAACGTACTTTGACCATGCAGGTTGCAACTATGTATAATAAAAATAACAAAATAGTTTTTCCAATGTATATATAATGTAGTCACGTTTATACTCTTAAGTCTGCACCATTTAATAAAACGTTACTTGTCTTTGATATATTAATAATCATGTATATTACTAATATATCACCTATTTGAGAATAAGGTGTGCTTCACCTAAATTAAGTTTAAGTAATTCATATAGTGATAATAAATGAGTTAATGATAAACCAAAAAAAAAGATCACGAAAATATTCAAGGTGTAGATAGAATACGCTCTAAAATCTTCTATCTTGCAAACACAATTGTTTACGCTTTCTGTATAGGTGAGCTTTTTATAGACAATTATGCTTACGTAAGCCTTAATAGTAACTATAGCGTAAACATGGGACCACATACCATTACTCTTTTACGTGAATGTTAATGTAAAACTTGTAATTAAAATATTTTATGTTTATAGAAAGAAACAGTCGATCACACTTAAATTCTTGATATCATTTTTTAAATATTTTGACAGTGGTATCCTTAGGTTTCGTCATATTCGTACATTTTAGTTACTATCTGAAAAACGAAGACTGGTTCTAAAAAAAAAGATTATTTCCGGAACCATCGATATAAAATCAAGTAAGGATAGACGAAACCTTATTTATCTATTCCGTGATTCTCAACCACTGTTCCGCGGCACTTTTGTGTGCCGCTAAATTTCAAAAGTGTGCCGCCAAATTTTGCGAATACATATATAATAATGTTAATATTATTAAATTATATCATTTTAAAAGAAAAATATTTTAAGCATGAATATACATTTAAATCCACAAAAAAAAAATTATAGTATATTTTAGTTTATTTCGTATATTAAATTTTTTTGATAAACTATTTATGCAGTGTGTTGTAATAAGTAAATAATTATTTTTATCTTTTTTTTTTGTGTGCCGCCAAATTTTGAAATCGTTAAATATGTGCCGCAACAAAAAAAAAAGGTTGAGAATCACTGTTCTAGACTATATATTGCATTTCGGATAAACGTTATACATATAACCAATACCTGGCGAATAGTAGATATATCTCTAAAAATTCAACACTTTAAGAGGCTATAAAATGTTATCATATTTTAGCGGGCTCAACAGAATGCTCGCAAGCGAACCGAAAATTAAATCGTTATTAGTTTTATCGTCATGTCAAAAAGTAAGCGACGAGAATGCTTAGAAGTTTAATTATTATTTTTTAAGCAAACACACTAAAAGCTTTCATTGATTTGTCTGATTCATAGTTTAGAGATTTACAAGTACCTACGTTTGTAATATTATCAAATGCTTTTAATTTTGCACTTGAATAACAAATGTTTCACCATACCTCTAGTTCTTCCAAAAACTCAATCTCTTCTGGATCCCTCATGGAGTCCTCGTTTGTTAGTATCCTACCATTTTCACTGACACCCCCTGTTAAATTCACGTCTTTCAACACATCACCGTCCACTTTTAAATCCTTCATCAAGTGATATGCACTGGTGCTGTGCCCGAATTTTTGCATCGCTTGCAAAATAGACTTCCCTTTGTACATTTGAAGGGTGTTCACCCCGCCCGGGTGGTCGCGCAAGAACTTTTGCAAGTCGTAACATTCCTCCTTGAATTTTACCGGGAAAATTTCGCGGGCCATGATGCGGGCAGGAGCGACGACCAACTCCGCATCGACATGCGGTATGACTGAAAAAAAACGTTATCAGCAAACGTTCGTGTCATACCACAGATGTTTCGTTTACTATTGGCTTGTACACTACGTTTCACGGACGCAGCCCGCTACCTTGACAATTAGTTTAGCACTCTGAGTTAATGTGAAAGAAATTAGAACGCCTAATTGATAGAAGTGAGTAGGCACAGCGACGAGAATGCTGCTCGGCGGATACCTACCACATCACAAATTGAAAGCGTTCGCAATAATAACACAAGCTCCAGACTGGCATTTACGCACTGATACGTTTTGGCACTCATTCAAGTTCACGTTCAATGAAACAAAATGGGTAATGAATGATTTAATATAATAATCCTGCAGCTTTCGTTGATTATATGCTTCCGTCTTAATCAAAATATATAAGAATCATTTATTAACATTACGCATTTATGGATAAATAATTAAAACGATTTCCATGCACGCGATTTCTGTCAATTCTTTTTTATGATTTCAATTCTTCTTTATATTCGTTTTAGGGTGAATATAAAAATGATAATATAAATTTGGCTATGTGGTGTCAATATACGAATAGAACAGCACACTTACCTTACATCACAATAGCCTTTGCATTAGATGTCTTCAGCTCTAACACTAGGAGCAGGTTTAGGGACCCCAAGCACCGGTCACCGTCCTTGCCGAATCCGTCGCTTGCGACGAAGGGCTCAACGAGTAATTTAACCCAAAGACACAACGCACTAAGTTTCTCGCCAGATCTTCTCAGTGGCTCGCGTTTCCGATCCGGTGGTAGATTCTGCGAAGCACCGCTCTTGCTAGGATCAGTGTTAGCAACACTTCCAGTTGGAGCCCTGTGATCTCACCTACACACGTTAGGGTGAAGCTGAAATAGCCTCTCAAGGCTATCAGCATAGGTAGGAAAAAAAGTTATAAAAAAGCATGTGTAAACAGTGCAGTGCACATTAGCATCCTTGGCCTTTGCAGTAAGTACACCGTACCTAGTAATAAAAAAACCATGTGTGATCGATGCACTGCACATTAGCGTCCTTGTCCTTCTGTGTATATTTAATAAGCACACAATTTATTTGAGATCGATACGAGTCCAACAGCCTTGAACGGATCGAAATAATTAGCAGCTTAGCGACCGCAAAGCTTCATTTGTTGTATGCTGGTGAGTAGCAGGCTTTGCGATGTATTTGCAGTACTGCAACTTTATGTACGCATCACCGAAAAGAATAACTCCTGGAATTTCATGTCATGAAAATCATGTCATTAATACGCTTTTATTTAATTCGCTTTTATTACCTTTAGACGTATGTATGTTTGTAACGGAATCTTTGAACATGATTTTGACCCCCTCAAAACGTCAGATTAACTTGAAATTTTGTATACTTATTAAGAACCGATGACAATTCAATATAAAAAAATATTGAAATAATTGAAATTCAACTAAAAAATGAAAAATAAATAATAGTTTAAAAAAACTAACAAATTACGCTTTTATAGAAAATCCAACTAAAAAATAGAAAATAAAATTTAATAAATTTGAATTAAAAATAGTGTAAGAAAAAATGGTTTTATTGTAAAAAAAAGCGTGGGGTGCTTTTCAGGATATTATCAAAATAACCCTTCTACTCATATCTATCTGTTCATAAAATATATTTTTTTCCTACCTATGCTGATAGCCTTGAGAGGCTATTTCAGCTTCACCCTAACGTGTGTAGGTGAGCTCACGGGGCTGAACCCGGAGTGTTGCTAACACTGACCCTAGCAAGAGTAGTGCTTCGCAGAATCTACCACCGGATCGGAAACGTGACCCACTGAGAAGATCCGGCGAGAAACTCAGTGAGCTGTGTCTATGGGTTAATTCGCTGGTCGAGACCTTCGTCGCAAGCGACGGGTTCGACGAGGACGGTGACCGGTGCTTGTAGTGCCCAAAAGCACCGTTAATGGATCGGGAGGATCCGTAATGACGTGCTCGCGTCGACTGTTTACCATTCGGTCTACAGGATCGGGTATGTAGTTTCCAGCGGCCACGACAAGAGTGTTCATGTCGTGCCGCCTTCTCGAAATAGTGCAATGATGCCGACTGTAAAGACCTAATTACTGACAAAGTTAAATATTTATAAGTACTGATACCATGCACCCCACGCTTTATTTACAATAAAATCATTTATTCGTACACTATTTTTAATTCAAATTTATTAAAATTTATTTTCTATTTTTTAGTTGGATTTTCTATAAAACGAAATATCGTTAGTTTTTTTTAAAAGATTATTTATTTTCAAGTGTAGTTTTGCCGATTCCATGTTGCGAAAATACATAATATTATAGCAATCGACAAGATCATAACCTGTTAAAATCAATTTGAAGCGCCTGTTAAAATCAATTTGAAAAGGATTTTTAATTTTGTTTTTTATTATTATAGTGTCGTGGCGTGCAACCTCTTTGACAGGACATAAGACCTACAACGACTAGACATAGACACAGACTAAGACAGAGACTTGACAAGAATTCGAAAAGAAATGGAACGAGGGTGTACGTGACCAGCGGCAAGCAGCATAGATTATACACTTAATATAGCAGGCAGTACATTTTTTGACTTCTTAAAAAACGGACACAAAGACGACAAGGAACGAACCGACCGTTCTCATATACATATAAAAATAGTCGACAAAAGAACGAATCGACCGTTCAACTGATCCTTCGACCGTTCATATAGAAACAGGTGTCCTGCTATGGAAGAACCCAAGTGTTATCATTAGGGCATCAGCGCGTCGTGAATGTGTACATACACAGTTCCCGCACCCCTATAATTCCACATAGGCTGGCAACGGCCGGATATCAAGACCAAGCTTCGCAAACCACACTTCCTTATTAGAAAGTAATGTAATATAGAGAAAAAGAGTAAAGGAGGAAAGGAGAGAAGTCTAATATGCAATTCAGATATTAGGATCAAGGGCCACAGCAACGTTCTTGCGTAGAATGCTGCGTATGAGCTCCCACTCCAACAAGTTGGCAAGTCCCAACGACTTCTCTGCACTGCACTGTGGCTACGCTGGCTGGTTTTTTTTTGCCCTTATAGGCAGACTAGCATACGGCACATCTGATGGTGAATTGCTACCGCCGTGAACTTCAGCAATGCCAGGGGCAAGCCGCTGCGTACCTTTTTTGTCCTATCGTACTAAGTTCTGTGAGCTATTTGTGGGCACACATATAGCTACCACCACCCTAGCTATATCGGTGCATCGTTCAACACGAATGCACCAGAGGTCTTATTCTTTAAGCCACGACGACTTACAGACTGTATTTCGGCTCCGGTAATCATAACACCAACACGACCATGAGCGGTTACTGCTCTAATAGGTCATGAACCTTTGAACAGAATTTTATAATAATATGCCATAGGTATCGCTAACAGTCCTCTGTGCAGAGGTAGTACAGATAAGACGTCAACGCTCACGTCCTACTAAAATACAATAGAGTTGCCGAATATTGCCAAAATAACTTGGCACCCCGAGATCATCGACATCAGATTTCTATTGGAACTTTTCTGGGAGAAGTTGTCGTGAGTGAAACCCTCACCTACATACAGAAATGGGATGTGGAGTCGCCGACACCAGTCTACTCTTATCATGTTGGCACTGATGCAGCATTCAGGTTCAGGCTTTAGTCTCAACTCACTGAATACTTTCAGCAACACTGATAATGCTCTGTCCGCCACTAACATTACTAATTGTAGGATGTAATAATGTATGCCCACTGCTGTGCCTCGATCTGAAATCAGGGCAACCCTATTGCAATACGTAGTATCGAGGCTTCCAGTTTATGAATCTTAATGAGCGATAACATTCAGCTTTTTTTTTCCTACCTATTCTAGTAACCTCGATGAATTATTCTAGATTAGAATTAGTAGGTGAGGTCCCGGGGCTCAAATCCGACGATGTTGCTAACACGAACCCCAGCCAGAGCCGTGCTTCGCAGAATCTACTACCGGATCGAAAACGCGACCCACTAAGAAGGTCGGGCGAGAAACTCAGTGAGCTGTGTCTGAGGGTTAAGTTACTCGTCGAGCCCTTCGTCGCAAGCGACGGGTTCGACGAGAACGATGACCGGTGCATGAGGTACCTAAAAGCACCGTTAGTGGATCGGGAGGATCGGAAATGACGTGTTTTGGGCGACGTCGACTGCTTTCCATTCTGTCCGCAGGATCGCGAATGTATAATAGTTACCGGCGGCTACGATGAGAGGGTTCTCGTGTCGTGCCGCTTTATCGAAGTGGCGCATTGATGCGGACTGTAGATACTTACTGATGGACTCTAAGTCCAGGACATCGTGGAGGTCGATGTTCCAGACAAATCACGGGGCTCCGACGGCTATCCTACAAACATTCAGCAAAAACCTCTTATTGACTTTTAAAAAATATTTTCTGCAAACTAAAACACAAGGTATTTTTATAATAAAAAACAAGTATATTTTTTAAACTTCATTTAATTCCAATTTAAGCAAATATTATGAGTATTTCATTCTACTATTCCTCTCTATTCAAGTGAGAAATATCATTATCTGTTATTCATTTATTTCATGTAATAGATTTTGTTTTAGATTCAATGAAAAGTATTCAACTGGTGTAAAATTAAATCTATAATTATCACATTCTTCAATATTGTTTAAAGTCAAGATACAAGCTGATGTGTACTGTTTTTTTTTCTTTAATTCATATAATTGTGACATTGAAATTTGTGAATGATTCTCTAAAAGTTTAAATAATTTTTTATCATCGAAATATTTAAATGGGCAACCTCCTTCAGCACAATTGTCCATACTCTGTATCCTATGACAATTGACTGAAACATAATTCTTTCGGGCACCTTCCAAGCCATACATATGCCTAATACCATACACAATTTTTTTCTCATCTTGTTCCCAACTATGACTACATCTGTGATTGCCATCGGGACTCTGAGTATACTCTGCTTTCCAGAATTCTATCGCTTCTTGAACAGGCATTCCAATACTTTTCAAGAATAGAGTATAATAAAACCTCTGTGAATGGGATAGTCTGTGCTTTTGTCTTAAAGTTTGATGAAGATTCAACATACACAGTGGGAAATATTTTGATACATTATCAACATCCTTACAAAGTAATATATTACTTTGATTAAGTAATGACGATATAAATTCTTTGTCCAATCTATTAACTAAATTATTTATTCGTGGGTCAACACCAACCCGTCTAATATTTGTTTTCAATTTGTAGTTCATATATTCTTCAAATAAAGACACCAAATACTGTTTCCATTTACTACATGGTACTAAAGCTACGCCATTTGATAACTCAACTTGTCTATTAGCTACAAACGACAAGCATTGCTTGAAAGGTATATTAATTTTATGTTCACAACATTTTTTGGCATGTGTAAGTATGTGCTTTGCCATATGCTTGAGAACTAAATGTTGGCATAAGATCTCCAAAGAATTAACAAATGACAGCTCAGTAACAATTTTTTTGATGGTTTTTAGTAATTTCTTAGCAAAACATCTTAACTCGTAAGTCGAAAATAAGTTGGTCCGAAGACGAAATAACTCTGTTTCTGTTTTTGTTAAAAACATTAAGAATTCTCTGTTGCCATTTAATATAGCGACTATACAAAGCGTAAAGTGTCCCACGTTGTCGTAAAGGCTGTCTTCAATCAGGTACTCATTATAAGTAATATTTTCACCCTTTAATACCAATTTTAAATATTCTAATCGTTGAACCACAATAACTTCTAATAAATGTACTGGTATCTCTCCTTTTACTGGGGTCATATAAAATATAGACATCGTTACAAGCTTGCACTTACATTACATAGTTCGATTAATGATCATAATGTGCTTATACATAAATATTAATCCTATTCCATTTCAGTGAAAACTTAGTTAAAATGTTTTCTTTGCTTTACTTTACTAGTATATAAATAAAGTAATAGATGTTAATTTAAAAAATGTTTTTTTTTATCAAGTTCTTTTATTAGGTACTGTGCAGTGGGCATTTAATTTAATATCTTTATAATCAAAAATAAGCTCATTAAGTTTATGAAATAAGTCGGTACATTTTTGGTTGAATGTTCAATCAAATGTCAAATCCATAGAGTCAAATCAATGAAAGTCAAAGGAAAAAGTAAGCACAGACAACATAAAAATTTGAAGTAAAATTGTGGCCATATTCCATAGACCTTTTTCTTTTTTGGTACAATTTTTCCTTATTAGGAAAGGCAAGAGGATCTAAACCCATACACCCTTGTCTGTTCTTTCATACTTCAGTGCCATATTCCCACTGTGCTATAACTATTTAGGCTATAAGACCAAAAACAAACACGCACTCAAGTCATATAGACTGACAGATAATATGACATTTTGATGTACGGTACGATTTTCTGCAGTTGATACCATAGTTCGAATACAGGAGCATTGCTTTTTTTTTCCTACCGAAGCTGATAGCCTTGAGAGGCTATATCAGCGTAACCTTAACTAGTAGGTGAGCTCACGGGGCTCAAACCTAACGAAGTTGCTAATATGAACCCTAGCAAGAGCCGTGCTTCGCAAAATCTACCACCAGATCGGAAAAGCGACCCACTGAAAAGATCCGGCGAGAAACTCAGTGGGTTGTGTCTGAGGGTTAATTTACTCGTCGAGCCCTTCGTCGCAAGCGACGGGTTCGACGAGAACAGTGACCGGTGCTTGAGGTACCTAAAAGCACCGTTAGTGGATCGGGAGGATCCGAGATGACGTGTTTGGGGCGACGTCGACTGCTTTCCATTTCTTTCCGCAGAATCACTGGTGGTAGGACCTCTTGTGAGTCCGCACGGGTAGGTACCACCACCCCGCCTATTTCTGCCGTGAAGCAGTAATGCGTTTCGGTTTGAAGGGTGGGGCAGCCGTTATAACTATACTGAGACCTTAGAACTTATATCTCAAGGTGGGTGGCGCATTTACATTGTAGATGTCTATGGGCTCCAGTAACCACTTAACACCAGGAGGGCTGTGAGCTCGTCCACCCCTCTAAGCAATAAAAAAATAAAAATAAATCGGGAATGTTGTTACCGGCGGCCACGATGAGAGGGTTCTCGTGTCGTGCCGCTTTATCGAAGTGGAGAGCATTGCACGAAGGAAATCAAGCTCCTGGAATGGCAAGGACTCGACATCAATATAAGCGGCGAATACATCACACATCTTTGATTTGCTGACGATATAGCAGTCATAGCTGAGTCGCTGGAAGATTTGGGGCAGATGCTCGGTGACCTCCATTGGACCACCGGAAATGACCACCATTTTACTGAGATTATATTTCATCCCATATCATCTCAATTAATTTCATTTAATTTCATCCCAGTTGATTAGTGTTTCAAATTAATCATCTTCATTTCATTTCACTCCATAATATCACTTTACATAAAAATATGAGTAATATAAATTAAAATTCGACTTGACTTAAAGGTCTCAGTTACCAGGTCATAAAATCTCCTAAAAAAAAATACACTTGATAATATTCAGTGTCTAAATTGTGTTATCTGTGTCAGTGTCTAATAGATGTGAGAATTGTGATGTTTGTTTTTAAAAAAAGTACTATTGAAATCAGTGTAATTAAATGAAGTGATTCAGTTTAATAAATGTTTTTGTTTTTCTTTTAAAACTTTAATAGTGTACTAATTGCAGTGTTAGTTTTAGTTCTGACCTTATTCAGAAGTGGGTTGCTCTTTTGTGTACATACTTATGTCGTGATTTCATAAATAGAATAGGCATTACATGTCGGGGACGCGTACAAAAATAACATTGGTTTGTCGCATCAAGTTCGGGATTTCAACCACGCCATGGTACTGAAAATGAAGTTCCTACACATAATCTTGCTTGTGCTTGGTGAGTATCTAATTAATAAAGGATGTAAGTTTGTTTTTGTATATTTCAAATTTCGATTTCGAAACATTTGAGAGAAGCAGAATTTACGCAGTTGCCGATTTCGTATCATTTATTCTACAAAAGGAGCTTCATTCAAACATGTTTCTGATACCTAAACAAGTATGCATATTTCACTGATCTTGTGTTCACAACATCTACATCCATCATGTTCTGAAACCACTAAAACTTACCATGAAACGTTTAGTTTTAAGCAACCAAAAATATTTGATTTGACAGATTCTAAATGAGTCTTAATGAGAATGTAAGATTGCTTTCCAATGACGGTTGTCAACAGGTTAATAATAATTATTCACACCCAAGCTCCATACTATAGGTACATGTGCAACTCTCTTCTTTCTCTTCTTCTAGAGATAAACAAGTTCCTCAAATAATTCATAAAACATGACAGTTTAAACAATAAATAGGTTATTTGTTGAAATAACCGGTTATTTTTATAGGTATGTTCAAAGCTAAAACAGTATTTTTGAAAAGAAAAAATGTACAATCTAATATGTATTTTCATAAAATTAGTTTTCGTAAATAACTTATATTCATTGTCCTGTATTATGTGTGTGTAAATTTTATGACATCTATCAGGAATTTATTCTCTCATATTACAGTTTGAAGTATTTTCAGATAATTATAATACCTGGATTAGAGAGAATAGTATTTCAGAAATTTATTTCTACTGCAAAGTAGTCATGTGTTTTATTTTGCAGTTGTTATTAAATTCAATTATGACTTCAATAATATTGTTATACAGTTAATGATATTTTAAATGATAAATCACTATGTTAATTTTAAATTTGCTTCTTTCTGTTGTTTGTTTTCATTTTATGACATAAATAACTAATTCTTATTCAATTAGTTTATTTTATTGTTTGATATTTTAATTAATTAATATATTAACTGGCTGCAGTTAATTTAAATTAATTTGAATAATATTTGCACACCAACCTGGTGGAAACACGCTGTTCTATAAAATAACTATCAACAACTTTGTAAACAGTGCTTTAGCTAATAATGTTTGATTTTATTCAACCACATGTCAAAAGGTGGGTGGATGTGTTCATGCATGCTATGTGTATGTGGGTGTTGTGATGGATAAGGGCTCCAGTTAGCACTTAAGATAAGATATGCCAGAGCTTGTTCACCCTTACAAGCAAACAAGATTAAATGAAACTATGATAAAAATGATGTTATCAAATTGTTTAGTTTAATACTTACTATTTTTTTCAACACTGGGGAGTCCGTTTACTGATACTCGGTCGAGGGTGGTAACAGACTGGGCTATGTCAGCGCCTCCAGAGAAGAAGAGGGATTATTAAATACGAATTATTCACTACTACCACCTACACTTTCTAAGAAAAAATAAGTGACTTAGATTTTACAGTTCAATCATTTGTACTGATTTAAATAGACATGGAAATGAAAAAAATCAGTAAAATTTACTTTCCTTATAATCCAAAAGAGGAACCAATTAGTCAGATTTGCAGAGAAAATCTCCTGCTGTCCGTGATTCAAGGTTTGACTTCATTTCGTGATTACATAAAAGAGATATTTATGACCTATTACTTTAGGATATTGTGGTATTAGTATGTTGTCATCAATATGGTGATGAACCTGGAAAATGGATGGAACCATTTAATGGTTATTAGTAATATGATATAATTATAAACCAAACAATTACGAAATTCAAATTTATTATTTCAACCTAAATGCCATCAAAACATACTTGTTGAATATCAAAACACGTTATCTCTACCACTGGTTATAAATAAATCATTATACTTCGACAAACAAACACTGCAACCTAGTCTTTTTTTTATAGCTGTTACTTGTTTTGTATTTGAGGTCTTATTTGCTTTTAAAGTAACTTATAGATTTTTAAATAAAAAATTATAAAAAGGTAATCAAATAGAACAGTTTCGAGCTCCTTCTCGCGTTATGCTATCTGTCAGTTAAACATTAATTTGAAACACTACCCAAGAAAGGTTTTTATATTAGATATAGATATTTTATTTACAACTAAAATAAATATATATTGCTTTTAGTTTTTTTTTTTCAGTTTTCATAGACTTATGTCTACTTTAAATTACTTTTGCCATGTAATCTCGCATTTTTAACAGCCATTATATTATTTTCGACAGATGACTCAGTTGTCAAAATTATATTGAATACCTAGTTAAGTAAAGTAACCCAATGAAATCTATGTGATTATGAAAATACAAATGTAATTGCGTATATATTTTAGGGCATAATTTTTAAAACTTGTCAATTTACGAAAGTTAATTCTTTCGTCAAATATAGTTCAAGTTTTATTGCAAAAATCAATTAACCTCCCACTGAATTATGATGCATTTTGAGTTTCATGGTTTGATCTGAATATTTTTTAGTAATAAATACCATCATGTTCGAGTTTTGTCTAAAATCTGAACATAAAAAGGCCACTGGCGTTTTATTTTACAACTAGCGACCCGCCCTCGCTTCGCTTCGGAAACATTAAAATACACATGAAACCAAAAATATAAAAAAAAAAAAAATATTAAAAAAAGTAGCCTATGTTCATCAGGAACAATGTCGGCTTCTAATGGAAAAAGAATTTTTCTAATCGATCCAGTAATTTCGGAGCCTATTCGAAACAAACAAACAAACAAATCTTTCCTCTTTATAATATTAGTATAGATATCAAACTAATGGTCGTCACACAATGCTATCATTACTTTATTGTCCAACCAAACTAGCTTGATGTCATTACTCTAGTGACGTCCTAATGTCGTCAACACGTGACAAGGTGAAGTGAGGAATGAAAGCCTTCATGATTATTCGTGTTTTCTAGGTATGCATGCAATAACACTAGCAGCTCCGCCATCACAAGAAAACCTCCCACCGAGGCCGAAAGAAGGCGGAGTAACCACCAGATACTGCGAATTCTACAATAGCTCCACTCCTAGCTGTAATCCTGCAACGAACTCTTCATGCGTACCTGAAACAATTATAGAGGAATGCCATCCATTCGAAGCGGAAAAAACTGTACACTGCTTTGTATTGTGGCAGTTTGATAACGAAATGTACACCGCATATCCTAAAATCAAAGGGTGTTTCGTCGATACAGTCTCGTGTAAAGACAGAGCATCCAACTGCATCCTCCACAATACGCTACTGCCACTTCTACACTGCTGTTGCGAAGGAGACATGTGCAACAAAAATCTTACGTTCCCCAATCCGAAATCATTTATGACACAAACAGATAATCCCAAAGAACACAGTACCGTCGCCTCCCCAATTCCCGCTGCAATGCCGGACGTCATCGCGTACACGCTGACACCATTGTTCCTGCTATTCGCTGTGTTAGTCGGATGCTACCTGTTATACAGGAAACGTAAAGGCAGCTCTTTTGCTGAACTAGCCAGCGGCGAGAATTCTCTGTCCAGGCCTCCGTCGGCGGGCGGCGGTATGGAAAATGAATCCGGCGTGCTAGTCACTCAGGTGGCGCTCTGTGAAGTGAGAGCCCGCGGGAGATTTGGAGCGGTTTGGCGAGCGAGACTAGGACAAAAGGACGTGGCGGTTAAAGTGTTTCCCCTACAGGACAAGCAGTCGTGGTTAGCCGAGCAAGAGGTGTTCCGACTGCCCAGGATGGATCATCCCGACATTTTGCAGTACATCGGCGTTGATAAAACTGGCGATAATCTACAGGCAGAATATTGGCTCATCACAGCTTATCATGAGAAGGTAAATATTTTCGTATTAATTACTAATGACGATCGATGGTAGGCTGTTTTTACGTATAAACTGATAACCTTACATTCGTAAATAGATCTTGTGTATTATTTCACAGAGAAATACAGAACTGATAAGATAATGCCAAGCATTGTGAAATGTATTTTTTTTTAGAAATATTCTAATTTTGATAATCCGTCATTATCATACGTTTCCTGTAAATGAACCAACGCATTTGTTACTTGCTAATAATACTGTAATGCATTGATAGTTTTGTGTTTTATTTTGTATTTACTATAGTAGGGCAGAGCGTGTACAAATTACAAAATTTGGCTAAATCATACTACTGTCGTATTTTCAGGGCTCCCTGTGCGACTACCTGAAAGCTAACACGCTAACTTGGGCTAAAGCGTGGCGTATAGCAGCTTGCGTAGCTCGGGGCCTGTCCCACCTACACGAAGAAGGCGGTGGCAAACCCGCAATAGCGCACAGGGACTTTAAATCCAAAAACGTACTGTTGAAAGCGGATTTGAGCGCGTGCATCGCTGATTTCGGCCTAGCTTTGATATTCGTGCCGGCAAGAGGTTGTGGGGACGCTCACGGCCAGGTCGGAACAAGACGGTACATGGCTCCGGAGGTCCTGGACGGAGCTATCAACTTTACTAAAGACGCCTTCTTGAGGATTGACATGTACGCGTGCGCGCTGGTGCTATGGGAAATAGCTTCGAGGTATGTAGCCTGTGATATTTTGTGAAACATGTATTTGATTCGAAAATGCATTTGTAACCGCTTCGGTTGATGATTTAAACTCATTAAATGGCTAATTGGAAATTAAAAAACAATTAAAATACTGTTTCCTAAATTTTTTTTGTGCAATCGTTTTTTAATACTGGTTTAATAATAGTTTTTACTGATGGTACGACCTTTTGGGACTCCGTACGGGTAGGTACCACCAGCCTGCCTATTTCTGCCGTGAAGCAGTAATGCGTTTCGGTTTCAAGGGTGGGGCAGCTGTTGTACTGTAAAAAGTGAGACCTTAGAACTTATATCTCAAAGTAGATGGCGACATTTACGTTGTAGATGTCTATGGGCTGCGGTAACCACTTTTTTTTATTGCTTAGATGGGTGGACGAGCTCACAGCCCACCTGGTTTTAAGTGGTTACTGGAGCCCATAGACATATACAACGTAAATGCGCCACACACCTTGAGATACAAGTTCTAAAGTCTCAAGTATAGTTAAACGGCTGCCCCACCCTTCAAACCGAAACGCATTACTGCTTCACGGCAGAAATAGACAGGGTGGTGGTACCTACCCGCGCGGACAGCCCCCACTTAACAGCAAATGGGTCATGAGCTTATCAACCCATCTAAGCAATAAAACAAATAATGGAGGGAGGGGTCTTTATTCTATCAAAAGATATGTATGTACAGTCAAACCTGGGTAAGTGAGAACTGGATAAGTAAGAAAACTCTATAAGTGAGAGTAATAGCAAGGACCCGTCATTTTAAGCTCCCAAAACCTCTATTAGCGAGAAACAGAAACCTCTGTAAGAGAGAGTCGTTTTTTCCTCATGGACCTCCGTAAGTGAGACTGCTACCTATCTATACCTCTATAAGCGACAGCCGAGCNTAATTATTTTTCTTTATACTGTCAACACTGAATTTAATCTGACTGACTGACACTTCGCTTGCTGCTTGTGGTGTTGTGCTTGCGTACAAAATGGATGTGTTTTGATTTTTCTTCGATTTATTTTACTTTTATCAATAACGTTTCATACTACGACTAAAAAACATTGTGTGAATTGTGGTTTTACCCTGACCGAGATTTAAAACCTTGTATATGCTCTCCTTTGCTATTTTTAGATGATACTAATTGTGTATGAAGATGAAGAAAATATAGATATTTAAAGAATTAAGTGTGTTTTTATACCCTATTGGATAAAAATACATTAGGAACATCTTAAACATTAAGAAAAGAAAAGTTCTTGAAATATCTCACAATCCGACACTTATTTATATAGAAAATTAACCTCAAAACGAGTTTTTATTTTTATTATATTTTTTATAATAGTGGCGTCAATTTCAATATATTTTTTAGATATCCAATACATTTAAGAATTTGAATCAGTACATTTTTATAGTAATATTTGATGTCCATCTTGGGCCTAGCACAGTGGAGAGTGGGCATGGCCCTTTAATGTTAATGTATTGCTAACAATCTGCCAATCATGAAGTCGTCGTGGCCTAAAGGATAAGACGTCCGGTGCATTCGTATGTAGCGATGCACCGGTGTTCGAATCCCGCAGGCGGGTGCCAATTTTTGTAATGAAATACGTACTCAAAAAATGTTCACGTTTGACCTCCATGGTGAAGGAATTACATCGTGTAATAAAAATCAAACCCGCAAGAATTATAATTTGCGTAATCACTGGTGGTAGGACCACTTGAGAGTCCGCACGGGTAGGTACCACCACCCCGCCTATTTCCGCCGTGAAGCAGTAATGCATTTCGGTTCGAAGGGTGGGGCAGCCGTTGTAACTATACTGAGACCTTAGAACTTGTACCTCGAGATGGGTGGCGCATTTACGTTGTAGATGTCTATGGGCTCCAGTAACCACTTAACACCAGGTGAGCTGTGAGCTCGTCCATCCATCTAAGCGATAAATAAAAAATACAATTATAAACATACTTCGCTTTATCGAACCGTTTACAGACATTCTCGTATTACATTAAATATAGTTGCTGGAATGTTAATAAAAAAAAACCCTTATGTTTAACGACAACAGAATACATAAACGCTAGAAATTCTTTCTGATAAAAGTTTAGTCATAAAAACACACAGATTAAACAATTTACAAACACAATAATGTTTTTAAATTGAATTGTTGTATTAAACCTTTAAATGTGAGACAAGTGGATAGTGATGTAATTGTTTCTGAGGAATCATTGGAGCTTGTTGAGTCAACCGTATTTCTTGGTATAACAGTGGACTCCAAACTGCAGTGGGGACCTCATATTCATAAATTGGCGAGTAAGCTCAGCTCTGCAGCATACGCAGTAAAAAAAATTAGAATGTTAACAAACGCGGACACGGCTCGTTTAGTNGTTCTGTGCGCGGTGTGAGAACTCGCATTGTCGTGATGGAGGATGATGCGGCGGTTGCAGTTCTCTTTACGGAGTTCAGAAACGACCTGTGGCAAACAAATGCTAGCATACCATTCTGCATTAACCGTTCTTTGTCCCTCAAGAGGAATAGTCGTAACATGGCCGGTTTTGGAGACAAACGTGGCCACCATTTTTTTTTTGCAACACTCCGTGAACGAACAAGTTTTGTTGGCTTTAACTCATTTTCGAACACCCAAACTCGTGACTGATTTTTTGTTTCGGGTTCGTACGCGTATATCCAGGATTCGTCACCTGATACAATGTTGTATACAGCATTTGAGGATACTGCGTGGAATCTTTCGAGAGTTCTGACGCACCAAGTAACGCGAGCCGCTTTTTGCTCTTCACAGAGCGAATGCGGTATCCATCGGGAAAACAACTTTTTTACACCTAATTGTTCATGCAAGATTATTTGTATTTAACTCATGCCAATGTCTAAAGTTGCCTGAATTTCGCGGTTTGTCATATGTCGATCTTCCTTAATCAGCTTACGCACAGCATCAACGTTTTCTTGGGTGACTGCAGTTTTTGGACGACCTTGACGGGGATCACCACTGAGCTTGACACGTCCACGTTGAAACTCAGCAAACCAGCGATAAATTGTGGTTTTGGATGGGGCTTCATCACCAAATGCAGAAATCATCCGGTCAACACACTGTTTTTGTGTTAAACCACTTCGAGAGTCATAATAAATCATCGCTCTTGAACTTTCTCGAGTCAATTCCATTTTCTCATCGACTAAACAAGTTTGACAAAACCTCGTGACAAGACTGAAATTTTTTTTTTAAAATAAATAAATGGTATTCGATTTTTAAAACCAAGGAGTTTTCAATTAAAAAGATTTTAATATGACAGGAACAGTGGAAATATTCCATTCCCGATACTTTTTGTGCAGCCCTCGTATATAAAGTGTAACAAAGCGGTTGCAAGTTTAATTAGTAGAAGTCGTCGTGGCCTAAAGGATAAGACGTCCGGTGCATTCGTATCGAGCGATGCACCGATGTTCTAATCTCGCTGGCGAGTACCAATTTTTCTAATGAAATACGTACCCAACAAATGTTCACGATTGACTTCCACGGTGAAGGAATAACATCGTGCAGTAAAAATCAAACCTGCAAAATTATAATTTGCGTAATTACTGGTGGTAGGACCTCTTGTGAGTCCGCACGGGTAGGTAGCACCGCCCCGCCTATTTCTGCCGTGAAGCAGTAATGCGTTTCGGTTTAAGGGTGGGGCAGCCGTTGTGACTATACTGAGACCTTAGAACTATATCTCAAGATGTGTGGCGCATTTACGTTGTAGATGTCTATGGGCTCCAGTAACCACTTAACACCAGGTGGGCTGTGAGCTCGTCCACACATCTAAGCAATAAAAAAATAATAAAAAAATTGTGTTCATTAACGTAGGGTCTTACTAATCCACTTCCAAACTTTTAATTTCTATTTACTAATCAAAACCAAGAAGGGATTAGCAATATCAGACGGTCTACCGGTGAGATTTTTATTAAAATTTCAAAAATGCGTATTAAAAAGTGGTATCTCGGAACAGATGCAGTGACGTAGGCGCAGACGATACGTCCCAGTACCGTTTGCCGTTGGAAGAAGAAGTCGGATCTCATCCGAGCCTCGAGGAGATGCAGGAAGCGGTCGTGCAAAGGAAACTCCGTCCGCACATACCGCAGCACTGGAGAGACCACCCGGTAATTTAAACTAATTATTAAAGCTTAAGCCGTTGTAACTATACTGAGACCTTAGAACTTATATCTCAAGGTGGGTGGCGCATTTGCGTTGTAGATGTCTATGGGCTCCAGTAACCACTTAACACCGGGTGGGTTGTGAGATCGTCCACACATGAAAGCAATAAAAAAAAATCGATGAAGTTTATCGATTTATTAGAACAGACCCGAGTATTAGGTATTTTACGAGATTAGGCTGCACCTAATCCCATTATGTCAATTTGTATAATCCACCTGTTTCACCTAATCTTCGTATTCTTAAAACATAAAATCGAATGTTCAGCATCCGCTCCCACCTGTTCCTGCGCTATCTCACTCACTTACACGTTGCAACGTATCTCGCAATCCCTAAATGCCTAACCCTAATAATTCAAATAATGATCCAATGATCACATTAAACAAATCCTAATAGAACTTGAGATTGGTAATAGGCAGATTGAGATTGCTTGCTAAGTAAAGTATTGGTTGTGAATGGGACTAGGAAGATTATGTGGATTAGGTATTTAGATTAGGTATTTCTTAAGATTAGGAACAGGTGGACCTAGTATCTGATTTACCTAGTACGACCAATCTCTACTACCGGGAGACCACTAGTTATTGTAACGGGACTTTTTGGCGGGAACGCGAAGAATGAAGTTGTGCGATTTGTTTTATTTTGTCTATTTAGTGTTTCATCAGGTTTAAATGTGTAATAACGGTAGTGTATTAACTGTTTAATATCTGTGAAAGTGCACAAATGTGGAAAATTATGAAACAAAGCCGCTGGACGTAACTTCTCGGGATCCTCCAAAAAGGTCACTGAAAAAATTTCAGTAAATGACCACAATTTTACTGAGGCTATATTTCATCCCATATCATCTCATTTAATTTAATTTCATCCCAGTTGATTAATGTCTCAAATTAATCATCTTCATTTCACTCCATATTATCATCTATACTAGTCTATACTTCTATACTAATATATAAATCTACAGTGGTTTTTACGGATGTTTCGTTATAGCTACTAAACCATGCATCCGATTGACTTGAAACTTGGTATCCATGTAAAAAATACATGTACTTAATGGATAGGCTAATATTTATATGATTGTGGGATATTAACGCCCCCTACACCAGTTGCGGGGGTGCTAATGATGAGAATGTTTGTGGGGGTGAGAAATAATAATTTTAATTTTAATGCCCAGCGAAGCGGACAGGTACAGCTAGTTTTTCATAAAAATAAGAATATAAATTAAAATAAGACATGACTTAAAGGTTTTAGTTACCAGGTCACAAAATCCCTTAAAATAATAAAAAAAAAGTTAGTGTAACGAAACGATACGTGCAGGGCATGTCAGTGCTGTGCGACACCATGGAGGAGTGCTGGGACCACGATGCAGAGGCGCGGCTGTCTGCGTCGTGCGTGCTGGAGCGCGTGGCCGCCCAGCGCGCCCCGTGCTCGGACAGCGCGCCGCTGCTCCTCCACCCCCCGCCCTGCTGACCCCGCGCCCCCCGCACCCCCGCGCCCCCCTCCTGACGTCACGTGTAAGTAAGTGCGCTAACATCGATACACGCACAGACTATCTGTCCTATTCAATAAGAAAACAATATATTGTCGAATTTTTATCAATATCAATGAGAAACTCTTTTAACATAAAGTATTTAGTTGTGTAGACCGAAATAAGAGCAGCCAATAAAAAAATTCTATGCATAACACCTATGATGCGATAGTCACTTGAATAGTACTAAACGCCTAACAGTCTACTGATATCGGGCAGTAGTAACATTCGAACATATAGCTGGGAAAGTGAACCAGAAATAATTGCCAGAACTTTTATTCCAAAAGCATTTGGAACAAAAGATCGAATCGATTATCACAGTAAAGACGATTCGCAATTTCTCAAGTCCTCAACTATCCTGAAATAATAATAAAACTTTAGTATTTAATGAGAAGTATTGTTGTGGTAACTTTTTTCGATGCGCTATAATATATTTTCTTATTCCTGTCGTTATTTTGTAATTCGAAATCTTTAGGCATAATTTTTGTATGAAATGGTTAAAAGTATTGATCAGCTTCCAAATGTATTTATACATTTTAGTGATAAAGTTATACATATTCAATTTTTGTACTATATATTTTTATACAAATCATTTATTTTGAATGTTTTTTTTTTAATCCCATTCTAGGGTTGCTATTATTTGATGTCTTTTTTTTTTAAATTAGTAGTAAATTTACAAAATAATTACTTTGTAGTTTTAGTTCTCTGACACTCAATTTATATTTGTTTTTTACAAATAATATTGAACATTGATAACGTAATCATTATTTCCTAATAGTATGTATGTTTTAAGCTTTACACGGTTTTTTTTTCTGTTTTCCTGTTTTTTTTTTATTGATTCTCATTAATGTGTCCAACACTTTTCTTTGTAAAACTTTCAATTTGGTTAAGTAAGGTTAATTCAAAGTAGTTATCTACTTTAAATTAACTTTACGCAACCAGCAGTTACTTTAAATTTCTAACTTATATTTGAAACTGCTTGTAAGATATGTAATATATAGAGGGGTGAAAGTCTATTTGGTTTAAGCGACATTTCGCTTAATACTCAACATTTAACTTTGTAATTAAAGGTCCGTTGATTGAATTTCAATTAAGTTTACCCCATTCAAATAGCTGAAGAAGTTTTTTTGTAATTAATTTTTTTACAAATTTTTAACTTAAAATTGCTCTCCTGTAAAGTTACAAAAAGGTTGCTTATACAATTAGTCATAGTCAAATAATCTTTCACCTCTCAATATGTATGCTTTAACCGATTTTGAATAACAACTTTAATTTCGGGCCTTATACTGTTTTTAGTTTCTTGATTATATGTAAAGAAGTATGGTACTAAATCTGTGTTACACAATGACACATGTATATGACCCCATAAGCATATTTTGAAAAGAAATTATTTAGAGTGACTCTAAAAATACTTTTAATGACTTGAACTTATTAGTTTAAAATGCTTGTACAGAGTTATTAGGCAATTAAAAAAATATTATTTTGTTATTTGAATAATAATAACGGCACAGGTCGAATACTGGGGTGGTGTAAATGGCTATTCTGTAAAGTTGCAAAAATGTCGTAAACCAAAAAGCCATTCATCCCTTAATATGATGCTGTTGTATTTAATTCTTTGCGAATGTAATAAATAAAAAAAAGTTTTTCTATGATTGAGGAGATTCCATAATGCATCTTCAAATCGCATGGTATTTAAAAGTTGAGCCAGCGAACTGATCTTTTAAACTCGAATAACATTGAGTTTGTAAAAATAATAATGGCAACTTAAAATTTATCTACCCATTTAACTTTCTTTAATTTCTAGGACGAAAAAACGATTTGATGAATGTATGTAATGATTAGTAAAAATCTTCAAGTGACATACATCTCCTTAATAAATAATTTCTTTAAAAAAAATCATGTTACGGAGATGTATATTACATTATTTGTAATAAATAATATATCAGTGTCTGTACCTAGTGTAAGTGGCGTACAGAAACGTGCCATAAACAATTTAATTTCAGCTTTAAGTTTTTTTTTTTTATCAAAACAAGTCCGATCCACAAACTAAATTGTCTATTATTATTTTTTGTTTGGACTTTGTTTTATTATGATTCGGGCTCGACCACGCTTAATATAATCTATAGTTGTAATTAATTTAATCCGTTAAGTAGGCTGCGTTTCGTTCTCGCTTGATGCAATCAATGAAAGACAGAGACAGAGAGACATGGCTATATCGCTATCACTTACTATTAACCTGATGGTGATTGGATTTGGAATTTTTATGCATAATAGAAGAATAAAACATTAAACATCTAATGGCGGTTACATTTTTGAATGCATCTGTTTTCATGGTGACGGACATGCGTGATTTCTGCGTTTCTTGAATCAAATGCTTTTTGTTTGCTGATGTCATTACAATAATGAAAAGACTAATGATAGAAGTTTTTTTGTTGTGAAATCATGTTTCCAGTCAAACGTGCTTTGTATTGTATTGCGGTTTGAATGAAAACACCAAAAACGACAAGTAGATTATAGTAAATGAAATCGTTTCGTCTCCATTTACTGCCGTTTTGATTATTTTTTTATTGCTCTTGTAGGCAGACAAGCACACGGCCCACCTGATGGTGAGTCGTTACCGTCGCCCATGGACTTGAGCAATGCCAGGGACAGAGCCAAGCCGCTGCCTAGCGCTTTATACTCTCCTCAGATTTCTCCTCCTTAGATACTTTAATTTCGGAACATCCCTCTAACATTGTGGTACAATTATGTTTAAGTTAGAATTTTAAAAACCCTCATATGATTGAATACTCTAAATGTACCTAATAAGCGTATATACATTTAGTTTTTATATAAATTCTGTATTTCTATTATATGTGGGTAACATTGAAAAGGCCAAATTAACAACTGATATTAAAAAAAAAAACAATTTGACCAATGTGCCTATACTTGATGAGCATTCAAAAATGAGTCGTCTGTCTTTAAAGATAGTATTCAATTTTAAATGAAAACACTCAAAAGCCAAGTGCCGTGTCGAGTCACAGCTTATTTTAACAGATTTGATTTATTATTTAAAAAAAAAAACAGGTGTTTCTAGTTCGGACTAAACTGAATGTTAAAGACGACGTGGTTTTTTTTTAAATGTTTTATAACGTGGTCGCGCCCTACCGCGGACTATATCACGGAGAATGAAAAGAAATGTGATTTATGTGTAGCGTTAATAATAAAGTATATCAGCGTGGGGAATTGTAACGTATTTGTTTTAATGGTCGCTTCGCTGAAGTTAGTTTTATGGGATTTGATTAATGCGGTAAAAAGCGGTATCTTGCGCGTGTCTCTCAATACGAGCGTCACAGGTTCAGAACTGAGGGCCGAGCACGAATGACTATCGAAAAAGTATTCGTATCGCTGTCGAGAAAAACGTATAGGATTTAAACAGCGCCCCGTCTACCGTCCGTAAAAAGAATTAATTTCACCAGTTTTTGTATTAGAGATAGTTTTTTATCCTGCTGATCCTATTCTTTATCCAATGTAAATTTCGTCCGATGTAATATTCTTTTCCTTTACTACTCCGTTTCCTTACCTTTGTCTGTGGCAAAAGGCACAGCGTGATGCCATAAAAAAAAAATTCACCAGCACGAATGAATTTCATTACTTTGGTTTCGCAATCGAATCGTCACGTTCTCGAAACTCGAAACCTATAATCGAGAGCACGAAAAATGTTTTGACATACGTTATGCGTTTGAGTAACGCCCTGATTGGTTTAGATTCACAAATCAGCCCGTCAGATGGCGCTGCAGTCGGTATCTAAGCTATTCTATCTATACTGCAAATAAACGGCTGGATCCCTCTCAACGTGGGCGCCGGTAACTACATTCCCGATCCTGTGAACCGAATTGTAAACAGTCGACGTCGCCCAAAACACGTCATTTTGGATCCTCCCCATCCACTAACGGTGCTTTTAGGTACCCCAAGCACTGGTCATCGTTCTCGCCGAACCCATCGCTTGCGACGAAGAGCTCGACGAGTAAATTAACCCACAGAGACAGCCCACTGAGTTTCTCGCTGGATCTTCTCAGTGGGTCACGTTTCCGATCCGGTGGTAGATTCTGCGAAGCACGGCTCTTGGTAGGGTTCGTGTTAGCAACAACGTCAGGTTTGAGCCCCGTGAGCTCACCTACTCGCCCGGTTACGCTGATATGGCCTCTCAAGACCATCAGCTTAGGCATGGGAAAAAAAGGCTGGATCGAGCTGTATAAATTTTTGTGTATGCAGGCCAAGTCTGTCGGGTCCGCTGGTCTAATATAATGATCCGTTTTTGTATCGATACATCTACATTACGAATTCGATAGACTTTCGTGCTTGACGTACTGGATAAACTTCATAATCTTAATACAAACTTTCAGTTCAAGTATTAGTATACTTTGTTACTTCACGAGTGTTACTATCACGTTCTCACGTGTTTCCAATAGTGATAGTGGATTCCAATTGTTTCCAATAGCACATGGTAGCGCTGAATGTTTTTTTTTCTTATCATAACTGATGAGTCTTGAAAGACTATGTCAGCGTAACCTAACACTGAATGTCTAATGTTTATTTATCAGCCTATCTGCGCCCCCTATCTCTGGAGGCAATAACCATTTTCGTTAGATTCTTATACAGATACTCTGACTTATTATCTTTATCTTATTGTTTGTCTAGTAGATTTGGATTTGTATTTTCTGGATTGTGTTCCTCAAGATCGATTGTATGTTTAATTTCTATCTATCAAATAGCAATTGTTTCCAATTTAATTGTTGAGACATTGCGAACAACGGATTTTAATGATACAGATTAAGAATCCAAACGCATAGGCGTAGCTTAAAGGATAATGCCCCTAATTAACTCGCACCGACCTCTAGATACCGCACGCACGCACGCAGACGATACCAATTTATTCTAAAGAAATGCGTGTTTATGAAGAACTTCGTATCATGCCGTGGTATACTAGTGGTAGGACGTCTTGTGAGTCCGCACGGGTAGGTACCACCACCCTGCCTATTTCTGCCGTGAAGCAGTAATACGTTTCGGTTTGAAGGGCGGGGCAGCCGTTGTACTGTTAAAAGTGAGACTTTAGAACTCATGTTTCAAGGTGGGTGATGGCATTTACGCTGTAGATATCTATGGGCTCCGGTAACGACTTAACACCAGGTGGGTCATGAGCTCGTACAACCCTACAAGCGATTAAAAAAAATATTTAATAAATAAATTATCGATACTGAATATGGCCACTGCTTTAACTAAAGTAATGAATGTATGAAGGAGATTATGGGCATTATATATTTATGCGCATTTCAGATATTACCAATATATACGAAGCCATAAAATAAATAAATAAATGGCGTTCCGGTTTTAAGTTTGTTTTTTAAATGCTTATATGGTTGGACGAGCTTACAGCCCACCTGGTGTTAAGTGGTTACTGGAGCCCATAGATATCTACAACGTAAATGCGCCACCCACCTTGAGATATAAGTTCTAAGGTCTTAGTATAGTTACAACGACTGCCCCACCCTTCAAACCGAAACGCATTACTGCTTCACGGCAGAAATAGGCAGGGCGGTGATACCTACCCACGCGGACGACTCACAAGAGGTCCTACCACCAGTAAAAAGTGTGACAAGGTGCTTACAAAATGGAATTGCGACTTAAACCTCATGCCCCAAGGTGGCTATTCAGAGCTGGGTTGGTAAGTAAACTCTATGCCTTCTAATTGGAACCACCGCCACTTTTCTCGTATATTCATTCTGTAAAGCATAATCTAAAGACTAAAATCGAAAGTTCTAAATTTTCTGAAAACATCATTTAGTTATACCTAACGAAAATGGAAAATTATGATCTCTTGCTTAATGAATATTATATGTATATCGTGTGAATTGACCACAATAAGTCATTTTCATTGAACATATAACTACCCACAAAAAATGTTTTAATTATTTTCATTTACTCGGTATTGTTAAGAATACTTTTTGAAAATACAATGCAAGTCATTTTTAACTACATTGTATGAAAATGAAAAGATATGATAAATGTATGGTATGATTTTTTATTTTTTTATCTCTAACTTCAGTGAAGGGAACTGATGCCTCCAGCATATCACCGTACGCATAGACTAAGCAATGTTGCCAAATGTAAATATTAGTTTGTAATTTATCGGGTTGTGAACACACTGCAATATATACGTAAAATAAATGATAAGTAGATGTAAGAAGTTATTAAGTACTAGTGTTAATTTCATTACATTTACAAATAGCATCGATTCGGAAATTTGTTAATTTTTCATTGCCAGTTAAGATTTTTATGTACAAACTTTTGTCGGGTGTGTTCGCAACTCAATGGTTAATTTTAAAACGTATTAGTTATTTGAGTAAATGTTAGTTGAAATTTTTAGACTTGTAGCGCAGAATTTCTTTTATTAGAATAATACGACGTATCACGTTATGTGACTTGTGTTCTCCGGGTAATGTAATAGGTATGTGTTATATAGATGTAACTATCATTTATTTTTTAATCAATAAACATGGATGTCTGTTGAAATTTAACAAATTAAAATATATTTTATAGATAAAAAGTTGATTTTTATTTGCGTTTACATATTTTTAGGAACACGAACGACACGGAAGAGGAAGTGAGGAAGAAAACAAAAATTCAATGTATACAAAAGTTCTGATTCTTTATTTATCATTGCTTTTGTTTGTTTGTTTGCACATTTGAGGGAAATTTAAAAATTAACTGTACAAATCTGTTACAGGTGTACGGGGCGCAATACTCACGAGAGCCTTGCAACAAACGTCTGCACTCAATATTTCACTATATTATTATGTACAACGGTTCCCGACGACACCGACGCGAGTCTCGCGGTCAGGATTACTGCATATTAATCTTTAAATTCGTAATCTCACTCAATTTCACAGTCGAACATGTTAAAATAGGCGAGTTCGCACACGGCATCGGAGCGACGGGCGTCCCCTCGCGCGGCACGTGTCGCCGAATACTGGCGGTCAAATTTTATGAAGGAGCAAATCATTAGAATAAAATCGTCACAAATTCAAAATAGAGGCAAACAGAATATCAGGTCAGAGACGAGAGCGCGCGGGCGTCGGTCGCGCGGTCACCGGAGGCACTAGAGTACCGAACACACGAGTGGCGAGGGGGGCGGAGCGCTACGAGCGGGGCGGGGGCTCGCTGTGCTCGTGGTCCGGGGCCCGCGAGGCCGTGGCGCGCAGGCAGTCTCCGTGCGCCTTGTACTCGATGGGCACGGACGCGGGCAGCTGCAGGATGCGGCGCAGGGCGTCCCGCACGCGATGCGCCGCCGCCGTGTCCGACGCCGTCCGGTGCCACACCGCCAGGTGGTCGTCCTAAAACAAGTGTTAAGTGGTTACTGGAGCCCATAGACATCTACAACGTAAATGCGCCACCCACCTAAAGATATAATTTCTAAGGTCTCAAGTATGGTTACAAGAGCTGCCAGACCCTTCAAACCGAAACGCATTACTGCTTCACGGCAGAAATAGGCAGGGTGGTGGTACCTACCCGTGCGGACTCACAAGAGGTCCTACCACCAGTAAAACTTAACTTATATCTTATATATATAGACACGTATAAATTTATCACTGAGCAAAGCAAAATCAACTCTGATCAAATCTTGTTTTTTCTTATATTAGTACAATGATGTGAAATACTTCAGACAATGAAAGACTTAACTGCGTTTTCTGTAATATAAATACGAAAACAACATTTAAAGCCCATAATATCTTATTTTAAACAATATTATTATAATATATATTTTAAATACTAACGAGCTTTTCTTTACATTAATTAGTAAAATGCAAGCAATGATGTAAGTCTGAATCATTCAAAATATCCAATTAGATTTCCATATATTCTTTTTCCACCCAACAAGATTGTGTAAATAATAAATAACCCTTACAATATTGTTCAAGCTGATTGTTTTAAAAGCTTACCTGAAATCGTACTGAGAGTACCACACCGCACAGCTCTGGTCCAACCATAAATTGTTCGCCCAGCATTGCCATACATAAGTCTTCCCATGCACGACCCGTCTGTGTTTTACGTAATCTGACCACCTTAAACATATGAAAACCATTTTTAGAAAATATGTACTCTCACACTTTGCCTCAGTTGATTTTTTTTTAACTTATTTAGTTATTTAGTAATGGAGGGGATATAATTTTATTGATTATTAATATTATTATCTTTGGAACTATTTTGAAAAAATTTATATCGTCCCTGAAGTTGACATCCTGATTAAGTTTGAATTCTTGAATACTTAAGGGCACAGCTCATCTCCACTAATTGTAACCCTTTCACTACTACCTCTCCCTGCCTCACCAAATTAGACAAGAAACCTATTAGTGTCTCTCAATAACCTTTTTCCCATTATACAGAGGTGTGTAAGGTTCGGCCCTACAAGGTGGGTGATCATCCATAGACAGAAGTTACATTATTAAACTTAACTTTTAAACCTTTAACTTAGTAAGCTTGACCTCTTTCCAACGAAAGTAATGGCAGTAACTACCCAATTAATGAAATTTAGAAAAATCCTGTACTTCGAACTGAAATTTAATATATACTTATTTTTAGTCTAATTGTGTATGTGAAATAAAGCTTAGCAAGTTTAATTATTGTGTGTGTCATTAAACATAATAGTTGATTACATACCCACTTCCCTCCATTAACATTGGCCGGATCTTCCCACATTGGCTTAATACCCAACTTAAAAAGATGAAGGTCAGAGAGTGGAGGTAACTCTGAAGGTCTAGCCAGATGTGTATATAGACCCCACCATTGTTCCACACTGCCCACCCGACCCACCAAACGTAACGCCTGTAATTAATTAAAAAATACCCTACATAACTAGATACCTTTTATCGCTCAAGTTGACTTAATTTCAATATAGATTTTAGAAAAAAAACATTGAATACTCGGGCCTCATTATACAGATAACACTAACATACTTTACTCTTGAAAAAAGTCTGTGGGACGTGTTATGTTATTTAGTACATTATTTTAAATAATAATAAGGGAACCAGGAATATAACAGTCATAAGTTTAAAAAGAAACAATCTTGAAGACTATTTGAAAACCCCTTTCTCAAGCACTGTATGTCTTCAATAGTGCTTGTATCACACACTTAACATTATTCTAGTTTAATTACTAAAGAATATATGTTTACATTCAACTGTAGCTGTAAATGAAAGATGAAAAGTAAGTATTCTTATTAAATCTTTCTAAATTAAAGTGGTTTTCAAATAATAACAGATTTTAGTAAACATTGTTTAAAAAATATTTATACAAAACAATAAAACTCAATTTTCAAAAGTAAACTTCTACTATCTGAAAATTATCAAGATAAAGTTACGCATATAGACTAGTATATTGAGTGAAATTGGTCGTGAAACGCATCATGGTAGTGATAATTTACGAAGGACGAAAAAATACTACAATATGCTGCTGATAAAGCAAAGTAAACAGACCTGGCCGTAACCAGTGGGTGTTGTGGTAAGATCTCGGGCGGGCCGCCTTGAAAACCACATCCAGTAGCTATATTCCAGCTTGTGTTCGTGCGGCGGCACGTAAGGAACCAACGGATCGTCGGGATTCCTATCATCATCTTCGTTGTTGCCGTGGTTCTGCGCTATTCCCTGGGCCTCACCAGACCGTCGCTCGGGCACGTTTAAATTGTAGAATTTGCACATTTTCCTTTCAGTCATGTTATTCCAACAATATTAACATGTTTCAAGAACGGCCTAACCTAGGACACGTTGTTCTCTGGACAATCGGACTATTTAGTAAATAATAGTCTATATTTACTATGACACTTAATAATCAAATATACAGTTTCCTTAACTTTAATTTATTTTTACTAGCTTTAATTTATAATTATTCAGCCTATTCCCTCTTTTTCTGTGTCTAACCTTTTTCTTTCCGTCATCAAAATTCAAATCTGTCATTTGACAGCATGGGAGAATATCACAAAGTTTAGAGATCATTTGATGAAATTTGATATTTATTACACAAGGCCGTGTTTTGCTGTAGTTAGAAAGAAACAAGGATCTTTCTGTAGGGGCTTCTAAAACCGGCAAGGTTATAATAGTCGGTACTTTATTGCTAGACTTGAAAAATTTAAATGCTTTAAAATGTTTAAAATAAATCCTCCAGTTGAAATTTAATTAATTAAAATACAATTCATCACCAGATAGGCCATTTATGCTAGTCTGATGACGATGTAAAAAAATAATATTGTGCTACGTGGTGCTCAATATGGTATGTACCTAATAAGAAACTAGCAATATCGAATGTCCAATGTCAATTGTCAACTGTCATATAATTTTACTTGAATGTTGGGTTTTGAATTTCAAATTATGAGGTACATATCATAGATTATACACTTAATATATTTGAGTACATATTACTACATAAATGACTAAATAAAATTAATAAACAACAATGTAAACGAAATAACAATTCTTAAAAATTACTAGATTACAAATGTTGAATTAAGAATCGTATGTAAATATTTTCAGGGCTTTCTTCCTTCATTACAACGGATTTTGAGGTAGAAATCTCAAAGCAGTCAAGTTAAATTTGTTTACTAATACAGATTTGATTACCTATTTAAAATGGCAAAACCCGCTACCACTGGTAGAAGTAGCACAGACGAATTTATGAATATCGATCTCATGAGGTCTCTTGTAAAGCAATATTCGGAATTGGTGAGTCAATCTTTTAGTTTTACGACCCTTTGGGTTTTGGATCGCTGAAATTATTTCTAGACTGACGTTATTTCACATGTTCCATTTTTAAACCCAGGGACAGTGGACCAGTGCTTTCTTTTGGGCTGATGCTGCAGCCGCTGCAGCAGGGGGTGGCCCCGAAGGCCCAAGTGGTGATGATATGTGGCTTCTTGCTAGTGCCATGCTAGCTCGAGGAGAACTCCACAGAGCTGCTGAAGTTGTCACTTCTAGGAATTTACATAAGTGCGAATTTTTAATAGATTCAAACAGTAGCAAAAAAATGTTTTGTTACTTAACAGTAATTTGAAGATGTTAGCTGCTAAAAGTTAAGCTGCTGGGGTACATATATTAAGCCACAGAATAATGTCAGTGTTCATATCCTGCTTGTACTTACCAATTTTACTTAAGAAATATGTGCTTATTAGGGACATTGATGTACTCCTCATAGTAATAACGTTATAAAATAAACCCACAAAATATTTAAATTAGTAAAGCACCTGTGATATTCTATGAAATTATAAGCCCATAGAGGTAGGCCCCCTATCCTACCTATTTCACAGTCATCTGCATGATGACAAGAATGCATGAGTACTTTGGATAGAAGTGCAGAAGAGCCGTTATATAAAACAGCAAATTCAATCTCATGCCTCAAGGTTGGTCGCAGCATTCATATGACTATATCATGTTAATATCATGGTGATATTTAAGGGTTCTGGAATCCACTTAACACCAGTTAGGCTGTGAGTTTGTTCAAACAACTATGTATAAATCCTATTGAGCAATAATTCTTAACTAGTTGGCTATGAGTGTTGGCTTTATATTATACGACCAAGCAACAACTTATGTATACGAGTGTGACTATAGACGCTGTCAATATTATTCGGATTACCCATTAACTCTGCAATTTTTTATTTAGGCATACTGCATATAATTTTATTTGTATTTAAAATAATAGCAAATGCTCCAAATATTTAATTTAATGGTGCTAATCTGTTGCTATAGTAGCCTGTTCAACAATGTCAGTCTGATAGAACATACTCAGTGAAAAAAATTATATTTAAATAGGCAGTCTTGCAATAGATTCTGACTACATACTGCAGAAATCACAATAAAACAAATCTTTATATTTTTAAACTACAGTAAAAACACAATTAATGACAATTGTTATTTGTCTTCAGACGACACCTGCTGTGCTTAGGGGTGGCGATGCGTGCACATTTGGCAGCCAAGGAATCCTCAACAGCTCTTAATTTACTGGAGGATTGTGATCCTATGCTGCTTGAACCTAGAAACACTGACCAAACTCACAATGTTAGTAATTTTTTTTGGTTGTTTATTTTGATGTTCTGTGGCCTGTATCGGATAAAATGAGCCAAGAATTGCTTGATTTGGTTCAACTCATATTATTGGAAGAGAGCTATGTTGCGCTTATGATAATACTTTAGAATTGCACTTGCACAACAACTGCTTATTGACAGAATTAACAAATTGAATATTATAAAATGTATTAGGAAATATCGCTAACCAAATTAATGCATAAGCTTGATGATAAATTTTGACCATTGCAAGTCCGTGTTAGCAAGAATCCGATAAGTTTTCTAAAATTGAATTTTTATTGATAAAAACGACACACCAAGCAGTCACCACGTATGAAAACACATGTATGAAAATCAAAATCTTTTGGTGTTTTTGCTCATAAACATGGTACTTGAGATGGGCCAAGTAATACATAGGCAACAGCAACACAAGCAGCGGCAGATGACTGGCTTACTGCTTTAGAGACATAAAGCAATTTTATTTATTTATTGCAATTGTAGGCAGATGAGCATACAACAACAAGTAGTCGCTGTCGCCCATGGACATCAACAATTTCAAGGGTACAGCCAAGCCGCTGCCTGATTACAACCATAAGCTAAAGGTTATTAATAAATAATAGTTTAAATTTTTTTTAAATATTGTATAGTCATAGTTCCTTAATAAGTATACCAAATCTCAAGTTAATTCAACCTTTTGAAGAGGATCAAACTGATGTTCAAAGATTCCGTTACAAACATACATACATACAACTGAAGCTAATAAAAGCGTATTAAAAAGTAATATTGATTTAGAGGGCTCTAGCCGGGGTTTTAGTGACACAAGCGCGAGCGTTATCCGCTCTGGAGCGACGCGAGGCGGCCGCCGAGGCGCTGACCGCGGCCCTACGGGCGGACTGTGCCTGCTACGAAGCACTAGACCTGTTGCTTGAGCAACACGCGCTCACACCCAGGCAGGGTGAGGTTCTTTCATCAATTCATATCGGGATGCATTTATGTATATCAATATTATAATAAGTTAGAATTATTTAAAAGTAATCAAGTACTCGATGAATTTGATTTTCCTGTTGTAGGTATGCTTTACTTTGGAATTCAAAGTATCTTTTGAAATTGTGCCTGATTGACAAATTGATCTCTTGATTTGACCTTGCGTTTTTTTTAAATATTTTAGTAAATATTTATAACCGCCTGTCTCGATAGTAGTTGAAACGATTTTTTTTGTTTAAAATAAACTTGTCGAATAGCGTATCCGGCTGGTAACACCGAAATATGAAAAAAAACAATGTTGCCAGAAAACCAATTTTGTTTACAGAAAGCGAGTTAATAGAGTCATTACCGATTAGCGAACAGTTGAGTGGAGCTGAGGGCGCGTTGTTATTGTCCGCGTACAGAGAGCGGTTTCACCGCTACTCGCCCGCGCCCGTCGCGCCGCCGCCGCCCGACAGCGATGACCCCGTGAGTACACACAGGCACCGCTACACACACACACACACACACACACACACACACACACACGTGCACACACATACACACACCCCGCTACACACACGCATACACACACTATCTCCAATTTTATAGATCAATTTAGGCGATTCGTGTTGTTGGAAAGCTCACGTTAATAAAGGTCGTAAGAACCTTCTGAGCGCAACAGTAATAAGCAAAATCCCAGTAACCATTCATTGTCGCTTGGGGTCGTGGAAATATACTTATGTCATTGTGTCCCGTCGTTTTGTAGCTAAAGAGAACTCGCACGAGATCTGCACTGCATACCTTCGCTAAAAAATGTTTCCTACCTAAGCTTAGCCTTGAAGATAGCCTTGAGAGGCTATATCAGCGTCGCCTTAACTAGTAGGTGAGCTCACGGGGCTCAAACCTGATGACGTTGCTAACACGAACCCTAGCAAGAGCAGTGCTTCGCAGAATCCACCACCGGATCGGAAACGCGACCCACTGAGAAGATCCGTCGAAAAACTCAGTGGGCTGTGTCTGAGGGTTAATTTGAATAATTGAACGATGACCGGGCTTCGCTAAGACAACCCGGCTTAACATGAAAAAGATAAAACTGCTCTGCCTCTTGTAGAAGATGCTTCACGCTATCTGCTTCCCTCTCTACAGTTAAACATTTACAATCCAATCATCGCTATTGTAACGATCAGAGTTGATTAACCCTTTGAATGCCGTATAGATCACCGATGCCCTAAGTAGCGCACTCAAGTAATTATGTCGTTTTCTGTTACTAAGTACCTAACTTTCCCTTCTTTTAGTTTTTAATTTTAGTCATTTAGGTCTCTTAGTAATAGATTCATTCTCAGTAACTTCCGATAAGTCTTTTTTAGAGTCTACTAGGTTTTCCGGCATCTTACTAACAGAAATCAACTTAATTACTTCATTGCGTAACCTTTTTTTTTATTGCTTTGATGGTTGGACGAGCTCACAGCCTACCTGGCGTTAAATGGTTACTGCAGCCCATAGACATCCACAACGTAAATGCGCCACCCACCTTGACGTATAAGTTCTAAGGTCTCAAGTATAGTTACAACGGCTACCCCACCCTTCAAATCGAAACGCATTACTGCTTCACGGCAGAAATAGCCAGGGTGGTGGTACCCACCCGCGCGTACTCACAAGCGGTCCTACCACCAGTAAATTTTTTTAGGACATCGACGACTTAAATGGCAGTCAAAGGGTTGTAGCTTTGAGATACGTTCAGATAGTTCGCGAGGCGGAGGGCGTGAGGTCCCGCACGCTGGAGGCGGCGGTGTGCGGGGCGCGGCGGCTGGCCGCGGGGTGCCGGTGGGGGGCCGCCCTCGAGCGGCTGGGGGCTGCGGGTGGGGGCCCGGGGTCCGGCGCTGCCCTGCGAGCCGCCTGCCTCCTCGAGCTGAGACGAGCCCCGGAACTCTTCGCGTTCGCACACGGACTTGTGGACGCCTACCCTACGCACTGGACGGCTTGGTATGCCGTGGGCTGCTACTACTATCTTATAGGTGGGTATGCGTTCTCACCAGTACGATTGAACTAAATAGTTAACAGCGGCCGTTCTACCCACATTGTATTCTACATTCATCAGATAGTTCTTATTCAATTAGTAGTAGTTTATTAAAAAAATAATAAACAGTGAAATTGTTTTTTTATGTGCCAGGGCTACACCCTGTCAGGGCTTCGCCCCTAGACTTCGGCTCGGTACTCCACGAACTTTCGGCCTGGTAGGAAAAAAAATAGTATGTGCACCGCGGTAATAAAAGTAGGACATCTCACCCCGCGTGTTTGCCATTTTACACGCGGGAGGAAATGTCCTACTTTTCTCCCTTGGTGCACAATGTACTATTTTCTCCTACCTACGTCGAAAGTTCAGTTTTCCTCCCGCTGTACAGGGAAGAAAGTGTAACTTTTCCGAAATCTGTGAGTAAATTAAAGAAGCTTAAAGTGTTTGACAATAAAACCATAATAATGTTTAAACATAAAATTTCAATTAATTATAGTCGAATTTCAACTACTGTGGGACTAGTAATTATTCTAAAAGTGCCTTTTTTATCTGTGAATTATAGTTTCTTTCAAAGCTTCAAATATTTTTTCAATTTTATGTAAATTATATTGCATAAATGTTGCATTTAGTAAAAGGCAGTCGTTTTCATATAGAGACCGTGTATATATTTTGGTTATCGTGCAACGTAACCCATAAATCAGCTCGCTGGGTTTCTGGCCGGATCTTCTCAGCGGGTCGCGATTCCGATCCGGTACTACGTTCATTCGCGAAGCGGCTGCTTTTGAGTTGTTAGGTCTTTTTCGGATGCGCTCGGGCAGCTGTTAGCAAATCCCACCCCTCCTGGCTGAGCCTTGCTCGCCCACATGTCCTGGTGAAACTGGAAAGGCCACGGGGCCACCAGCAATCCTTCAACCCTAAAAAAAAAATTGTTGTTATCGTGCGGTTTTGAAGAAGCTCTTGAAATTTTAGGCAAAAATGAATTGGCCCGTCGATATCTAAGTAAGTCAAAGAGTCTGGAGCCCGGCGCCGGCTGCGTGTGGCTCGCCTACGGGCACAGCTTCGCGGCCGACAACGAGCACGACCAGGCCATGGCGGCCTACTTCAAGGTGATCAGCTGTGGAACCGTCACCACCCTCGGCCGCTGTCTCGAGGGTCGTAACCGGTTTTAACCAATCCTTACTAGTTTGATTCGAATATCGCATCCAGTTTGAAAGCGTCGTGGCCTAACGGATAAGACGTCCGGTGCATTCGTGTTGAGCGATGCACCGGGTGTTCGAATCTCAGGCGGGTACCAATTTTTCTAATGAAATACATACTCAACAAATGTTCACAATTGACTTCCACGGTGAAGGAAGAACATTGTGGAATAAAAATGAAACTCGCAAAATGATAAATTACCTGCCTATTTCTGCCGTGAAGCAGTAATGCGTTCCGGTTTGAAGAGTGGAGCATTCGTTGTAACTATACTTGAGATCTTAGAACTTATATCTCATTTACGTTGTAGATGTCTATGGGCTCCAGTAACCACTGAACATCAGGTGGGCTGTGACCTCGTGAGATATAAGCAATAAAAAAAAACCTCTGCCTTCATATATACAATTTATGAGGGTGTGCCCCCGCATGTGTCCACAGGCCAGTCAGCTGATGGGCGGTTGCCACCTCCCCCCCCTGTACGTGGGGGTGGAGTGCTCCCTGCTGAACAACGTGGCGATGTGCGAGCGCTTCCTGTACAAGGCCGCCGTGCTGCACCGCGGCGCTACCGAGGTGCACGGAATACTTTTCTGTTTTTTTCTCCATCCCTATTCTAGTAATCTCGAGGGGTTATACTAGATTCGCCGAGTGAGTAGGTGAGTTCACGGAGGTCGAACCGGGAGTGTTGCTAGCAATGGCCCTAGCAAGAGCTGTGCTTCGCAGAATCTACTACCGGACCGGAAACGCGACCCACTGAGAAGATCCGGCGAGAAACTCAGTGTCTGTGGGTTAATTGATTAGGACACGAGCTACCTGCTTATGAGCTCGAGGTCTACACTGTATAGTACAAGGGCCGGCGCATTCCGCAAGCCGGAATGAAGCAGATATTGAATTGTATTGAAAGCGCCGTCGAAATCGACTGGTCTCCCCTTTCAAAAGATAAATAACAAACAATATTTACGACGAAGTAATTTATATTTATTTATTACAGAACAATTTAAATGTAGTGAATTTAAACACAAAAACAGCTTAGATTAGTTCTGAACGTCCAAACCGGCTCGGGGTTCCAGGCCGGGAGTGCGGTGGACGAGGGGGACGTGGAGAACAAGAGCGGCTGGGACCGCATCCTCGGGCTGGTCAGCGACCCCCACGTGGCGCACGAGGCGGGGGCCGCGGCGCTGGCTGCCGGGGACCCCGGGGCCGCCAGGCTGCTGTGGCTCAGGACCCTCGATGTGGCGGCTCACGACGGACAGGTGCGGGCGGAGACAAACCATGACCACTTTATTGTTGGACTCCTGTCAACACGAGAGTTGTCGTCGCTGGGGCACGGACTCGTAGCTTATTTATTTATTTAAAAAAGTATTCCTGCCGCATCACAAACATTTAACATTGAAAATAACTTACACTATTTCATTTATGGCCTAATGCATGTGACAATAATGGAGTATATAACATTGGCAATTCATCGGTCCGAAGATGGAATTAAATTATAAAAATAAAAATAATACATAATGAAACCATATTTTGAAATTCAAATTTAACAAGTAAAACAGTAATAATTGTTGAAATATTAATATGAATGTCTAATAAATGTCATGTTATATCAAAAAGAAAAGAAGAAATGTCAATATAATCAATAAGTCAATAAGCTTCAGTCGCTTCTAAGGTCTCAGTAGGTATAGTTACAACGGCTGCTCCGCCCTTCAAACCGAAACGCATTACTGCTTCACGGCAGAAATAGGCAGGGCGGTGGTACCTACCCGTCCTACTTACCAGAATTTATATAACTTGCAGACAAAATGATGAATATGTCTGAATCTAGTAGCACTACATCATACTTTTGTTAATTACTTCCGGCATCGCCGCGCGCCTGGTCATGAGGTAGGCTGGTGTACAATAATCATAAACAACACTGTAGTTGAATGTACGCTGGGCGGCGACCCTGGACGGGCTGGGCCACGCGTCCCGCGCGCTGGGCGGCGCGGCGGAGGGCCTGCAGTGGCACGAGCGGGCGCTGGGCCTGCGCCCCCGCCGCGGCGCCTCGCACACGGCGCGGGGGCTGTGCCTGGCGCTGCTGGGCCGGGCCGCGGCGGCCGCGGACGCGCTGCACGGCGCGCTGGCGCTGGACCCCGACGACGTGGTGGCGCTGGCGCTGCTCGACCTGGTCGTGGACACGCTCGACCGACACCTCGCAGGTGCGGCCCCGCTGCGGCAAGCATGAATATTTAAAAATATCTAATATTTAAAAGAAAAAAGACATGCCCGCTGAGTTTTTTGCAAATATCTAATATTTAAAAGAAAAAAGACATGCCCGCTGAGTTTTTTGCCAGTTCTCAGGACGGAGGCTAATTTTTGTGAATTGGCGTTAGTTCTTTTTGACGTTCAACAAGTATGTACTTTCATTTATGTTGAATAATTTTTATTTTATTTGATTTGATTTGTAGCCAGCGGTCTGGCCACTGGTCACTAGTGCTGCCAATTTTATTAAACACTAGCTGACCCGGCAGACTTCGTAGTGCCTCAATCAATAAATAAATGACCTAAACTTTTGTATAAAATAAACTTAAAACAAAAGGAATCCGTCCGACGGGGGACACATCAAAGTAAAAACAAAATTGTCATTTTTATTTAATTCCGAGCATTTTCATATTTATCTACCTTCTCTGGACTTCCACAAATAATTCAAGACCAAAATTAGCCAAATCGGTCCAGCCGTTCTCGAGTTTTAGCGAGACTAACGAACAGCAATTCATTTTTATATATATAGATTACTAATAAGTATAGTGAACCTATCGACATCACAACACAAACCGAGCCACGCAGCTCTAGTCATAACTCAGTCTTAACTGTAGTCCAGTCAATCGCCTACACAACGGTGACTACGCACGCGGTCTCAACTCAGGGGGACCTTCCACCAAGTTTTATTTTTATTGCTTCGATGGATGGACGAGCTCACAGCCCACCTGGTGTTAAATGGTTACTGGAGCCCAGACATCTACAACGTAAATGCGCCACCCACCTTGAGGTAAAGTTCTAAGGTCTCAAGTATAGTTACAACGGCTGCCCCACCCTTCAAACCGAAACGTATTACTGCTTCGCAACAGCAATACGTAGGGTGATGGTACCTACCCGCGCGGACTCAAGAGATCCTACCACCAGTAATTACGCAAATTATAATCAATCGTGAACATTTGTTGAGTACGTATTTAATTAGAAAAATTTGTACCCGCCTGCGGGATTCGAACACCGGTGCATCGCTCAACACGGATGCACCGGACGTCTTATCTTTGAGGCCACGACGACTAACCACCCCCCAACCCCCCACCTCCCCTCACTCGCGAGGAACCGTACGAGTAATGTCAGTGTTCACATTTACAGAAGAAGAGATCCCCCAGTTCCCGTTCCCAGCGGTGAACATATCGCTACCGGCCGCGCCCGCGACTCCGCTCGCTTCCGTTGACGTCACCAACACCTCCGACATGAGCATGAGCTTCGATTAATTATATCAAATAAAATATTTATAAAAACATGTCAAGATTGTTTTTTTTTTTCTCTATAATTTAGCATGGTTCAATAAAATATATGAAAATTTATCTGAAAGTTAGGCAAAGGGGTGAAAATTGGCTTAAGAGAAATTTTTGCAACTTTACAGGAGGGCCAATTAAAGTTTAAAATTTTGAAAAAATATAACAATTTTTTTTTTCAAATATTTGAATGGGGTAATCTTAATTGAAATAACATCGAACTGTTGATGCTAATCTACACTCGGGTGCAATGAAATCGCACAACTGTACATTTTTTGAAAAATATTATTTACTTCTTTTTATTTAAAAAAATACATATATTTTTTAACATAAGGTTAAAGGATAGTTCAATACCTATTCAATGATACCATATAAGACATGATAAGTTTACCTACCTGCTGAAACAAAACGACAACAGCAAACTCCAAAAATTGCTCCTTCAACTCACTGCAGTTTGCAAGACCAACTGCAGGTATAAAAAGGCATGTTTTGTGTAAAACGTCATCAGTTGCAAGCCAACACTTAACCTGATAAGACCTCTGGTGACTCCAATTGCATTTGTCTGAAAAAGATGGATCCTACTCCGGAAAAAGCCGCTCAAGTCGTCGCTCTAATTGAAGCGGGCCAGAACCAGAGTGCTGTAGCTCGACAACTGAATATCAGCCGATATTCAGTTCGTCGTGTGTACCAGCGCTATCGGGAGACTGGTGGCTTTGAAAGGCGACGAGGATCTGGTCGAGCAAGAGCTAGAACACAGCGCGACAAAAGATTTCTTGTAACGACAGCGTTGCGAAATCGTCGTTTGACTGCCGTTGAACTTGCACAGCAGCTTCAACAGGTGCGTGAAGTGGTAGTCAGCAGGTGGACAGTCAGAAGGAGACTTGCCGAAGGTGGTTTGACTGCTGGATAGGCCAGCAAATGGCCCTAAACTGACGCCAGCTCACCGCCGGGCTCGTTTTCGATTTGCACAAGAACACGTCAACTGGACAGCCGACCAGTGGAAAGCAGTCCTGTTCTCAGACGAGTCCAGAATGTGTCTTCATGATAATGATGGACGTGGAAGGGTATACAGAAGGCGCTCAGAGCGATTTTCCCAATGTTGCATCACAGAACTTGTAGCATACGGCGGTGGTTCGTGTATGTTCTGGAGAGGTATCTCACTCGAACGAAAAACAGAGCTTGTCTTCATCGTTGGGGCCAATATTAGGCGACAAACAAGAGGTCTAACATCTCAACGATACATAGAGGAAGTTCTACAAGAACATGTACCATTTGGCCGTTTAATTGGAAGTAACTTCCTTTTTATGCATGACAATGCAAGACCTCATACCGCTGCGATAGTGAGACAATACTTACAAGAAGTAAATGTACCCGTGATGGAGTGGCCAGCTCGGAGCCCGGACTTTAATCCGATTGAACACTTGTGGGACGAATTAAAAAGAAAAATTAGAGGTCGAAATAGTGCTCCAGCTAATCTCCAGGAGCTAAAAAATGCGCTCAAAGAGGAATGGGACGCCATGCCACAAGACTTTATTAGAAACTTGATAGAGTTGATGGGGAATCGGTGTGAAGCTGTAATTCGGACAAGAGGGGGCAATACTTGTTACTTATAAATGATTTTTCAGTATTTTTTGTGTGTGTGTTTTTTTTATTAATCCCCAAATTTTAAACGGTTTAGTTGAGTAATCATTTTGTAATAAAGATTAAATTGTTGTTGTATTTTATGTTCCTCAAGAAAGTAACCTTATCTCCACTTATATGGTATCATTGAATAGGTATTGAACTAACCTTTAACCCTATGTTAAAAAATATATGTATTTTTTTAAATAAAAAGAAGTAAATAATATTTTTGAATAAATGTACAGTTGTGCGATTTCATTGCACCCGAGTGTATGTATATATAAATGATGCTCTTCGTTAGTCTCGCTAAAACTCGAGAACGGCTGGACCGATTTGGCTAATTTTGATCTTGAATTACTTGTGAAAGTCCAGAGAAGTTTTAAAAGGTAGATAAATATGAAAATGCGCGGAGTTAAATAAAAATAACAATTTTGTTTTCCCTTTGATGTGTCTCCCGTCGGTCGGATTCCTTTTGTTTGTTTTAAGTTTATTTTATACAAAGGCTTTAGGTCTTTCATTTATCGATTGAGACACTACGAAGTCTGCCGGGTCAGCTAGTACCAAATAAAAAGACAACTTTAATTACAAAGATAAGAGTATTAAGCGAAATGTCGCTTAAACCAAATGGCCTATCACCTTTCGATATATACATACTCTGTAACTGCGTGTTTGGACCGCGGTCGCTATACTACGAATCACGGACTTCACATTACAGAGACTAGCGTCATACTTGCGGTGCACGACGGCAGCAAATGGTCAGCGGGACCTTTTTTTGTTACATTGAGGAATCCTATTTACGGATACTCGGCCGATGGAGTCCAGGGCGGGTTATATCGAACTCCAAGACGACTACCGATTAAGCACTATCGATCCACTCCAGGTAGAACCTAGCAGTTGCTTGTCGTCGTGGATAAAAATTCTAATCACCTGCACTGCTACCACAGTGGTAGAAAGATGGCCACGCAACTTATTGGCAGATATTTATTTTCAACTCTGCTTACAATACATAAGTTTATCGCTAGACGCTAGACAAATACAACGCGGGAGCTAGAGCATATATCGGACCTTTAGAATTATAAAGACCCAACTCGAAAAATGTGTTTTTTGAAAACATCGATTCAAGTTCTCAAACCGAAAAAACGTAGAGGAAGGGGACGGAGTGAAAGAGACCGATGGATAGCTTTGTCCCTTTATAAGCTACTTCTGGTCATTTGATTACTAAAAGTCGCTGAAAAGGGTTGTTCTAGGTTCATTGTTTGAATTAAAGACGAAAGCCAAAAATTTCGAAATGGGTCTCTATAATTCTAATGGTGCGATATTAGCTAGCTAAATTAGCTAGAGAAGCCTCAGGTAATAAGAAAAATATTAAACCTACTTCAAGAGTCAAGTACATCAATTAAACTTAACAATGAGATCGCCTCCAGAGCCATTTCAAATAAAAAAATACAAAAACCTTCCACAAATGAGAGAAATCGGTGACCATATTTTAATATTTTTTTTATTGCTTAGGTGTATGGACGAGCTCACAGCCCACCTGGTGTTAAGTGGTTACTGGAGCCCATAGACATCTACAACGTAAATGCGCCCCACCCCTTGAGATATATTCACAAGAGGTCCTATCACCAGTAATAAAGCAAATTTTAATTATAATTTTGGCGGTTTCATTTTTTTTACACGATGTTATTCCTTCACCGTGGAAATCAATCGTGAACAAATATTTGTTAAGAACGTATTTCATTAGAAAAATTGGTACCCGCCTGCGGGATTCGAACACCGGTGCATCGCTAGATACGAATACACCGGACATAAAGTCGTCGTAAAAATAAGTCTGTCAAAGCACAAGTTTTTTTATTGCCTTTGTAGGCCAAAAAGTTGCCGAAGAACAAATGTTCACGATTGACTTCCACGGTGAAGGAATAACATCGTGTAATAAAAATCAAACCCGCAAAATTATAATTCGCGTAATCACTGGTGGTAGAACCTCTAGTGAGTCCGCATGGGTAGGTACCACCACCCCGCATATTTCTGCCGTGAAGCAGTAATGCGTTTCGGTTTGAAGGGTGAGGCAGCCGTTGTAACTAAGTATACTGAGACCTTAGAACTTATATCTCAAGGTGGGTGGCGCATTTACGTTGTAGATGTCTATGGGCTCCAGTAACCACTTAACACCAGGTGGTCTGTGAGCTCATCCACCCATGTAAGCAATAAAAAAGGCCAGACGGGCATGTCGGCCACCTGATGGTGAGTTGTTACTGTCGCTTATAGACGTCAGCAACGCCAGGGGTAGAGCACAGCCGCTAACGTTACCGAGGCACAGTATATCACGGCGTCCCACGGTCAAACCCTGCATTTGCATTTGAAGCAGACGCCAAAATAGTATGTTTCCCGCGGTTTCACGAACTCGATGCAGTAAGAACACCGCCACAGCTCTTATTTTTTATTCTTAGTAGAAACTTTACATAAACCGAAGAGCTCACTACTGGGCAAGCGACGTGTGAGACTGGAGTATCTCCTGAAATGCAATTATCCGTGCCCACGCTTTACATGCAGAACCACATACTAAGGAAAAGCTTGTTAAATACCACGATTAAAGAGTTTAAAACCTCTCCTGGATTGTAGGTTTTTGAAGTGAAACTTCTACAGCGACCTCAAGGTTGCGTTAAACGTTTAACTCTACCATACTAGAGAGCGAGAGTGAATGCTTGGCACTCTACCGTATGAACGTAGTATTACCTGTTGCAGGCCGGCGTGATAACAAATGATATCGCAAAGACAGAGCCCGCCTAACATGTAAGATTAACCTTCTGAGTTTTCTGTAGAGTCACAATCATCTTAAACCTCACAGCCCAGGGTGGGTCTTGTGCATTATGTCTCCCCACACACTATTTCGGTACAGTCAAGTTTCTTTCAATTTCTAGTATTCATTGAACGTTCACTTTGAACGGTGAAAGACCATACAAATGTGAATGTAGGTCAAGAGGATTCCGCACTTAAATAAAAAGGAAATCATGATAAATATTTTTATTTGCAATGATTTAAACATGTTTTAAAATTACGTGACGGTTACATTTCAGAAGCCTAAAACATTAAAACTTTCATACAGCCTAAAGGCATCTTAAAATTGATTAAAATCACATTCTATTAGGCACTACTCGTATATTTAACATAATTTTTCGGCCTCTAAGCATATTTCACCGTATTTCAAAGGGTGAAGAAACCCCTAAAACTTAAATACATTGCAACAATTCTTTAAAAGTTCGATTAAAATCATTTAAAAACCTCTGAGGTATAATTTAAAATCAAACCGGTTGAGCCTGAAAAAGGCTATAAAAGTATCACTTACCAAGTTTTCACGATCGTGTCCATGATGGAGACTACGAAAACTATTATGATACAAAATTAAACTAGATAACAGAAATCAACCTTAATATTATAGATATACCACCCAACTGAATAAAATTCAAATGATTCAAACGATTAGATAATATCCTTAATTATTCAGCAGAGTGTCCCAGCCTCCCTCATATGCGCTCCGTCCAACTGGTGCGAGAGTTTTAATTCGTCAAATTTAGTTTTGTTAAAGGAGAATCGAAGCTTGAGTCTGATTGTCGATATTGTGTTAAGTTTTTTTTAAGCTTTAGTTATGTTTTGTAGTCTGTAGTGTAATGATTAGTTGGAGGTCGCGTTGTTAGTTGATTTAGTGTGGAGGCCAGACGTTTTCAGAGTGTTCGTGCTCGCTGGTACCGCTCGTGGACGGCGACGGAGTCCCTGTTAACAAATTTTAAGTAAAATCAGTTCCAAAAGTATACTTATGTCGACGTGGCCTAAAGGATAAGAGTCCGGTGCATTCGTGTGAGCGATGCACCGGTGTTCGAATCCCAGGAGAGTACAAATTTTTCTTTTGGAATACGCACTCAACAAATGTTCTCGATTGACTTCCACGGTGAAGGAATAACATCGTGTAATAAAAATCAAACCTGCAAAATTATAATTTGCGTAATTACTGGTGGTAAGACCTCTTGGGAGTCCGCGCGGGTAGGTACCACCACTCTGCCATTTTTGGCGTGAAGCAGTAATGAGTTTCGGTTTGAAGGAGGCCTTAGAACATATCTCCAGGTGGGTGGCGCATTTATGTCGTATATGTCTATGGGCTTCATTAACTAAACACTGGGTGGACTGAAAGTTCGTCCACCCATCCAAGCAATGAAAAAAAATCTCAACTGAAGCATACAACTACGGGCTAAGCTTTTAGGCGAAATCGGACGCTCTGGCAACAAGTTGAACATTGAAACCTTACCGTTAGAAGAGGCACTGTTGTATGCCGGGGCGTTGTCGCTCGGCGGCGACTGACGATTATTGTTTTTGCTGCTCCGCATCAAAGGTTTGTGTTGCTCCGTGCTGTGTTGCCAAGACCAGCACGAACGGCAGAAGTAGCTATAAGCAAGACATCTCTTAATGCACAGTTTACATCTACTCGCAGGTATGATACCTGCCAATTATATTTAATGTTTCGCATTTTTTTGGTGTACAACGAAGAATACTCTATCAGTTTTTATTTACGCTATCGAGAACGTTAAAAACTCAGTAACCACACAGCACACGGGAGATGAGTTTATATTAAGGGAGTTCCGAAATTTAAACTAACATTGTCTAGTCTTGTGGTCAACTCACCCAAAGCATGTCGGTTCGCGGCAAAAGTAGGGACCCTGTTGGAGGTTGCATACTGAACACATCGAATCTTCCAGATACGGGTCCACTTGTACCTTAACAAATTATGTAATATTTATTTCAAGAAAATAAATTGTGATATAATATATGTCTAATAGTTGGGTATGTGTTAGATTTTTTAGTACTAACAGATTTTAAGAATTCTTACTAACAAAATGTTATGGTTTATTTTTTATTTTTAAAACTGGAAATTATAAATAATAATTAACTTAAGAGATGCGGTAGAGCCGTAGAGCCTTTTAAGTTAATCACCACACTACCAACCTTTTTAGTGAATTTATCAGTGCGTATCTCGACGTAGGCGGCAGATATCGCGCGAACGTACGATCGCACGTTGTCGAATGTCACTCGTCCCGAGCCGATCGGATATTTGTTTTTGTCAGTGTCAATGCCTAGAATATTAGTTACTTTTAATTTCGGAACTTAATCCTTGAAGCGCCAGCTTATAGAAGTCAACACAAGAAACTGCGCGTGCAACTATGTACGTGAATGAAGTTAAACTTCTTTTTCGATATGTAGTATTGGGGTTTTCTTCATTATGTAATAGAGAATGCTGTGTATATAAGAGATGACAACTTCAACATTTATATTATAAACTTGAAATTATAGATTTAAATACTTCATAAAAATATTAGACTACTCGTTGCTAACGCCCGCGCTGGCTTGTAACATGTATACTATGCGGATGAGTTAGAGAGCCACGCATTCACTCTCGCTCTTTCTAGTATTGTAGCGTTAAACGTTTAACACAACCTTTGAAGTCTCCGAAGTTTCACTTCGGATACTGAAATAAGTTCTTACCTGCGTACACAACGCCCGCGAAGAGGTCGTCCATGACGGTGGCGAGTGCGGCAGCGGAGAGACAGCCGTGCAGCGCGCCCACGAACACCGTGCGGCGCGCCGCCAGCCGAGCGCTCGCCCCGCGCACCCAGCTCGCGCCACTCACCGACCACGGGATCACTTGCACCTTACACATCATAACATCTAAGCCAGCCTTTCCCAAAGTGGGCGATAAGGCCCCCTTGTGGGCGCTGTAGGCCTAAAGGAGGGCGTTAAGAGACCCAGAAAAAAATGGGGGCGTCGTGTAGAGGTCTGAGAGGCGATCTGTAATTTCATCTAAGAGGACTTACACCGACTGAGCCTCACTATAGTGGTTTTTAGCGCTAAAAATACTTTATTCTGAAAGTGGGCAGGAGACTTTGGGAGCCTCTGATCTAAGCTGTTTTTGTTCTTGTAAATTTTATTTCAGATTAGTAGATAAGATTACGATTCTAGTTGCTGCTGGTTTAAATGAATAATAACTGCACCGATCGTTAAATACATATATTCCCAGACATTTTCTGCCTTGCAATAAATTCCATTGCGGTTATATCCTCCCACAGTTGGTAATAGGGAGTAATAAGGAGAGTGTTCAAATGTACCGTAGGGCATATGAGAAGTCCCCAATCAGCACCAAAAAGATTTGAAAAGAGCATGTTATTTTTAAAAGTGTCTAGGATCTAAAGTAATAGATACGTACTTCCTTTGTGCGCATTTTCCTGGAAGTGATCCGGTAATACCAGTCTCGTCCGTCGCATCGACTAGCTGACAGCAGCTCGCGCACACGACGCTCGCTCTCCAGAGTCACGTACGCGAACCCACGGGGCGCGGTGCCGCCGAACTCGCGGCCTGGCCACTCCACACTGACAAACAATTTTACAAAAAAACATCCTAGGCGCTTCGCAGTTCATCAAACACTCGAATACTCACCAGACCGGGTGGAAATGCCTTAGTGTGTGCATCAGGGCGTGCTCGGTGATGTCCCAGGGCAGCCCGCCAAGGAACACCTTCGGCGAGTATACAGCGTTAGGATCCGGGGCACGAGCCGGCAGAGTTCCACTCCATACTACCGCGCCAGATCCATGGTTTGAACTGGTTCCACCTAAGAGAACACGACAAAATGAATTGCTGTTCGTTAGTCTCGCTAAAACTCGAGAACGGCTAGGCGGCTGAACAGATTTGGCCAATTTTGGTCTTAATTATTTGTGGAAATCCAGAGAAAGTTTAAAAGGTGAATAAATATGAAAATGCTCTGAATTAAATAAATCTTTTCCTTTGTAAAGGTTCCGGGTCCGCTAATATTTAATAAAAAATAATAAATGAGAAACGTACAGAATGACGCGCGTCTCTGGGCAAGTTGCATGCGGGTCTCCCGTGCCGAAGCAGAACCCATTTGATCAGACCAAGATGGCTCCATCTATAAACGGGACGTCAGTGATAAGATTTTACACATATTGAAATCGGTAACCTATTTGGTTTTACGAAGTCACTTCTAAGTAAAGAGATCCGTTCACTTACAATCTGTTCGAGGTGATCGTAGCTGAGGCGGCCTGGCGGCGGCACAGACAACATGGAGCGAGGTGACGGAGACGGCAACGTTAACGCCTTCTAGAACATTGGGTGCTACAGGTATTTGCTGCTAACAGACCTACTGTTTATTCATGCAAAGGTCTAAACTAAAGCTCACCTTTCCCCAAATCTCAAGACACTGATAATCCCCCAGACCGTACGCTTGCTTTTAAAAACTTACCAAGGACGCTACGAGGTCTACAATATCTCGCGATGAAGACTCCTCATGGTTCCACTCCGCACCAGGCTGAGCGGATTCGCTGTAAATTTACACAGTTTAACTCGTAACAAAGAAAAAGCTAAAGAGTTAGAAAACTAAAACATCACCTAAATACCTGTAGCTCGTGAACGCACGTGGATGACGTGGCGGGAAACAAGCAGGCGGTACGAGAGACCTGGGGCTCTGGGCCACCTCCGGACTGCGAGGCTCTTCCCACCGCCATGTGTTTTCACCACGGTACTCCTAATAGAGTAAACCATTCCAATTACACCAGAAAACTAACAATACTTTTTTAAAGGGTTTCGAAAATACTGCTGTTATGTTAAGAAATCAAACATTAAAGGAATCCAATCTAAATATGCGCCCGAAACTCAACAAGCGTGAAAAATACTCGCACAAGTTGTTCCGGATCATGTCCGATTAACCGCCTTTGCCTTGGCATGAGCCTACGATAATATCAAATTGCCCGGACCATGCCAATACGAACCACGCCAGACTGCCAAGTTGTATTGTACACAATATTAGGTTGCATCGTCTCAGTTCAAGATTAGTTTCTTACTTCGGTCGTAAATTTGAGACGACATTGGATTTTTTAAATTAATACCCCCGGTTGAATAAACGAAATCTCAGCCAAGACAGTTATCAATTATTAACCGGCTAGACGGCGAATACATCTAAAATCGATTATAAGCGAGAGATGCATAAATTATTACGGTCGAACTTGAACATGAGTAGTCGCAATTGTTCCGAAAATAAGTGCCCCGAAATAGGAAGAGCGCATTTAAAATCAATAAAACGGCTTACGGCCTAACCATTTATGAAATTATACAGCTCCAGTATACAGACGAATCAGTTTTAAAACCTTTACAGAGTTATAACAATGGTAAACAGGCAATCTCTGATATGTGCAACACAATACGAGAGTTGCTCAATTGTATTAGAACGGTAGCGCATAAATTTAAGCCGGAACAAGATTACTTCGTGATGAAATTTCAGGATAAGTAGTACATACAATATAAACTACCCTCATTTTTAAATTTTGAAACCGTAGATTATTTCGTACGATATCTTGGGATAATACAAATACAAGGGCCATATAAGCTACTGGAAGTGCAGTAAAGAGGGTTTGTTGCAATATTTGGCACTGATCGCACATTACGCGGCGCGGGGTTGGCACAAGTCTAGGCTTCAACATTAACTTCATCAAACCGGATGTCGAGCTCCAAGTTATTATGAAGGGATCATAAAAAATATTTATTTATGTCATATCCTCTACGCAAAATTGGCACCCAACGTGGGGCACAGCAACGCACGTGGTGGTACAGAGTCAAGAAACAATTTAATAGAATACTTGCATTATGCCGAGGTCGAGGTGTAGCGACAGACTCTACGAGAGAACTAGAGTCGAAGCCAAGAAAGTCTGCAAATGAGCGTCTATTTTCATTAGAGCTCCCGCCGCGATTAATGTCCTGAGTAGATTAAAAAAGAAATTAATTTAGTAAAAATAAGAAAAACTGTTCTAAAAACAGTGAAGGCCGCAATGTGGATCAAAATTTTCATATTTCATGAAATAAAACTTTCCGAACTACCTACCAGTTTTCATCTGAAAACTATGTCCTTGAAAATGGAAATAGTCTTGATACAAAAGTAAAATGAGGTTTCATAGTATTGGAATTGACTAAACTTACTTGATGTAACAGCGGCATGTTGCCGCCAAAAAGTTTTCCCCGAAGTCTACGATGTAAAGTGCGGATTCGCCAATAGTCTGCCCTCAGTAACCAAGCGCAACGGCAGCACCCAACGAACTGACAGAGCACAGTCGCTCCGCGCAAGACGAAGCCACTTCAACCCCTTCCACTATCCCCACCCGAACCACCCCAAAGAGAAGGGAGAAACACCACGTTGTCAATACAAGCACTATTTTAACTAGATGATAAATTAAATTACTTTTAATTTTAGTTTTCGTGGAGGAATATTTCGGTAGTCAATTGAATTTAATATTGATACGAATTGTGAATAAGATACATTTATTTGCTTCGAAATAGTTAAAGAGTCAGAAAAAATTTTCGAAGAAAAACTATACAGTGTCTTAAATTTTTCAAGAAAATTTCTGACTTGCCCATTTAAAAATTAAAACATATTTTTTAAAGAAATAAATAAAAGGCATTGATGATTTAAAAATATTTATTTTATTTAGCTATATTATTATTTCTATTAATCTAAATCTTAACTTACTTAAAAGTCTACATCATTTGAAAAAATATTACTAATACATAGGATGTTCTAATGAAGACTGAAGACAGATTCTGGATTTTTCAGATAAAAGTATCTCAAATATATTATTAGTAACATATGCACTGCGACTATGGACACAAAACGTTTATGTTTTTACTTCTAAGAGAAAATTGTAGTTATTGTTATATGTATATATTTTTACTGGTGGTAGGACCTCTTGTGAGTCCGCACGGGTAGGTACCACCACCCTGCCTATTTCTACCGTGAAGCAGTAATGCGTTTCGGTTTGAAGGGTGGGGCAGCCGTTGTAACTATAATTGAGACCCTTAGAACTTATATCTCAAGATGGGTGGCGCATTTACGTTGTAGATGTCTATGGGCTCCAGTAACCACTTAACACCAGGTGGGCTGTGAGCTCGTCCACTCATCTAAGAAATAAAAAAAAAAAAAAAAAAGAAAATGACAGAATTTCAGAATTATCTACAGCAATTTTTTTTATTGGCCTCGTACGTAGACGAGCATACCGCCCACCTGATGGTGAGTGGTTACCGTCGCCCATGGACGTCAGCAATGCCAGGGGCAGAGCTGGGCCGCTGCCTACCGCTGTAGACAGTCTTTCACAAAAATAAAATTGAAAAAACTTTTAATTTAGACAAAATTCATTTATTAACAAAATTCATACATTCTGTTGCCTGTCCTGGTGAAACTGGAAAGGCCTCCGGGCCACCAGTAATCCTTCAATTATAAAAAAAAAAACATTCTGTTGCGTAAATGATTGATAAAATATTATAGATATTTTACATGATTACATTTCAATTTACTAATACAAGTGATCCATTAGTCAATCTATACTAATTATCAATATTAACATTTTTTTTCATCCGACTGCGTTTTTTTTGTTGAATTTTATCATATGAAAAGATCTTGTAAAGAAAGCAATCCAGAACTAATTTAATTAATCTAAGCTTATTAGTAGTCCAGATCGCAACTTCAGGATAATCGGTACTAGTGTACAATGTGCTCTACATTGTTATTTTTTATTTGTTACCTACGCGTTAGTTACGCTAAAATGCAATTTAGCACTTAGCTTAAACTATTTAATATTTAAATGTGTTTGAAAAGTCCTTGATTAATTGATACAAAACAATACTTTGGTGCACCGAATTTTGATATTATTTAATTTATATTTTATAATAATTATAATACAAATTCCTTTTAAAGACTTGTTACAAAGAAAAGAAAAAAGCATTTTTTTGTTTACCTATTTAATTATTATTCAGTATTTATTTTTTAAATAAATCCATTAAGATTACAGAAGGCAGAAAATATAGGATATCGATAATTTTTATTACAGCATCGGTGAATGAATCCTCGTTTGGTCATATTATAATTTTTTTTTTATTATTATAATATTAACAACACTAAAACTTAAAAAAAAACAACACTAAAATTTTAGCAAAACTTCTTATTGTTTTTGATTGAAACATCTTTGAAAGCGATGAGAGGAATATTAAATTTTAGAATCGAACCTTTCCGCAACGCGTCTATGTAAATATTTAAAAACGATACACTGCTAGTGAGAAATCAAATACGTTCTATCTTCACGCTCTCTTCCGCAAAAGAAGTTTTACTTCTAAAGAAGCTTCACTTCTAAAGAAGTTTAACTTCCATGACGTGCTAATTTTCTAGAATATTATTCTGTAAGTTAACGTTAATCTGCTCTAGTAATGTTCAGTCGGCGAGCCCGAACAGTGGGGCTAGTATAACGCCTTGCGACAGCGGGGAGGAGGGCGCGGTGCGGGGGCGGGGCAGCGGGCCACGCTCGTCGCAGTACACGAACGGGAGGCGGAGGATCCAGTAGGCGGACGCCGACAGCTTGATGGCCGGCGAGCCCACGGGCTGCGGGACGAAGATCGGCCCGCCGGGCACCGGCTGCACCTGGTGTATAATTATTCAGTACTATTATTTATTTCAAAGGCATAGAATTAATATTTGGAAGTGAAACTTCTTTGAGAGTGATGAGAGAGAAATTAAAAGATGGTGTTTGCAGCTTTTTATTAGGCTGTTACCGGAGTGTGCTGATGTACCGGAACATTTATATTTTCACACGCTTGCTATCTCACTTGTCTCTGATTCTAATGTAAGTGAACTTTTTTTTCTTAAATATTTATAAAATTACTTTTAAATCTAAAAATTGAACTTCGGTGGCAGCCGCAATTTTTTTTTTTTGTGGAACGTTAATTGAACCATTTGTTTCTAAAGTCAAGACAGAATTCTGTTACTTTAGTAGCTACGAAATATAGTATCATGGTACCCTGGGATCCAGCGTGACGTGTACAGGAGCCTTGGGTGTGACGACGTGCAGCCGGGTGAGCTGCGCGGGGAGGGGCACGGAGCACAGACAGGGCACGTACAGCGGCATGTCGCTAGCCGCCAGCCGCGCGCCCGCCTCGCGCCCGCACGAGCCCCCACTCACCGCACTCGTGGGGGACGACATCATCAGCCTGGGGACCGACGCACACGGAGCCATCATAGTCACTCCGCTCTGATAGAATGTTCATGCCTAGCAGCTGTGACCCGACCGCTATGAAACTATGTCTTCATGTCATGACGGTGACCACTTCAACAACAGAGGATGTTTGTGTTCGGAATAATAAATATTTTACTGGTAGGACCTCTTGTGAGTCCGCGCGGGTAGGTACCACCGCCCTGCCTATTTCTGCCGTGAAGCAGTAATGCGTTTCAGTTTGAAGGGTGGAGTAGCTGTTGTAACTATACTTGAGACCTTAGAACTGATATCTCAAGGTAGATGGCACATTTACGTTGTAGATGTCTATGGGCTCCAGTAACCACTTAATACCAGGTGGGCTGTGAGCTCGTCCACGCATCTAAGCAATAAAATCTATCTAACAGATATTTTAAAGACATCACCTGTGTCCTCTGGGACATTCATATTCAAACCCGATGAAGATTTTGACAGTGAGGTGATGCGGCGGGGTCGGCTTACCGCGGCCGCGGGACGATGCCTGAGCCATGCGCCATAGGCTCACTTGTTCCATCCTAGAAGATACAGATTACATTATTATTTGCATAAATAAATAAGTGTACACTTTTTTAAGTCAGATTTATTTTTTCCCTCTCTAAGCACCTGTCATTTTTGTAAATACTTTGACATTGGCAAAATCAATGCCAAAGGCGTTGGAGCCAAATTATCTAAAAGAAGAAGAGAAGAAGTAAGATTTGGGTGCAAATTTTTTGTCCAATCCATCTCCCATATAAGAAGTTAAACTTCTGTCACCTATAGTGCACTTTTATAGCTTACATTCATCATCAGCTGCGCCATTAACATTGTAATAACATTAAAATTAATCCGAAAGTTAACCTGCTTTGAGTATATCTGAACACACTTCAGCTTATGTAAACGTTCTGGAACAAGTGGAAGCTATGTGGTACGAACCCTGATTGGATCTTACACATGTCCTCTTGCTTTTTTTTTCTCCTACCTAAGCTGAGAGCCTTGAGAGGCTATTTCAGCGTAACCTTAACTAGTAGGTGAGCTCACGGGGCTCAAACCTGATGACGTACTAACGCGAACCCTAGCAAGAGCCGTGCTTCGCAGAATCCACCACCGGACCGGAAACGCGACCCACTGAGAAAATCCGGCGAGAAACTCAGTGGGCTGTGTCTGGGGGTTAAGTCTTCTTGCGAGTCGCACTTGTGCTACCGACTAAACTTGTACTGAATGCTATTTACCTGACGGCGCAGTCCCAGGGCAGCAGATAGTTGGTGTGGGGTAGGAAGCCGGGCTGCAGGTGGTCCGGCAGGCCCATGCTGTGCGAGTACAGAGAGGAGGCGCCCACGCACACCAGGCTCCACGAGCAGTAGGCGGGCAGCAGGCCGGCCGGGCTGGCGGTGTGCAGCATGCCCGGCAGGTACTCCGTCGTCGACGGCTGGCGGCGGATCATCTTATCTGTCAACGATAAACAGACCCGCTAGAGACACGTCGCAACTCAAACTGTTATTAAAATAATATTTTTTGACTTGTTTTTTCGTTTTTGTAAATATTTTTACTTAATTTAAAAAAAAAACAAAAAAAGATTTGAGAAAAAAACAAAAAAAAGCCCGCTGATTTTGTTCCGCCGGTTCTTCTCAGGACTGTGGTTTTTTTTGGAACCGGTGGTAGAGTTAACATTGTTATTTATATTTTGACATTCAACAAGTGTGTTACGCTGACATCTAAGTTGAAATAAATGATTTTGAATTTGTAATTGAAAAAAAAAAACATTGTATGGGTTAAAGCAGATGGGATTTTTTTGGGCGGGAACGTGTTAGTGTGATGTCGTGTGAATTATTCTATTTTTCCAAATTATTCTTTAGGCATACACATAAGTGGCAACTTATCAACAACCGTCTAGTTTATTAGATTTTACATCATTTACTCAATTGAAGTAGGTAACACAAATGATAATTTTATAACAATTAAATATCGCTGGTTTTTCGTCACGACTGTTTCTATTACTCGTCGTAGAACTTGTTTTAAAGATTATGTAAATCTTTAAATGACATTTAATTTGAATTAGAAAAATATTTAGGTTTAAAATTATTATTTTATACGGTGCTCTATGTTAGAGTGAATTTCATTATCACTACCGCCATCTATCGTAGGCCGATGGTACTATGTCAAATTTCTTATAGTGTCGTCAACCACAAATAATTGAGGTAAATCGGATAAGCACGTGTGTGTTGTATAGATCTCAATTTACTAATCCTCTCAATTTAATATACACAATCTCATTTAAGGTTTTTTAATCTATTTTAATTTTAAATACTATAAAAAAACTGACCAGTATTAGAGTCCCCAGTAACGGGCACGACGTATCTGTTCTCGGCTGCGGGGGACTTGTTCTCCTCGTCGTCGTCCCCGCCCGACCCCGGGGACAGCGCGTGCGGCGCGGACCAGCCCCCCGGCTCGTCCCCCTCTCCCCCCTCGCCCCCCGACGCGGAGTTCCCCTCCGTCTCGCGGACCGTCGAACTTTCGTTGGCCTCTTGACTTTGTGCTCCTTTTACTGATGCCGCTCTGCAATAAGCGCAATATTGAATTTAGCATAATAATTTAACATACTAGTAAAGCACATTCAAAAACTTTTTTTATTATTCTTTTTTATCTCTCTCAAGTCTCTCAAGACTTAGGTAGGAAAAAAAAAAGCTACACGCATAGTACTTGTAGGTGGGCGTGGAGGGCTGGAAGACCGGGAAGGCGATGGCCTGCAGCGTGCGGCAGTGCGCGCACTGGTCGGCCGCGAGCGAGTAGAAGGCGAGGTTGGCGGCGCGCGGCGTGTACGGGTCGTCGCGCGAGCACTTGCTGCGCCCGCACGCGCACGCCGACACGTAGCGCACGCCCGACGAGTGCTCCGTGCCGCCGTCGCTGCACACCACACCAGACACCTTCATTATCACTAGACTGGAGCGAGAGGCACCGGCCTGAAGCGTTCGTGGCTAATAAGTAAAACGGTTTAAATGGCTCCGGGAGACAGACTTAATTCTAGAAATATGTTCTCAAAAATGTTGACCCTACAAATTCAATTCTTGGGTAGAGATCATATTGTTAAGTGTAGCGCCATCTATCGCCGAATAGTCGAACGAATATCGAAGGATCTAGTAGCACCTAGAACGCTCGAGAAATACAACGCCGTCTACTGTCAGATAGCGGAAACACAATACTAGAGATGTGTGGAATACTCTTGATAATTCTAGGGATGTGGTATCGGCTATAAAAGCGTTGCAGGGATGGCACGCAGTCAGTCAGTAATCAGAACTACTCGAAGCAAAACAGCGAACGGATCACCTAAGCGAAGCAGTAGAAGCGAATTGATAATTTTAAAGTGTTTGTTAGGTGTTTTAGGTGTTCTAAGTGTTGAATACAGTTTTTAAGTTGTACTCCGGTAGAATTTTTATTTATCCCGAACCCCAGCGCGTAACAATATCAATATCAGGCTCGGGAATTTCCAAACCAAAATGTCTTAAGCAATGGCTTTTTTAAATTGAAAATTATACAAAGGCGTTTATATATTGACATTGCATATGTTATATACTGACTGTTCGGGTTCTATACACGGATGTCCGGTGAGGGACAACGCCTCGCACAGACTGCGGGAGCGCCACGTGACGTCACACGCGGCCTGCAGCCTCGCGCGAGCCCCGCCCGCCAGCGGACCGCGGGCCATCGTCTCCAGCACTCCTAGGGCTACCTTCACCTACAAGCATTACCTATATTTATAAAAAAAACTAGCTGTACCCGTCCGCTTCGCTGGGCATTTAAAATTAACATTGTTATTTCTCACCCCCACAAAGATTCTCATCATTAACGCCCCCGCAACTGGTGTAAAGGAGTCCAACACTCATATAAATATTAGCCTATCCATTAAGTAAATGTATTTTCTACATGGATACCAAGTTTCAAGTCAATCGGATGGATGGTTCAGTAGTTATAACGAAACATCCGTAAAAACCACTGTAGATTTATGTATTATTATAGATTGTATCACGTTGTTTGTCCGCGATGAACTTCTAAACTAATGAGCCGATTTCAATGACACTTCACACACCGTGTATAGTTTGGCCAAACTTGAGAAACACAATAGTTTTTATCTCGATTTACCGTGTATATTTATTTTATTTCAAATAATTTGTTTCTGTTGGATTCTAATGATGAGAATAGAGTTGTATTGGTTATTAATAGATGGCGATACATTTATGGTATCATTTGTATTTATATACTCAGATAAAGACCTGACTCTGATTAAATTTGGTACAGCTGTGATTAGTGTTCCAAGGAAGGTTTCCGCCGTAGCATCATCAATTTATAATTCATGGCGCGTGAATATTTTCAAGAAACCCATGTTTCTCATACAATTTAGTCATAGTAACAGCGAAACGTGACGGGTTTACTAGCAATATGTAAATAACAACTAATAAAAGTGAAATATAACTTGGTATTTTTTTTTATTATATTGTGACATATATACTTTCTCAATAATTTCGTAATGCTCAGGGAATCTCTCCTGGGTATTAACTTTTTTCACTATCTATTCCCTGGTAGCCTAAGGGGCTATTTCAGCTACCTTGGGTAACACTAGTCGATATATAGCTGTGCGGTGTCGGCCTGGAGTAGCAACACAACATCTTCTTGTGTCTGTCGTAAAGCAACTAGTTACCAAGGTCAAGCAGCATATGTTATGATTTATTTATATCGGTTTGAAAGGTGGGACAATCAGCTGGTACAGTGAGAATACGGTCTTAAGTGTCACGGTGGGGGCGTCAATCACGTTGTGACGTCAGTGTGCTTTGTGCGAGTTTCTTAACTTTTTAGCTTCCCTTCGTTTGCCGCTAGGGACGCTGTTCTAACTCCATAAAAATTTGAGTTAACTTTTACGCGTTCGAAAAGTTAAAAAACTCGCATTAAACACACTGCACTTTTCGGTCTCCGCTCTGACCATAATAACAGAAAGTAATCGTTTCAAATTAAAAAAAAAAAAAAACAAGCAAACAAAATTCAATTTTCCTCCTTCAATATATTTGTTTGGATAAAAAAAAACCAATAAATTTTTACTTTTCGATTAGAAACATTTACCTAATATATATAACGTAAGAATGATTGTACCTTATGCGCGTGGTGTTGGCTGGAGTAGTGCGCCGGCATGCCCTCCGTGTAGGATGCCTGAGCTATTGGTAATATCTGAAAAGCACATCCTAATGAAATCACGCCCTTAATGTCCTTCATACATTCTTAACTTTAGCTAAAGCAGTGGTCATATTTAGTATCGATAAATTTTTTTAATTGTTTATAGCGAAGTCCGAGCTCACAGTCTACCTGATGTTAAGTGATTACCGGACAGACATCTACAACATAAATGCCGCCACCCACCTTAAGATACGAGTTCTAAGGTCTCAGTATAGTTACAACGACTCCCCCGCCCTTCAAACCGAAACGCATTACTGCTTCACGGCAGAAATAGGCAAGGTGGTGGTTCCTACCCGCGTGGACTCACAAGAGGTCCTGCCACCAGTAGATTACTAAACCAACCATAGATCTGAAGTTTTTTTTTTACCTTGGCGCATCGAGCCTGGGAGAACCGTACGTCAGTGGCGAGTATCAGGAACAGAGTGCGGCCGATCTCCGAGCCCTCGTCCACCTGCACGGGATCCTCCAGGTACAGCGGCGTCAGGACCTCGGCTGCTTTACGCCATGATTCTGCGCTCGGCAGCTGTTCAACAACCAACGCCATTGAGTCGAAATCTTCTTGTTGGTGTCAATTTTTTTTTAATGCCCTTGTAGGCATTCGAGCATACGGCCCACCTGATGGTGATTGGTTACCGTCGCCCATGGACTTCAGCAATGCCAGGGGCAGAGCCAAGCCGCTGCCTACTAATTTAATTGAATATGCAATTTCGAAAAGGGCACATCTCCGAAAATGTAAAATGTTCAGGAAATGAAAAAAACTGATTATTATCTAAAGCAGTGTGAAATTTAAAATATTAACTTTTGAGTAACATATATTTTAGTGTTAATTAGCAACTGAAAATTACTGGAATTATTATAAAACGGGTGTAGGTAAGCCTCGAAACTACATGTATAATATGAAAAAACTTATTTGACAAAATATGCTACATGTGCCCTTTTCGAAATTGAATATTCAATTGGACTTGTTGTTTGGTGCGGCCGTCTGGTGTACTGGTAAGTGACATGGTCACTACACAAGGGGGTTACGGGTTCGAATCCCGCCAAGAAAAGATATTTGTATGATAAATATAAAATGTCTTTTTCAGGGTTATGGATGTTTATTAAATATATGTATGTGTGTATAATAAAAATCTTACATTTATTTCCGTTATCTAGTACCTGAAATACAAGTTCTTTACGAACTTAACACGGGACCAGTTAACGTGGCGTGATTGTTAGTAAATATTTATTTATTATTATTTATTTTGGTATAGATAGGAAAAAATCATAGATATTAGGACGAAGTCAATGCATTAGATTAACGTTTATCCTACCAGGAACGTATCGTTCACTTATGAAACAGGCAGTATTACAATATTAACTTGTCCAGGCCAATAGCGGGCCCAGTAATTTTTTTTTTCTCATACCGACGCCTAAAGTTCGATTTTCGTCCTGCTGTACAGGGAAGAAAGTGTAACATTTCTTCCCTGGGTACTGACAAGTGCGCATGCGCGTTAGTGTCTACGTCTGCTCTCACGCACCTAAAATTCCCCGCCATTGTTGTGCTCGGGTAATTTGCAATATTGTGTTTAGTGTAAGTTTGTTTAGTAAAAGTGAAATAAACAAAAGGCAATAAAATTTAATAGTGAAGTATTAAACAAAGATGAGTTCATCCGACAGGTTTATTTAATTAGTAGTAGTTTATTTAAAAATTAAAAAAACAGTTAAAGTGTTTGCCCCCGTCGCTTTCGGCTCCGGTGGCAATTTTACACGCGGAAGGAAATGTCCAACTTTGCACAATCATGAACTCGTATTGTATAAGTTATTTTAGACGGTCACTAAACATAAAACAATCATACCTCAAAGAATGACGTACTCATCGCGTATTTCCCGACGTTGTCGTCGAATCCTTCGGCGAACGCCAAGTCTATGTGCCCCTGCAGGAACTGCGCGAAGCCGGGCCTCTCCCCGGCGGGGCGGTCGGGCAGCGCGCCGCCACACATGCGCACCAGCCCGCTCACCAGCACGCTAACGTCGCGAGCGTTACACACTTCCTCATCGGTGCTTATGTACACAAACTCTTCATTTTTCGGTATTGCAAATAGGGCTTTTGCACTGTAAAATAGTTTAAACTGAGAGTTAATACTCCTTAGTGATAGGCTTAGGATTGGCAAATCAAGATACCAATATGGCCTTTTTTCTTTTATTGCTTTTTTCTTTTTTCTTTTATTGCTTTTTTCTTTTATTGCGGTCCAGCTGTTCTCGAGTTTTAGCGAGACTAACGAACAGCAATTCATTTTTATATATAGAGATTGCTTAGATGAATGGACGAGCTCGCTACTGGAGCCCATAGACATCTACAACGTAAATGCGCCACCCACATTGAGATATAAGTTCTAAGGTCTCAGTATAGTTACAACGGCTGCCCCGCCCGCGCGGACTCACAAGAGGTCTTAGCACCAGTAAAAATGCCTTTCAAATACTGTACAAATAATAAATACATGAGATCTGAAGTTTGGCAGATACCAGGAGTTTCTCAAAATACAAACCCCAAGAAAGTTTTTCCATGTGAGGAATTTAAAAAGAAATAATACATGCTTTTTTTTCTAGTTTTAATGGAAACTAACCTATTTCAGTTACAATAAAACTCATATTATGTACACAACCTTCCGAGAGTATCGGGATACTCGGGGTCGACATTTCGAGCGATGTCCAGTTTCAGAGTCATTTGGAAGGCAAAGCAAAGTTGGCGTCCAAAATGCTGGGAGTCCTCAACCTAGTGAAGCGGTACTTTACGCCTGGACAAAGGCTTTTACTTTATAAAGCATAAATCCGGTCTCGCGTGCAGTACTGCTCCCATCTCTGGGCCGGGGCTCCCAAATACCAGCTTCTTCCATTTGACTCCATACAGAAAAGAGCCGTTCGGATTGTCGATAATCCCATTCTCAGGGATCGTTTGGAACCTCTGGGTCTGCGGAGGGACTTCGGTTCCCTCTGTATTTTGTACCGTATGTTCCATGGGGAGTGCCCTGAGGAATTGTTCGAGATGATACCGGCATCTCGTTTTTACCATCGCACCGCCCGCCACCGGAATAGAGTTCATCCATACTACCTGGAGCCACTGCAGTCATTCACAGTGCGTTTCCAGAGGTCTTTCTTGCCACGTACCATCCGGCTATGGAATGAGCTCCCCTCCACAGTGTTTCCCGAGCGCTATGACATGTCCTTCTTTAAACGAGGCTTGTGGAGAGTATTAAGTGGTAGGCGGCGGCTTGGCTCTGCCTCTGGCATTGCTGAAGTCCATGGGCGACGGTAACCACTCACCATCAGGTGGGCCGTATGCTCGTCTGCCTACAATAATAATAATAATAATAATAATAATAATAAAAATCATTTATTGCCTTTCACATCACAGAAAATAAAATGAAATACAAATAAAGAAAAGGACAATAAATAAAAAAACTCACCAAACATTAGTTATGATCCTAGACTTTCTAAGTATAGAATAAAGCTGGTCTTCAATGGAGTGTTCAAGTCGTTTTAAAGCGGCAGGATTACGTTTCAAAGGCACGGGAGCTCGACGCATGTGGAACAGTAGCCGTGGGCAACAGCAACGTCCATGCGAGATCCATGTGCCACCTAACTCTGCTTCAGATAAGGCCACTGAGGTACGGTTTGTTATTTCCAATCTATCAAGACAATGTGTATTCATTAAATAGACATAATATTTTAATCTAATTGTTATTTTAGTTCGTCCAATTTTTGTTGTGAACGATGAGAAGACTGCTTTTTTTAATGCTCAAGTTGTGAGATTAATCAAATAAGACTATGAATAAATAAGTAAAATACATTAATAAAATTACTTTAAGTTTTTTTTTTATTGCTTAGATGGGTGGACGAGCTCACAGCCCACCTGGTGTTAAGTGGTTATTGGAGCCCATAGACATCTACAACGTAAATGCGCCACCCACCTTGAAATATAAGTTCTAAGGTCTCGGTATAATTACAACGGCTACCCCACCCTTCGAACCGAAACGCATTACTGCTTCATGGTGGAAATAGGCGGGGTGGTGGTACCTACCCGTGCGGACTCCCAAGAGGTCCTACCACCAGTGATTACGCAAATTATAATTTTGCGGGTTTGATTTTTATTACACGATGTTATTCCTTCACCGTGGAAGTCAATCGTGAACATTTGTTGACTACGTATCTCATTAGAAAAATTTGTACCCGCCTGCGGGATTCGAACACTGGTGCATCGCTACACACGAATGCACTGGACGTCTTATTCGTTAGGCCACGACGACTTCAACGACGTCGTTGTTCGGAACTTGTATTATACAAATTACAAGCTATATAGGTATATATTGAAAATGTCGTAAGCGAAATTCAGGCAACTGTCAAATATCTTGGTGCTGTACGATGGCTACCCGCTACATCTCTTATCCTTTAGGCCACTACGACTTCTTTAAAAACTTTAAAAACTTTTTCAGTAAAACTAATCTTTTCAGTACTTTAAAAACTTTTTCAGTAATGTAGCAAATGTGATTCATTGATCAGATCTCAATTCAGGTACAGTGGGACTTGGGAGGTAAGTTTTTTATTGTGATTTTGGGTGAACAAACTCAAGATACCTCCTTAGAATAAGATGGTTCTGGAGTCCAGAACTTTATAACCTCAATTAGTGATACTGCACATTCTCTAGAGAATCCCTTTTATGAAAACTATTAAAATTTTAGGATTCTTCTTGGCCAAAATCATAAAGCTATGTTTAGGTTAAGTTAAATTTTAAAAACTATTGAACCATCCAAGCTCTGTACCAAGGTGGGTGGTGGCATTATCATTGCAGTTTCTATAGAAATCAGTAGAAATTATACCCATCTAAGCAATGAAAACATTTTAGGTGTTGATAAAATGTAGTAACTTATTCTGTATGGTTACACAGTGTGTGTAGTTAGCAGAGGAAGCTGTGAGCTTGTTTGCAAACCCAAATAAAAATTAATGCTTAAGAAAAAAATGCTTACCTAAAAGCATCAATAGCTTTAAATAGTTGTAGGTATCCGAGATCAAAAACAGTGGTGGGTGATGACAGCACCACAATATGACACAAATTAAAAAGCAATCCAATAATCTTGCATGAGTCTATAGCTAGTTCACCCGATGCAACAAGCCAATTTGAGGCATCTGCATCTTTAATTGTGCTTTTGGAATTCTCATTCAAGTCAGCAGCTAAGGCTGAAAGATGTTTTGTGTCAAGATACGTGAGGGCATGGAGAAACAGAACACCACGGCGTTCATCCCAGTGACATTCGATGCCAATCTAAAATATTAATTGCCTATTAGTCATTTAAAAATGTGTGTGCATTTTAACTTTGTTTTTTTATTCCTGTATAAGATGCATGCGGCGGCCTCTATTTTGTTTTTTGTTAAGTTGAAATAGTAAGCAACAAATAATTTCCATAAATTCACTTACTTCTTGAGATTGTACTGCAGAAAGTAGTGGAGTTGTCTTGTTTGGATATCGGTGAGGAGATTTACCAATAATTCCGACAACTACTATTCTCTCTCTTTTGGAAAACTCTGGTATATCATTTAATTTAAAAACCTTCATATTTTTCAATTTTTTTTCCGAATCTGTAGCTTATTTAATTAAAATAATCAGGTATACATTTCCAATTTTCTAATAAGTATATGTCCATTTTCTTGTTTAATAATTTTAAGTGTATTCTTTATTATGGTTTGTTTAGGTCAATTATACAGAATGTAATAATACTTAATATTATAAATATAGTATGAAGATTAAAAACAGAATCAGAAAAATATATATGCGATAAAATACTTAAGCAGCTATGAAATTGTTTTATGTTTTTTGCTCTACTTTTAGTAATATCTGTCAGTTTCGATGAAAATAAAAATTAAATGCGGAGTGCTATTGTAGGTTGTAGTTGACACTTGACAGTCTTGTAAAGTCAATGTCAGTACTGACACACCACTTGACACACGGGCACAGCTGTCCTAAGTTGATTATAATGTAAATAGGTACAAAATACAATGCCTTTCTAATTGTTCAAGCTTCAAGGTTATAAAATAATATAATAGTAAAAGTAAACGAGTGAAAATTGAAATGTAACAGTTATCAGCGTAAGATCTGTACGGACGCACGTCGTTTTGATATCTAAGCCTAGTTACTTCATTTATTAGTCAATACAGATAAGTTATCAGTGAAAAAAGCGAAATAATTGTGATAATAAAAATTATAGAAAATCGTATTGAATTTTTCGATATGTCATCAATAACTGAGGATGTTTGCGAGCTTTTGGACAGTTACAATGGCAGAGATAAGGTAAAGTATGCGGAAATTAAAAAAGCCTTGATATTTACGCAGCACCGGTAATACCGGTAAGCTTGTAGCAAGCTGTTCACTAAATCATACTTTAAAAATTCATTGATATCCTTAAATATGTGTGCTTATTAAAATGTAATATGCTTAAAATTTGTGTAGATAATAGCTGTATAATCTTTATAAATTAACTTTATTTTACTAAACAGTAATACTCACTCACACCAAAATTATACAAAAAAATTATTTAATTCCAGGTTGTCCGTCTTGCTTGTTACACATTCAAGTTGTATGGATGTCTTACCGACAATAAGCCTTGGCAGACAGCAGGCTCACGACTCTCAAATGCCAGGATGATGCTACGACTGTTTGATGACATCCCGATGATCAGACACACATATAATTATGGATTAGGAAGAATTGTGAGGCGTTAATATTCATTAATAAAATAACTTATTTTTTGTAATAAGCAGAGAATAGGTTTACAGCCACCTTATGCTGTGTAGTTTTCACATAATAGGCACTGTAATGTCAGCACTACTACCTACCTCGAAAATAGTATGTTACTTTAAGTAGTAATCTATTTTAGTTTGAATTTGTGGGGCAGTGGTACTATAAAAACTGAGACTTAAAACTCATGTCTCAAGGTGGGTGTTGACATGTTTATGGGTTCCGGTTACCATTTAGGGCTCCAGTAACTGTTTAACACCAGGTGAGCCGTGAGCTCATCCAATGATCTAACCAATAAAAAATACTAAAAAGAACCAGAAAACTTTCTATTCATTAATATTAAGTTGACTTGGAAAACATTTTCATTGGAAAAGTATTTTACTAAACTAAACAGTCAATTTTGCTCTCACCCATTGTCAATACGGGGTAGTACACCCTTTTCAGACCTTGCTTAAAGAGCAACATGTTAAAACCCTGGAACGATGTTCATTCCAGACTCAAATAGTATTTAAAATGAATAACGCAGTGACAATTTTGAATTCACTCCAGCCGCTCCATATACCCAAAGAGTTTGTTTCTCAGAAATATTTAATATAATAAATTTTGTTTAATTATGTAAACTTTTCCTTAATGCTGATACTACTACAAATTTTATACTATTCCAGGAATCATCAAAAATAGCAGCAACTTTAGGTGTCCTAGCTAATGTGGTAGACCAAGCATTCCTCCCAGTGGAAAAAGCATGCTGGCTTTATGACGTAGGAGTACTAAAACTGACTCCTGAAACAGCAGAGAAATTAGAGACTATCAGCACTAGTTTATGGGCAGCTAGTTTATTTATATCACTTTTACAGTGAGTTTTATCATATTTAATAACCTATGACAATAAGATCACCACTACATCAAGATCACCCATGCCATTATAATGATGTCACAGTATAAATTACTTACATAATATATCTAAAAAGACTGTAGACAATATTCCTTTGCGAAAATAATTATAACCTAAAAAAAATAATCCCTGCATATATAATTGAACGAGCTCACGTACAACCTGATGTCAAATAGTTATCGGAGCCCTTAGATATTACAACGCAAAAACAAGCATAATACGCAATGACATGTCCTTCTTCAAATGAGGCTTGTGGAGAGTATTAAACGGTAGGCAGTGGCTTTCCTCTGCCCCCGGCATTGCTGACGTCCATGAGCGATGGTAAACATCAGTGTGCTTAGTGTGAGTTTTTTAACGTTCTCGATAGTGTAAAAGTTAACCCAATTTTGTATGCATTTGGAACAGCGCCCCTAGCGGCAAACGTAGGCAAACGATCCCATTCCATACTAATATGAGCTAACATTTACGCTCGTCGTAAAACGTATGCTCGTCTGCCTATAAGGGTTATAAAAAAATACAATTTTATTTATTTTGCGGGTATGACACAATGTTTTTGTTTCCTCGTGGAAGTCATTCGTGAACATGTGTCAAATATGTAATTCATTAAACAAATTACTACTTGTCCACGAGATTTTAATGCCAGCATTGTCGCATCCCTCTATACGAGTACACCGAGCATCTTATGCTTTAGTCCACGACAACTCAAAGCTAACGTTAGGTTTGTAGTATTATTCCCATTTCGGCTTTGGCGACGGTATAATTATATTTTTATTTGCACATTTATTATTAGGTATTAATTTTAAAATATCTTTGTATATATATTTTTTATGTCATCAGTAATGATAGACTACCCACTGTCTTCATTAATGACAGTGCGTGTCTTTTCAGTTAGAACCGCGAGTACCACTTGGCTCTCGTATATGTGAATGATCGTGCGAAACTTTCGTTACCCGTGTTTTTTCTTTTTTGTTATTATTGCTTAGAACGGTGGCGGAGCTGACAACCCACCTGGTGTTAAGTGGTTACTGGAGTCCATAGACATCTACAATCGAAATGCGCCACACACCTTGAGATATAAGTTCTAAGGTCTCAAGTATAGTTACAACGGCTGCCCTACCCTTCAAACCGAAGCGCATTACTGCTTCACGGCAGAAATAGGCAGGGCAATACCTACCCGTGTGGACTCACAAGCTCCTACCACCAGTTGATGGATGTATGTTTTTCCAGAACAACTCGCGCCATCCAGCACTTGTGTTGGAGCAGGAATTGCCTTCAGACGTTGTCTGAAAACGGTGGAGCTGATGCGAAACTTAAACTAGACATCCGACTAGCCTTACAGGCTGTGGTAGCAGGGAAGCTGTGCCTGGACATCACTCATGCGGTCAGCTGCCTCCCAGCAGGCTGGTTGTGGGGAGAGAAGATCGGAAGCACTAAAGTAGCCGCAATAGCCACAACTTCCTCGGTTATAGGCATAGCCATGTACTTCGCTAGGAAAAGACTGTTGAAATAGATTAACAATATATACTAAACTGAGATTGGTCCTGGACTTGGAGTTGACGTATCTAGGTTGTGTTTATATATGCTGTAGTGACGATAAGCCAAAGTATACACCGGTTGTACTGTGAGTACATCTTTCAAACTAAAAACTAAAATCTATAAAAAAATTGTAGTAAGCACTCAACTGGCCTGTTGCATTCATTCAGCTTGTTTAAATGGTAACATAAAATAAGCTCTATGTGCATAAAAATGAAGCTCTTTCTTACTCAGGCAACCATGTATAGATTCTGGTATTCATAAAATCAAACAACATGGTTGAAGCCAGGTCTTTAATTAAAAAAAATTTAAAAAATTAGTCTCCTTTTAAAAAAAGATATATTATAATAATATTAATGTATCTTATGTAAAATTAAAATGGTACAAAGAAATAAAACTTTCCGAATACCTTCTAATATGAATAGAATAATTCTATTTCCGTTAGCTACAAAGAGCAAAGCTTTTATTTCAGATCTGATTGATTCAGTTCTTGTTACTAAAATAGTTTAGATATAGACTATATTTTATAAAAAAATATTGTGTAAATTTATCTGTTATATTTATAGTTCAAGCCTTTAAAAATGTATTTAAATTAGATACCTATATAAAACTCAAATGAATGTTGAATGACTTAAAAACAGATATTCCATAGAATTCGCCCTTCAATTTATTTAATAACACTTGAATGTATAACAAAAAAAATACAAACAAAATTACTGGTGGTAGGACCTCTTGTGAGTCCGCGCGGGTAGGTACTACCACTCTACCTATTTCTGTCGTGAAGCAGTAATGCGTTTCGGTTTGAAGGGTGGGGCAGCCGTTGTAACTATGTTTGAGATCTTAGAACTCATATCTCAAGGTGGGTGGCGCATTTACGTTGTAGATGTCTATGGGCTCCAGTAAACACTTAACACCAGGTAGGCTGTCAGCTCGTCCAACTATCTAAGCAATAAAAAAAAATGTAAACTGTGAACTACTGTGTGTATTTAAACACGTAATAAAAGAAAAATGTAATTTTTCTTCAAATTGAAGTCAATGCGTTCGGGAACCAGTTTTGAAGCTTGTGGTAAACGATCTACTAACTTAACCTCAATGTAAAATAATATTTATTATTCCAAGCAGATATGTACTTATCAAAGCTTAGAAAATGTACAGATTTAGTTTCATAGTCTTCCAATATATATTTTTAATATTAAAGTATTTAATTTTAGTGCTTTTTTTTGTATATTTTGTATCTAGTAAAATGTAATTGTATACGCACGTATGTAAATATTTATAATTTTGTTACAATGAGGTATGTACATTACCTAATTACTATATTCGTAAATAGTGATGTTGTTTGTACGTGCGAAATCATGGTTATTAAAAGATTTTTGGAAAGTTTCTTTTTTTTAAGAATTGATTAAACATGCTGCTAGTTTATTCAATTCTTCAGCTTAATATTAATATTGTATATTACATAGTTAATTCTTAAAAGTGACTTCATAAAATAATACAATCAAAAACCTTGCAAATAAATTTGGGTAATATGTAGGTAGTGATTTTTGAATATTTATCTTTGAAGCGTGGGGCGTCCTCCAACCAGGTGGACCGACTAATTATTGCGCACGGCGGGAAGTCGTTGGATGCGGAAGGCGAAGGACCGCATTCTGTAGAAGGCATTGGGGAAGGCCTATGTCCAGCACTGGGCAGATAAAGGCTGATGATGATGATGATGCAATTGGGTGATGATTTTTGACGATCAATAGTTACAGCGCAAAGTTTTAATATAACTTTTTTTTTATTGCTTAGATGGATGGACGAGCTCGCAGCCCACCTGGTGTTAAGTGGTTACTGGAGCCCATAGACATCTACAACGTAAATGCCATACCTTGAGTTATAAGTTCTAAGGTCTCAGTATAGTTACAACGGCTGCCCCACCCTTCAAACCGAAACTCATTACTGCTTCACGGCAGAAATAGGCAGGGCGGTGGTACCCACCCGCGCGGACTCACAAGAGGTCCTACCACCAGTAAACTACCAGTAAACAGTAACTGCCTCAATATATCCAGTAGGGAACAGTGAGATTGAGGAAGTGATCGAGTGAAGAAATGTAGGCTACGGTGTCGATGTTATTGTAACCCACAGACAGCCCACTGAGTTTCTCGCCGGATCTTCTCAGTGGGTCGAGTTTACGAGCCGGTGGTAGTTTCTGCAAAGCACGACTCGCTAGGGTTCGTGTTAGCAACGTCGTCAGGCTTGAGCCCCGTGAGCTCACCTACTAATTTAGCGAATCTAGAATAACCCCCCTCGAGATTACTAGAATAGGTAGAAAAAAAAGTTATTGTGTTGGGCAAATAGGAACGTTAAACTTAAACTTATCGGTGAATCTTTCCTTTATGTTCCGTCAATTGTAGTATCGGTGTGGGGGTGGGGAAGGGAGGGAGGGGTAAGTGTTTACCCCTGCATCATTTAATTATATAGCATTATTTAATCAAACTCGAAGGGAGCTTAAGTTTGAAGGCGCCTTATCTCCAGCGCTGCGGGAAGAGCAGCTCTTCCGCCCTTGCGTGCCGAAGCACGGTAAAAAACATGACATAAAATTTAATAAAATACACGTATACCGTGAATGGAACGTGAACGTGTCAACTCTGACGTCTACCTTGACGATTTTTCCAATTTGTATGGAAACTTTAAACCATTATATCTCGTAAGCTGTGAGTTTACGCACTTGAAATTTTGCAAAAAGCCTTATATTTGTGAGTACAATCTACAAAAAAAAAAGTGACAATAAAGGAAAGTTTAGCCTACTTATCTACCGACCAGAGTGTGTCGGGTCTATCATAGAACACAAGATATCTGACAGATGCCTGAAACTGGACAATGAAATTACCGAGCACAAAAGTTCGGAACAAGATCATTCGGGTCGTCAATCTATCGAGCAAATTCACCCGTTTGGTGTGAGATCTTCGTCATTGCTTCCTAAATAGCAATGACGGGGTAATTCTTAACAATTTCTGCACTCACTAAATCACCTGCAAACTTAAAATGGCCTTCTTAACAAGTTCATATAGATTCGAATCACAAGTAAAAGAGAAAAGTAAGGAAATGTAATCTTCAAAAACTATATCATTAGATATGGATTTATCATTGCATAACAATTGAAGATAAGGCTACCTACGTAGTAATCCCAAGGATGAAACAATGTGAATTATGTTTACCCAGATATGATATCTATAATAGAAGATAAACTTGAATATTTTGTCTCGGAAATGGCAGTAGGCAATGGGTATCAGGAAGTGAATTGTCCTGTCTGTCAATATTAAATTCGTTAAATAAGTACTCGCGCAATAACTATGGAAGTTGTCGACGAAATCTGTGATCTTTTGCAGTCCCATTCAAATCGTGATAAGGTACTTACTTTAGAATGCTTAAGGTATTTCGAGGAATTTCGCACAAGTTCTGTATCAGTTGAGATTTACATTAAGTACTTACCTGAATTATACCTATTCTGTTTTTGCGTTATTGATTTAAATCATCTTCGCAAATGTTAGCTAGCACATTGTACATTTGTATACCTTGTTTTTAAAAAAATTGCATATTCCATAGCTCAATTGTGAATATGCCGGTCACCGGCTCGACGAGCGAATTAACCCACAGACACAGCTCACTGAGTTTCTCGCCGGATTTTCTCAGTGGGTCGCGTTTCCGATTCGGTGGTAGATTCTGCCAAGCACTGCTCTTGTTAGTGCCAATGCTAGCAATACTCCGGTTTGAGCCCCGTGAGCTCACCTACACGTTAGGGTGAAGCTGAAATAGCCTCTCAAGGCTATCAGCGTAGGTAGAGAAAAATAAAAAAATGATTTTTTTTGTTTGTAATCAATACAGATCGTATCCTTAACAAGCTACGTACTGAAGCTATGGGGATCAACGGCCAAACGAAAAGACATTTTAACTGCCAGCGCGCGTATTGCTGCGGCCCGCGCCACCTTGCGGCTATTCGATGACGCGGCTGCAATCAAACTCGCACTAGCCTATGGACTTGGTAAACAGGTAATAGTTAAACTTCATCACGCATCGGGCAACCATTCGTGTGATGCATAGATAATAGATACCATCATCTCGGTTTTACCATCGCACCGCCCGCCACCGGAGTAGGGTTCAACCATACTACCTGGAGCCACTGCGTTCATCCACAATGCGTTTCCGGTGATTTTTTTTATATTGCTTAGATGGGCGGACGAGCTCACAGCCCACCTGGTGTTAAGCGGTTACTGGAGCCCATACACATCTACAACGTAAACGCTCTACCCACCTTGAGATATAAGTTCTAAGGTCTCAAGTACTGTTACAACGGCTGCCCTACCCTTCGAACCGAAACGCATTAATGCTTCACGGCGGAAATAGGCGGGGTAGTGGTACCTACCCGTGCGGACTAGAGGTCCCAAGAGGTCCTACCACCAGGTGTTCGGTCTGTATACTATTTTCTGATTATTCTCATTTTGATCTGAAGTTTTTTTAGACAATTAAAAAATGCCTCTATTATATAGTTATTTAGCTACGTTCCGTTACTCACAATTCAAGTGAATATTAATTTAAATTAGTTTAGGCCGTTCAATTTGGAGTATTAGTTGCTTTATTTCAATGAATCTTAAACCTTATTTCGTTTTAGGATGGTTCGTTTTGGGGTAGCCTCGGTGTGGCGAACAACGCTTTCACACTAACATACCTACAGTGCGAGAAGATTGTCTGGTTAATCGACACAGGCGTGCTGGTTGTCTCGCCGGACTTTGACTTTAAAGTGAAGACAGCGCATAAGCTTTTCTGGTCATTGTCTGCGTTCGTGGGGCTCATCAGGTTAGTGATAATAGTAATCGGAAAGGTAGTTTTTCTTTTGCCTAGTAGCCAGTAGCTTCAGGGCTATTCTGACTGATGGACGAGCTCACGGGACCCAGCCTGAAAGAATTTACTCACATCTGTCCTAGCAAGAGCAGTGTATTTCTGAATCTACCACCCGGATCGGAATCGCGACCGACGGAGATTATTTAACGAGAAATTTAGTGGGTTGCGTTAATTAAGTTAGGTGATCGATACTTGGAGTGGACCGAGAGTGGATTGAGAGGATCCGAAAGCACATGTTATGTTCCGTCATCTGAGACAGGGTTATAATTTACCAAGACACTAATTCCTGTACTATTCGACGACTACAGGAATTTTGTTTTAATGTTGGTATTGTGGCACCAACTGTGCTATTGTTTTTTATGGTGAACCGACGCTTTTGGAATATGATTTCAAGCTTCAAGGTTGCTAGCGGCTACTTAATACCATAATAATACGTGTCCTCTATACCTACTTCTGCCCAGTGTTTCAATGAGAATTTAAACAAACCAGGAGTTTTCAAGTTTGTTGTATATTAAATAAAATATTTCTTCTAGAATTGCAAATGATCGGATACAATATTATAGTGGTCAACCAAACACCATTATTATAGTGATATGGACACTAAAATTTCACTAAGAATATTCATCATCGATCCACAGATCGATCCGTGGTCTTCAAGCCAGCTCTCAGCTCCTGAAGTCCTCTGAGCCTCCCAAATGTGCATCGGCGCGCTTTACACAAGCTTCTCTGGCTACAACTAAGCTCGTACTGGATGTAGTTCATGCCGTAAGCTGGCTGCCGGCTGGGTGGCTTTGGGGCGGGAAACTAAGCGCTCAGCAGGCTAGTATCGTGGCCACTACATCAGCTGTACTTAGTCTTATGGCTCACTATCACGGGAAGAGGTTGCAACCACGCTAAATTATATATAAACAAAAAAAAACAATTCTGTATATTGTGTTGCGATTTGTAGAAAGCAATATTGCTAAGTAGGTAACCGTTCGTAAAATACAAAATATTGCAAGAAATGTAATTAGATTAGAATAATATGTGCATAGGTTAATAATTAATTTGGTTTACATAAGTATGTCATAAAAATGCCCTGTATATTTTTGGTCAAAATAGTAAAACTTCGGCGTTAAATTATCTGTATTTTTAGAGATATCTCTACATATTTTACAAAACAAAAAAAAAGAAATGTAAAAAGTTTCGTCAAAATCGAACGTATTATTTAGTTACGAATGCGATAAACAAACAAAGAATCCTTCTGTGTATTCTTCAAGATTAAAATCGAACTAAATATTTTAAATTATTTATAAATTTCGATTAATTCAATTAAAACTCACATAGTTAACAAGAATGCAGAATCAAATATGCGATTTAAATATTTGTTAATGCCGGTTAGCGGATGAAAATGTAATTTAAACTCGTGTCTAATCAAATAGCGCTTTTCTTCATGCAAAATTTTATTCATCCTTGAAGATTTCAACGTTGAATTTTGAAGTTTTTCAAAGCAGGTTCGGTTGAGATTACCGGGGGGGCAGATAAGATTCAAGTGTAAACTTTACAGCCCATAAAACTTGGATAGTAACGACGCAGTCGCTGAAAACATTAAAACTTAAGTTTTTCCTATCTTAAGATAGTGACGTCCGAGATAGATTTCAGGGTGATAAGCGTGTCAGATGGATAGGCACGTGTCGAAGATAGAGTTGAACATCAAACATGTGATGAATGAGAATTGAGCATAGAACAAAACAATTTAGATAATCTAGTTCCTATTTTGTTACATAAAATAGCATGTACATAAGTACATACATAGCAGGGCTGTCCAGATTAGAGACGTTTACGGTCAGAAAAATTACAACATGAACTGACTGGTTCTGTATAATAAATTTTAATGGACACAAAACCTACGGATATTTCCCATTAATAGTTAAACTCTATATGTATTTTATAAATTTAATTGTGTTACGGCTTTGGAATAAATTCCGCGAGCGCAAAGATATGAGACGAGAGTTGTCATTTGGGCAGCCCTGATCTGTAATACTAATTGGTTGTTTGTTGATAGGATAAATGCTTTTTGTTTAGACGAGTACAACAGATATTAAGAACAATTGTCGGAGTAACGTTTTTGCACCCGAAGCTAATAGATGCCCGGCTCCCCGGTAACCGTACTCGTCGAACTCGACAAAGAGGTCGACGTGCAACCTAACCCAGCCCGCTGAGTTTATCGCCGGATCTTCTCAGCGGGTCGCGATTCCGATCCGGTAGTAGATTCATTCGCGAAGCAGTTGCTCTTGAGTTGTTAGGTCTCCTTCGGAGGCGCTCGGGCAGCTGTTAGCGAATCCCACCCCCTCCTGGCTGTGCCTTTGCTCGCCCACCTGTCCTGGTGAAACTGGAAAGGCCTCCGGGCCACCAGTAATACTTCAATCATAAAAAAAATATAGATACCCGGCAGAAATCAAACTGATTGAGTGCGTCAAGTAAATATTCCACTTCTGCCCGTTGTCTTCACGAAAATGAAAGTTTGATGTATTATTTAATATACCATATCTGCCGAACATATACGTTTGCTTATTTAATTTATTAGAGAAAACAAAAAACAAATAACATTTGTATTTTTGGCACATCATGTGAAATCATTTACGTTTTAAACTCTCGTCTATTTGCATTTCAAACATGATTGTTTAACGAATTCTCACGATTTGATAAACTAGTTAAAGGCTACGAATAAATAATAAGTATTTATTCGTAGGTTAAAGGTATATTAAAAAAACAAGGCGGTTTTAAGGTGTTCTGGGATAAGCGCGATCTTTGTCGGTTTTGTGTTTTTCCCTACCTATGCTGAAAATCTTGAGAGGCTATTTCAGTTTCTCCTTGGTATGTAGGTGAGCTCGCGGGGCTCAAACAGGATCTGTTGCTAACATTGGCCCTAGCAAGAGCCGTGCTTCGCAGAATCTACCACCGAATCGGAAACGCGACCCACTGAGAAGATGCGGCGAGAAACTCAGTGGGCTACTTTGTCGGGGCGAGTCATAGAGTTCCAGTGGTAGCTCTTAAAATGGACTAAACACAGCGCGGATTGATTAGTCTGCTTCTAGCATCCCGCTGTGTCAGTCTACCCGTCAATGGCGGTACTTTAAGCACACCGAAATTTCGAGAACGCATTGAATGTGAAAACTGTTTTATAATTAATTGTGACTAATTATATATCCGTTCTATTATTTTCATGTTAAAAACACTTTAATGCTAATGCTTTAACGTCAATTAGCGTTAATAAAGAAAAAAGTATTACTTAGTTTAAAAATGTTAATTAGAATCATTTATTTAATATTAAAATGAAAAACGTGTATATAAAATATGTTTTATTCATTAAAAAAAAACACAAATTAAAAATCACAATATTCGTCGAGGATTTCTTAATTAAACACAAAAGACATTTTCACTAATAGCTTTTAATTATTTTCTTAATACAATACGAAACAATTTACTTGTGATTGGTGCACGACTAATCTTGATCCTTTCAGGTGACAATTTAATATTTATTTATTTATTTATGTATAAATGAATCGTTTTGTAAATTTAATGTGCACGCATAAACCACATCTCCAAGTTGACGACTTTTCTAGAACTAATATACAATGTACAATACTAAATAGAATAAATATCAAACATTATTTTTAAGGGATTTTATGACCTGGCAACTAAGACCTTTAGGTCATGTCTTATTTTAATTTATTTTCACATTTTTATGAAAAATGATAATATGAAGAGAAATGTAATGAATTTGATTAACATGGGACATTAATCAACTGGGATGAAATTAAATGAAATGAGATGAGATAATATGGGATGAAATATAATCTCAGTAAAATTGTGGTCATTTACTGAGATTTTTTCAGTGGACTTTTGGAAGATCCCGAGAAGTTACGTTCAGCCGCTTTGTTTCATTTTCCCACATTTGTGCACTTTCACAGATATTAAACAGTTAATAAACCACCGTTATTACACATTTAAACCTGAAGAAACACTAAATAAACAAAATAAAACAAATCACACAACAGCTCACTCCTCGCGTTCCCGCCAAAGTCAGTATCGAGTTATTAGAGAAAATGAATGTGGCAAGAATGAAAAAAAAAAATATTACGTATGAAATATGGGGAGTACAATACACAAGAGACTCGAATATTTTGATTATACATACTCTTTACATTTAATATCTTGTTTTACGAATTAAACATTAAACTAATATGTACCTAAGTAAAAAAAAAAATTGAGCATTTTTCGAATAGACTAGTTTTCATTTCATACATAATATGTAACATAAAACACATTTCGCTGGCGTCATAAAAAGTAAAAATAAAAAATTTATATTTGGTAGAAAATTTATCGTTTTATATACCGGCAACACCAATCTAGGCCGTTATTTATGCATGGCAGCATTAAATTTGTGTGGATACATTGGAAGTCGAAACATTATTTCTTTAATTACTCCCTAATTTATGATTAAGTCCACTTAAACACATAGTACATCACAGCATTTCTTTAAAGTATAAGTAATTACTTAGTAGTACTTAGTAAGTACTTATAAATAATTTAAAGTTTAATTTTTTTATTAAACCTCAGTCCCAGTATGTGCATGCTGTACCTTACATATTGTTTTACTATCCGCCAAAAGTCCTCTAGAATTCTTACCCTTTTAAAAGAGATAAAATTTTACATACAAAACTATTTTTAATGTCACATAAAGGTTATAGAGTTCTTAGCCTTCTTATACTAAGTAGATGAGAGATTATATTTACAGAATTATGATCCAAAGACATATTGTTTTTTTTATTTATATTTGTTTTTTTAAACTATTTAAACATACTCAGAATTGTTTTTTTTATTTTATTAAATCTGTTTAATCAACTCTACTTGATCTATATTGATCTACGCTGATTTCAATATATTTTTTTATATCTATTTAATCAACTCAACTTGTTCCAAATTGATCTACGCTGATTTCAATATGCTACATTTTATAACAAACTGTATGTATTTCAATATCGCATCTCACACATCTCAAATTGGTCGTTAGTTCTACATCCTGATGCATGATATTAGATTGCAATGAAACCTGGTCAGAGTGTGATTGTCTCGGAACGTAGGTACACCTATAGGGAGAGCACACGTTTGTCTTATGGTCATGGTGCCTTCCACATATGCCATCGTGCCTGATCGAAGTGGCTGGTTAGGGACTGGATGCAAAGGCAAGAGAATGAAGGGAAATAGGTACATTCGAAGAAACCTACATTCAGCATTGCGTAGACATAAGTCGAAAAAGACATGGTGCTATATCGGAACCCCTCCCCTCCCGGAGTGAAAGTTTCAATCAACAAGTTCACATAGAACAAAAAAACACAAACATTTTTACGTCCTATTAGAAAGTCTATTTTTATTAACTAATCAGGTCTTTTTTTTTTTCAAGAATACATTCTCGAGATTTTTTGCGAAAAGTAAGACATACATTAAGCTAGTTGTGTGTGTTGGCGTGACTATACAGGGGACCACCAGAGTCGACCTTAAGATTGAAATTCCAAGGGCATCACAAATGCTGCTCCTCTGCGGAGACCCGATGGATCCTCCGGAGAATCAGCCGGTTATCCACATCAGACCGACACATTTGTCACCATGTCCAGTTCTATATCAAAAAACTTCTCGTATTTGGGATACAATCTGACCGCGAGTTTGGGCAGCTGGTCGGGGGTGGGAGGAGCGGTCCCTCCATCGTCCTCGCCCGGCTTCGAACCGAACACCTCGGCACTGGTAGCCTTGTACGCGCGAGTCGCTGACGCCGACGGCGCCAGGAGGCACACGCCGAGCCGACTCAGCAGTCGATGTCTAGAACATTGTTACTTAATTAATGTTGGATGCGATGGAAGAGAATCTGACTTAAGCCCTTAGACTGGGGCTAGGAAAATATCGACGGACTCTCGCCGTCTGTCTGATACATTTGCACGCCCATACCACAATTCAATTAAATTAATTATAGTAAGAATAGAGGTATACTTAAGTATCCTTCGTTAGTACTTTACTGGTGGTAGGACGTCTTGTGAGTCCGCACGGATAGGTACCACCACCCTCTCTATTTCTGCCGAGAAGCAGTAATGCGTTTCGGTTTGAAGGGTGGGACAGTCGTTGTAACTATACTGAGGCCTTAGAACTCATATCTCAAGGTGAGAGGCGGTATTTACGATGTAGATGTCTATGGGCTCCAGTAACCACTTAATATCTGTTAGGCTGTGAGCTCGTCGGACGGTATTACACGATGTTATTCCTTCATTGTGGAAGTCAATCGTGAACATAATTTGTTCGGTACGCATTTCATTAGAAAAATTGGAACTTGCCATCGGGATTCGATTCTTATCCTTTAAGCCACGACGGTTTCAAAATGTTGTATAATAAATGTTACTCGTGCGTCACTTGTCGTACATCGATCGTACTATATGATAGCCTGCATGTGTGTCCGTGCGTCGGTAGAGGGCACTGACCTGGTAGTGGGTCCGTGGACGGGCCGGAACGTGACGACGCTGAGCACGGAGCGCGGCGGGGGCTCCCCCCACCCCCGCAGCAGCGCCAGCGCCGCCTCCCGCCCCCCCGGCCCCCCGCACCGCCCCACGCGCCCCGCGCAGCAGATCCACACGGCCAGTATTGTCTCGTCCTCTGTACTGTGATACGGTAAAGTGCCTTATAAGTAAACGTTTTAAATTAAATGGTATATGTTGAGATTCACCAACAGAGGTCCCAACAGTATACATATTTCAATTAATTATAGTCGAATTTCGACTACTGCGGGACCACTATAGTAGAATTATTTTGTCCGTGCAGTTTGGGTCATAAAAAATCGGAGCGGTGAAGCGAGTATTTCACTCTCTCTTCCACTCACGAGCCTTATGGATGGGTATAGTGATGCGCATTATTGTTGTTGATAAGCGTTATCGATAGTGTATTTAGTTTTGTCATTTTGTGGGTTAGTGATAAAAATGAATACACATCAATCGCCGCAGCAAGTTAACGAAAACGGCAGAAATTAACACTTTGTAACTTTTCGGGATCTATTCTTATTTCAGTGAAAAATTTTAAGACATTGTTGATAAAAACACGTGCAAATATTATTTTGATTAAATTCTGCCGTTCTAATCCAAAACAAAGGAGTAGCCATTGTGTCACTAAAGAAATTCAGAGAACGAATGCATAAAAACACATTTCTCTTCGACATAATGTACTATAATTTGCAGGTAAGTACAAATGACTCATAACATAATAATGTCTCACTACCCTTCGTACACCACCCCACCGCCGTGTACCTGCCTTCGATGACTCGTTTATTTTTATCGATAATGGCGTTGCGCCCGCGCTACATGCTCACCGCCCTAGCCGAACTATGTTTTATGACCCAAACTGCACGGACAAAATAATTCTACTATAGTTTCAATAAATATCTATGTGGAAGGCTAAACGACAAAGGGAACATGTTCCATCGAGCGGGTGATATTGCTTGGCAGATCGAGACGCTCCGAATGTTGTTGTTCGGAACTTGTATATATAGAAGCTATATCTTGAAAAAGTCTGTGATTCTGCGAAGCACGGCTCTTGGTAGGGTTCGTGTTAGCAATGTCGTCAGGTTTGAGCCCCGTGAGCTCACTTACTTGTTAGGTTATGCTGACACAGCCTCTCAAGGCTATCAGCTTAGGTAGGAAAAAAAGCTACTAAAGTTTTTTATTTAAATAAACGTTTATACATGTCCAGCCACAGACGACCGCGGTGTTGTTCCTACAACGTGGAGGACACTTGTGAGTGTTAAGTACATATACTCACAAGGAGTGTTGCCTGGCGAGCAGCGCGTGCAGGGCGCGCGCGGGGGCGGGTGCGGGCGCGGCGAGCGTGCACACGTAGGCGGCGTGCAGGGCGCCCTCGCCCGCCAGCGCGCGCGGCTCCGTCCACGGACACCCCGCCCACGCCGCCCGCACCTCGCTCCAGCCCGACGACTCTACACAAATCTATATATTAATATGTCAAGCAAAAACTTTGTACCCCTATTTACGAAAATTGCGCGTCTGGAGGACTATGAAATTTTCCACACTTATACAGAAGAGTGCAGAAAGTTAATTTTTTTTAATTTATGCATAATAAATACCTTAAATCAATAAATAAAATATACACACATAACCATGTATTTGACACAACACATATATATATATATTATGCTCTTCGTTTATTGTCAAACTTTTGTTATTGTTTAGTCTGTTGTCAAATTGAGAATAGAAATTGAAATTGAAATATTATTTGTCTATAGTGTAGTCTTTGCGAAAACTGTGATTATAGAAGTATAATAAATAGTCTTTGACAAAAGAACCAAAATAATGTTAAAAAATATATAAAAAATAAACAAAAATATATAAAAGTACTATACATTTAGAACTTTTTTTTTCTGAACTCCAATATTTTCTCAATTATAATATTTCTATACGATGTTACTGAATTAAAACCTTTTTTAATGAATAAAATATAATATAAAAAATTTAAAATCAACAATAATTAAATGTGGATAATATAAAAAAGCGAAAAAAGAAGATTGGCCCATGAGGGGATCGAACCCGCGACCTTCGCGTTATTAGCACGACGCTCTAACCAACTGAGCTAATGGGCCGATGTGTGTCCCGCTTAAAAAGAGAGTCTACATAAAGTTAGTAATAACTGTTTAATTTTAGATATGATGTATAAGATCATTTCTAACGATTCAAGGCAATGGAATTCGGAGCAATCCACAATACAATATCTACCACCCAACTTAATACAAAAGGGCACTGTAATCGCCGACAATGTCTGTTTTTTATCGAGAAAACATATTTAACCTGACCTTCACATTTTTCCTCAGTCGAGGTGAGCTAATAATAACGCAACTCAAAAGAACTCGAAAAAACAGCATCATGGTTTATCCTTTTTTATATTCTAGACCTCAAGGTGGGTAGTAAGTAGCATTCAAGCAGTGATGTCTATAGGCTCTGGGAACCACTTAACTCCATTCTTCCATAAAGGATGAACAAAATACTAAAAACGTGTCATTATGGTATCCTCCATCGAGTCGAGGTCAAGTGAGTTTCCGGGTATCCTCTCCGGATACGGGTGTTAATAACATGGCTTCATCACGCGAGGCAGACAAGTAATGACCCAGGTCTTAACATTTTTATGGTACCGACAGTAAAATAATAATATAAATATCACTCGATTTCACGATCTTGGTTGACCGAACTATAATTACAAAGTCTTCGGGACGCGGAAAACTCTTAAGCAACGGTAACATAAGGCATTGTTAAGCTGTTTAAATCGATTTAAAGGTAACCGCGATCCGCGAAACTTATTAAATTGAACAAAAAACGATTCATTCTCTCACATTTCATATTTCGCACATTAATAAATAAATAATTGGGAACAATTCACGCACCGTCATCGGTAATATTTATTTTATTTTCCTTCCTAAAGGGCAAGAGTACAATACAATGCATCGATGAAAAAATTACAAAACTGCTTCAGTTTAGAATGAAACCTTTGAAGATGTCTGTTACTAGGCTCAAACTTCGACGCGACCCGCGTTGAGCGACTATGATAAATTATATTTTAGGTGCAGTGTTAATGTACAAGGTTTTTATCATGTGCATAACACTTTATAGTGAGGTCTTAAGCTGCTTTCAGACTTTTTTTTTTTTTTTTTGTCAGGAGGAAATCGCCGGACTCCCACCCTCCACTGGGAATGGAGGGTGGGGCATGTCGGAGTCGAACCGACTAAAACCTCTTGTCGCTCAACAACCAACGTCCAACCCTCGCATGAGACAGAACTCATGAAAAGGCAAGGGGAGGAGAGTGAAGCGTTTAGTGCGGAGCACATCTCTCTCATCACCCTCCCCCTCGGGACGCCGGGCCAGCGATCGTCGGCGCCAAGACTACGCTATACTGTATTGCCATATAGTATAGCAGCCTATACTTAGCCAATAACATATAATAGTACAGTACAGTGTGGATGTGTCCATAACTATGTATGTATGTGCGATATTGTTGTGCTATGAGCTATATACCATAATATGCTATTATATTATAACGTAGTCTGAAAGCAGCTTAATCTAAACCATGAACTTTTTTTTATTGCCCTTGTAGGCATACGAGCATACGGCCCACCTGATGGTGAGTGGTTACCGTCGCCCATGGACTTCAGCAATGCCAGGGGCAGAGCCAAGCCGCTGCCTACCGCTTAATACTCTCCACAAGCCTCTTTTAAAAAAGGACATGTCATAGCGCTCTGGAAATTCCGTGGAGGGGAGCTTATTCCAAAGCCGGATGCTACGTGGCAAAAAAGACCTCTGGAAACGCACTGTCGATGAACGCATCGGTTCCAGATAATATGAATGAACTCTGCTCCGATGGCGGGAGGTGCGACGATAAAAAGGAGATGAGGGGATCATCTCAAACAATTCCTCAGAGCAACTCAATTTATTATTGCGCATTGGGGCTTCGTCATGACATAGGAGTGGCTCGTACCTGGATGGGCGAGGAAGGCCTTGATCGCGGCGTCCGACAGCGCGGCGAAGTGCGGGAACGCGGTGAGCGAGCACGCGGCGCGCACGCACGCCCGCCGCACGCGCACGCACGCCTCGCGCACGTGGCGCTCCCACACCTGCGCGCGTGCAACATATACATGTACCGGTAATCCTACTTATAGTAGAATTATTTTGTCCGTGCAGTTTGGGTCATAAAACATAGCCCGGCTAGGGCGGTGAGCATGTAGCGCGGGCGCAACGCCATTATCGATAAAAACAAATGAGTCATCGAAGGCAGGTACACGGCGGCGGGGTGGTATACGGAGGGTGGTGAGACATTGTTGTTGTATTGGTGAGTCATTTGCAAATTATAGTACATTATGTCGAAGAGTAATGTGTTTTTATGCATTCGTTCTCTGAATTTCTTTAGTGACACAATGGCTACTCCTTTGTTTTGTATCAAAACGGCAGAATTTATTCAAAATAATATTTGCACGTGTTGTTATCAACAATGTGTTAAAAATTTTCACCGAAATAAGAATAAATCACGAAAAGTTACAAAGTGTTAATTTCTGCCATTCTCGTTAACTAGCTGCGGTGATATGTGGCGTAAGTGTTCGATTAGTGATTCTTTCTTTCATTTTTATCACTAACCCACAAAATGACAAAACTAAAAACACTATCGATAACGCTTATCGACAACAATAATGCGCATCACTATACCCGTCCATAAGGCTCGTGAGTGGAAGAGAGAGCGAAATACTCTCGTCACCGTTCCGATTTTTTATGACCCAAACTGCACGGACAGAATAATTCTACTATTGTTAGCGTCTTGAACGTCTGCCATCCAGCGGCCCAGGGCGCGGTTGGTGGGCGGGGTGCACTCACCGGCAGCACGCGCGCGGCGGCCGGGCCCGCACACAGCGCCGCGACGGCCCGAGACACCAGCTCCTCCACTTCGTCTCCGGGGCTCTTCAAGTACAAAGCTGCAACAACGATTTTTACGTAGGTACATTATATAGCTGGATGTTGAATTCAAGTTGTATAAAACGATTCAAGCATTGAAATAAGCGCATTGAGAGAGGACTTATCAATGTCTGTCTAAATTATATTTAATAACCTTTGTTGTTATATGTTGGAGCTTCCGCAATCTACTGTATCATCTAATAGCACGAGCACTATTCTTCGTGCAATGACTCTTGGGTGGGGGGCTATTAAGTAGATTTAGGGAATATAGATGTGCGAATCGAACCGCCTTTCGGTACAGATATAATATTATTGCATAAATTCATTACTAATACATGTTGATAGTAAGCAGCCAATATTTCTATAACGTAGATTATGTAAATTATCTACTACAACGCTCATCAATTTTATCATTAAAAGTTTTCCGTTCTCCGTTTTAAAAATACCTCAGCTGTCAATTACGGTGGTGTAAGGCATACGGACTGCATTGAGAATTACCAATCTGAGTGATGAGTTTCAACATGGCGGCGGCGTGTGCGGGCACGTGTGCCAGCAGTGCGGGCGCGGCGGCGGCGCGGGCCCAGTGCGCCACCAGCACGCCGCGCCGCGCCCGCCCCTCCGCGCCGCCCCCCGCACCGACCCCCGCGCCGCTCGCCTGCACTAATACCCTGCTCGAAACAATTCGTCAGTATTAGGCAAGATATACGCCTAACTACATATTAATAACAACTACAAACCTAAGTTTACGATGATACAATTCGTCGGAAAATGCTTACTTGAACTGCGGTAGCTCGTGGTATGGCTTCTCGGGATTGTGGTGGAAAGCAAAGAATCTACTGCAGGCTTCGTCTAAAGCCAGTTCCGGTAGTCTCCACCATGGCAACTTCATTGCCTCGTCCAATATCTACAAGTAATAATTATACCTTAAATATTTCATACATAGATCGCTTGATTCTCATAGAACTGATAACTTCTCATGGGAGGGTAAACCATTTCGTTACATAACGCGTAACGGTGCCAGTCTGTCTGATTTCCCTTTCTCTCACGCCTACTAATTAATACCTAATTACAAGTATTAACCTAAGCCCTTCTCAAGTTTTAAACAATTTCAATATTATATAGTTCAAATTAAATTAGTTTAAGTTATTACTTCTGTCGGGCGTTCCGAGACGCACAATTTCTTTTTATATTGAAAAAACATTTATTAGATTAGATCACAATCAATAATGGCATTGATAAAAATACAAGATTACTTAGTCTTTTTTATCAGGTGCTCTTTCGGAATTTTTAAAAAAGATGTTGTTGACTTAACACAACATGTGGGCATTCAAGGCTTATATTTATTTTCGGTCACGATTGGTACAAGTGTATTGTTATTTAGTTTGTAGCCTGCGTGTTCGTATGACCGACCTGTTCCGAGTGCGGCACGTCGGTGGCCGTGAAGAAGTAGAGCAGCGCGACCAGCGTCCGCACCGGGCTGTCGTGGTGCGGCGCCAGCAGCGTGCCGGCCGCCGTGCGTGACGTCACCGCGCCCGTCCACGCGCCCGCCTGCTTGTCGCCGCACGCACTCCACTGTACGCACACGTATACACTGACAACTCGGTCGACGCACGCATACGTCATACGTGGCCATTATTCAGACGTAAATCCCCCGGGTTTGATCTGAGTTTCTTCAATATAAAAACTTTAATATTTTAATGGTACAAATGATCGAAATTCGACCGTAATAAATTGTAAGTTTGAACATCATTATGATTCTATTGTCAAAGACTTTACTTCTATAATCACAGATTTCGCCAAGGCTAAGCTATAGAGAAATAATATTAAAGACAAACAATATTAATCTATTCTAAAATTGACCACAGACTGTAACAATAAACAAAGGAGTAATATATGGTAGTGGGTGTAAAGTTTTTTTTATTTATTTAATATAATTTAAGGGATAATAAAAAAAAAATTCTGTTCTACGGCGAGAAATTCAGTGGACTGTGTCTATGAGTTAACTTACTCGTCGAGCCCTTCGTCGCGAGCGACGGGTTCGGCGAGGTCACCGTGCTTGTGGTACCTAAAAGCACCGTTAATGGATCGGGAGGATCCGTAATGACGTGTTACTGAGACTTCCTATTTGCAACATCAGTCAATCATCATCCAGCCATCAACAAGGACCCACCTGCACGGCAAGTTCGATGCAGTTGCCGCTGAACCACTGGTGGCGGTCCCACGGCAGCGCGGCCAGCTCCGCCAGCAGCTCCGACACCTGGACGCGGCACTCGGACTGGTTTTGTCCGTTAACGTTCAGCTGTGTGTGAACGATCCACTCGTAGGTCTTCTGGAGAATGTAGCTTTCTGTACCTGTTTAAAATAATTGTGGTTAGAAATATGCTTTGTGATTCTAAATTTTAGGAGTTTCCTGATACATAGCTCTACATAGTATCTTTTATTTATTTATTACACCTCATGTAAAATTTATATAGGCGGACTTAATGCCTAAGGCATTCTCTGCCAGTCAACCAGAGTAAATAGTGGTAGGTGCAATGAAATTTATATTAAGTTACAAATACATACACAAAAAAGTATATATATGTATATATGTATATGCAAATTTAGTAAATACATTTTTTCAGGACACAATAGACATTTTTTCCATAATTTTTAAGTTTTAAATGGCTCTCTTGTAAAATTGCAAAATGGCGTTTAAACCGAATAGCCTTTCAGCCCTCGATATTATTTGAGACATTTCGAATACTTTTACAGTTTTCATGGTCACGGACGTCTAAGGTTCAAAGCATTCGAAGTTCAAACAGAGTTTTAGGTAATAATAATAATAAATAAATAATAGTTTAAAAAAAAAAACAAACAAAATATTATCAAAATAACCCTTCTACTCATGTCTGTTCATAAAATATTTATAACTACTGATACCATGCACCCCACGCTTTTTTACAATAAAATCATTTTTTCAAATTTATTAAAATTTATTTTCTATCTTTTAGTTGGATTTTCTATAAAATCGTATTTTTTTAGTTTTTTAAACTATTATTTATTTTTCATTATTTAGTTGAATTTAAACTTTTTCAATATATATTTTTTTAATATTAAATTGTCATTGGTCCTTAATTAGTATACCAAATTTCGAGTTAATCCGACGTTTTGAAGGGGGTCAAAATCACCTTCAAAGATACCGTTACATATTAACATACATACGGGTGAAGCTAATAAAAGCGTATTAAAAACAATTTATATTAACAATGTATAAGCGAGGCGGTAGAACAGTGAACGACATTCGCATTAATGAATATAATATAATTTTAGTCGCACCCGGACAGTCGCGCATGGTCTGCAGCAGGGCGTCCGCGAAGCTCTTCAGCATGGTCGCGTGCGAGTCGTCCTGAGCGTGGGCGGGCAGCAGCGGGGGCGCGGGGTGGGGCTGCACCCAGGGCGACCACAGCTCCAGCAGCGCCGACCAGCCGCACGCAGCCACTACCCACCAGCAAACCGTTGAGGTTCTTAGTTATCAACGATGTTATTGGGTTACAGTTGGTGAAAAGGACGTATGGTAAGCCCGCACAGGAAACCGACCTATTTCTATGACGAAGCAGTCCGATTTGGTTGGACGGTCGGACCGATTCCGACCTCGTGCTGTGCGTAATTACGTAATTATAATTGCGTAATTACTGTGGTAGGACCTCTTGTAAGTCCGCGCGGGTAGGTACCACCACCTTAACCTATTTCTGCCGTGAAGCAGTAATGCGTTTCGGTTTAAATGGCGGGGTAGCCGTTGTAACTATACTTGAGACCTTAGAACTTATATCTCAAGGTGGGTGGCGCATTTACGTCGTAGATGTCTATGGGCTCCAGTAACCACTTAACACCAGGTGGGCTGTGAACTCGTCCACCCACCTAAGCAAGAAAAAAAGTTTCAATTTAATAATTAACGAATGACGCTTGGGATCCACGACCTTGAGAGCAAGCAAAAACCTTCATTTTGAAATCTAGTAAAGTCTTAAAGAACCTCTTTCGGGAGCATAGCTCAACTCGACGGCGGCGTCAACTAACGCTTTCAGGAGCAGCCGGTACACGCGGGCGATCTCCTCGGAGTACACGGCGTACTGGACACCGCGGGGCCGCGGGGCGGTGCGCGCCTCCCACCACAGCGCGCCCAGCTCGCGCGGCAGGCGGGACAGCTGGGGACCGAGGGGGGACGTCAGGGGGACCGACGTGGGCCGCGGAGAGTCATTCGTAATGGACCCAGGTGCAGATATTAAAAAAAAGGAATCGCACCTTAAGTGACGAACATTGAGATAAATATTCTTGCATATGCTTAGAGCTAACTTTTTTTAACATACGAATGACACTCTATCATTCTCTACTGTTACTTTACTAATTTTCATGAAAACTATGGTTTTATTGAAACTACTCGCGCGCCATCTGTCGTCCGTTAATGAGACTATGACCTTGAACCTTTCCAGAGTCCGAACAATAACGCTACGATCGGATTACTGTTTTACGGACACACGTACAAACTTTTATTTTTATTTAGTTTAGATGACTTAGTTGGTTTACTTATAATAAAAGTCGGTAATAAAAGAGAAAATCATAAAAACCTGATCGAAAGGCACGAGGCCGGCCGAGGTCTCGACGGCCCGCGCCACGTGCCGCCAGTGCGGCGCCGGCAGCGCGCCCGCCGCGGCCGCCCGCATGCAGCGCGCCGTGTGCCCGCACAGCGCGCCCGGCTCCATCAGCGCCTGCATGTGCATCCCTAGCAGCTCCGAGCTCAGCGGGTACGACTCGCTCGTGGGACCCCAGCGCTGGGCCGCAACCAATAAACTATCCAGGAGTTCGCGTCTCTCAGTCAGCTCCAGATCTTTTGATAAGTGGTTCATTTCAAACTGAAAACAATAAGGTAACTTCAGGTTCAAGGATAATTGTTTCTCTGGAATTTCCAAGTAAGTGAAAAAGGTAAGACTACAATGGCACTTTATTTTATTTGTAATTTTATCTTAATGAAAATAAATTGAAATCCGAAAAAAATCTACTAAAAACTAAAACATGTAAACAAACATCAAATTATGCCCCGTCTCGAGAATTTCTAGTCCAACCTCGATATTCATTAACAAAATTACGAATACATGATAAAGTTGATTCGCATACCAATTCCAGTAAACGTTCATCCTGTAACTAACCCTATTTGAGCTTGGTAAGTTCGAATAGTAGTCGGCAATGGTCGCAAGTGGAATGGAAGCAAGTGTAGTTTACCTTGGAGAGTGCACTGAAGAGCATATAGTCCGGGAGCGAGGTGCGGAGCAGGGCGCAGTAGAGCGGCGGCCAGGGCCGGCACAGGCGCGGCGCCACCACCGCCACGCACAGCGCCGCCTGCAGCGCGGAGCCGGCGCCGGCGCTCCACCGCTGCACTAGCGAGGCACACGTGGCGCCCGACCGCGACACCCACCGCTGGTGTGTATACGCATACTTTACTACCTTAATCACAATAATCATCAGAACACTGGCATTGACAATCTTCATGAGCGACTACTAACCATTACATGCTGACATTCGCGAAAACGATTTCACTTAATTGGGTTAGTGATTGATGATCTTGACCGCGGGAATTTTGTTCTATATTTGAGACTTAACATTAATTACTTTCTTTTATACAATAAACTAAATTTTCAGTTGGCCAACTTCGAATAAAATAACGGAAGTTTCGAATTAGGCCGTATGTTTTTTCTGCAGCAGACAAATGTTAATATATAATCAAAAATATATATACACAAATTGTGGTATAAATGAAATAATTACACTTTGAATACAGCGCTACCTGTTAGAAACTTTATAGACGACGGATGATAATCACCTTTCGTCACATTTTAAACAAAATAATTTAAAACAAACAATATTGTGAATAAAAAATGCGATAAATAGTATCCTATCTCTCAAGTCGGATCCAACTATGTGCAACGTGCGAAAATAACCTAAAATCGGTTCATTAGTTTAGAAATTCATCGCGGACAAATAGCGTGACGCGATTTTTCTATGTGAAGATATGTTTATTACCTCTGCCAGCACTAGTGCGGCTCTGTGCAGGGCGGCGTGCGCCGGACCCGACTCCGGGCACGCGGCCGCCGCCGCCCACACGCGCTCCACCACGCACAGCGCGCTGCTCATCGAGTCTATCCGCCTGGACACAACACGCTTTATGATTATAGGCTACTGGTGGCCCGGAGACCTTTCCAGTTTCACCAGGACAGGTGGGCGAGCAAGGGCTTAGCCAGGAGGGGTGGGATTTGCTAACAGCTGCCCGAGCGCCTCCGAAGAAGACCTAACAACTCAAGAGCAGCTGCTTCGCGAATGAATCTACTACCGGATCGGAATCGCGACTAGCTGAGTAGATCCGGCGAGAAACTCAGCGGGCTGATGCATGGGTTAGTTTTCACGTCGAACTCTTTGCCGAGTTCGACGAGTACGGTTTACCGGGGTCCCTAAACCTGCTCCTAGCGTTAGAGCTGAAGGCGTGATGTCCCACGTGTGGACAAATGGTATGGCATTAGAACGCGATACTCGCTTTAGACAATTTTATACATACGACATAATCACAAACACCTCAATTTCTTCGAATCATTCGATGTAATACAATTTCTTATTTTTTATTGGAATCTTTTTTATAACAGTAAAATAACACTACTACTGTACTATACTATACTATAGAAAAAATAACTAAGCTATCGAAATAAGTCCCGAAATTGGCCACAATGGAATTTTAAAAAGTTTTGATGTTAAACGAAACACGTTTAAAACTGAAGCGTCAATGCACTTCAAAGTTTCAATAGCAGCTTTTGTTTTGTTAATATTTCAAACTGATAAATGTAATGTTTTGTTAATATTTCAAACTAATATTATACAGTCTAAACTAATGGTGATTACTTGACGATAGAGTAGAGTGCGGCGGCGGTGCGGGCGGCGTGCGGGCGCGGCCTCGACAGGTGGCTTACGCTCTTGCGGCTTGTGCATCTGTTAACGGAAACAAGTATCCATGACATCTTAGTCTATCACTAAAACCAATGAGTTCGAAATTGTTAATGACTATCGGCCTAAAATATCAAAAATGCATTTGTTGAAAACGTGTACCACCCGCCAGCGGGATTCGAACATCGGCCCAGTCGCATCGATCGATACGAGAGCACGGACGTATTATCCTTTAGACCACAATGCAATGTTGAGAGACCGGAGATTTTTTAATTATTTGCATTCACAATCGGGCCTTGCACAACCGAATTTATCATTGACGGCTAACTTCATGTTGTCGCGCTGCAATATCTGACTGCACTCTTCTCATTACTAATATAACATCTACTAAGCTCACACGTAGTTTAACTTCGAAAATCTTTCTCAACTATAACTATATATAGTTTAAACTAAATTAACTAATAATTTCTAGTAAAATTCCACAAGTACCTGTTTTCTCTGATACTACGCTCGACTCCGGCTGATATACACCATTCTTCAGCCTGGAACAGTTATGAAAAAAAAAAGTAATTCGAAGTAGCGTCATGGCATTTGTAGCTCACGACAGTGGTCAGCATCGCTCACATTGAGGCGCACGCTGACCGGCGGGCACTTGTTGGCGCACTGCCTGCTGACGGGCGGCAGGGGGCGCCGCGCGCGCAGCGAACCCAGCAGCACCCACAGCTGGACATCCAGCGCCCTCACGCGCTCCGTCTCCGACGACCACTCTCTGAGGAGTCGCAGACACGATTTTATTTATTGCTTATATGGGTGGACGAGCTCACAAGCTGGTGTTAAGTAGTTACCGGAGCCCATTGACATCTACAACGAAAATGCGCCACCCACCTTGAGATATAAGTTCTAAGGTTTCAGTATAGTTACAACGGCTGCCCCACCCTTCAAACCGAAACGCATTACTGCTTTACGGCAGAAATAGGCAGGGTGGTGGTACCTACACGCGCGGACTCACAATACGTCCTACCACCAGTAGAAGCTATACAGAAAGGAGACGGAAAATCGTGGGCCAAAAATGTAATAACATGGAATGTGGTCTAAAAAATTTGTCATATTTTTTTATATAAGAATATAAAAAATCACCTCAATCCTTTTCCTGGGACCGGAGAAAAATGAGAATGTTAGTTTTTGTCGGTTTAGCGGTGTGATCGATTACAGGATTATAAAAAAAAAAAACATTGCACTAGGTAATGATTGCAAAGTAATTAAATGAGCTATTTGTACTTGTTGTATACAAGTGCAGTATACAGCGAATTTAATTGGGATTACATACATAAATAAAGAAAAAGTCTATTATTACTTAACAAAGTAATATGATTATCGATTTCAAATCGATTTAAATCAATTGTATTTTTAATGACAGCTTTGACAATAAGCTGACATGACGCTTGTTCATAGATTATACACTTAATATTTGGCGCTTGTTGGTTTTTTCTGCTCTACTCGTTTTGTATTTTCGACGCGTTTTGAGTGTGTGTCTGGCTGTTTTTATTTATTTTCAACGATCACTGCTTTATTATTACGGATTCCAACCCTGCCTGACTTTTACTACAATTTCTTCTACACTGGACACTGAAGATTGCTCACACGTTTGTCTTGAAATTGTTGAATTGGATGCTGTTGAAATTATGGATCGCTGTGTGAATTGTGGGATAGCAATTAATCATAGCAATTCCATAGGCCGTCGACCCTTGGACAGTGTTACAGTATTATACGGTTGGATTATATTATATGGTTGGACCCTTGGACAGTATTATATGGTACCTAGCCCAGCTAAGGGCTAGATACATACCAAGATAATATTGTTCCCCCTGCACTTCCTGAACGACATTTTAATAATAATTGAAGGTGAATACACTAGGTATACAATACGTTGTGTTTTATTTTTTTTCGACGCCTTTTAGGTAAATCCATATCTCATATAATATATCATTGATATTCATTCATAATATGACATTTATGGATATATCCATTCGATAACCTTTATAATAAAAAAATTTGTTTATAATAAACATTTACTTATGCTTAAATAAGTTATTATTCAGCTCTTTTATAGAGATTGTAACATAACCTAACTTTTACTTAATCTTTATTAATTCTGCTCTCAGATTGAGAAAACTTTTAGAATTTTCAGCAAGGTACTGATGAATCTGAATCTATTAATTTATACTAGTTTCATCACGTTACTTTCGGGCCCAAAAATGTATGTAATCGTTTCAGTCTCCATTACTTTATTCCAGGACCTTGTGTTGTAGTAGTTTTTAATTGCATACATAGGAGAGTGAGCTCACGGATATGGAGGCAAGGGCGTGAGTGCAGAGATGACGTGTGATAGACCGAATGGAAAAGAGAACATCACACAGTGCATGCAGCCGCCCACCTTGAGAAATGAGGTCTGAATCTCAATTGTCTAATTTAACGACTGCTGCGCCCTTTGAATCATAAGGTATTGTTAATGCTAAATCGATATAGTTACATATTATTATAACCATTGAAACACTTACTTAGCCAGTAATTTAATTTTATTCAGATGATTTTCTGCAGCGGAAATCAAACGGTGAGTGTCTTTGAACTCTACGTCTTCCAACACTGGCTTCAGAATATTTTTTTTGCGTCTGAAAAAAAACACATCTTAATATTTGAAAAGCTCATATTATTATTATTATTTTTAATATGCGTCTACTTGAGAACTTACAGACGCACAATTGAAAAATTAAGTCACATAAGTACATACTATATTATGTTATTATTTAAATAAAACTATGAAGACTATGCTACTATTTGTAATTTAATGAAATCAATACTTTGCTATTACAAATCATAAGGCTAAGTTATTCAATCAATCCGGTCATTTTATAACTACAGTACATACTTTAATTACTTTACTAAATACTTTAAAAAAATACTAGCCGTACTCGCCCGCTTCGCTGGGCATTGAAAATGAACATTATTATTTATTGTCATTATTATTAGGGAGTCCAACACTCATATATTAGCCTATGCATTAAGTAAATGTATTTTCTACATGGATACCAAGTTTCAAGTCAATCGGATGCACGGTTCAGTAGTTATAACGGAACATCCGTAAAAACCACTGTAGATTTATATATTAGTATAAATGTATCCGATTGTTTAGGGCACGGCGTGTGAGAAGTACACCGGTAAAACCATACCTTTTTCGTGATTTCTGTCCGATACTGAGTATGGAATCAAGGCCGACTGCAAACTGTGACTTGGGAGGGTCGGCGGCGACGGGCGCCGGAGGGGGGTCCGGCTCCGGCGCGGGAGGGGGGCGGAGCTGGCGCAGCGCGTGACGCCAGCCGGCTTCTAAACACTAAATAATTTTTTTTGGTTTTGGAATTTCGTTTGTCAATTGAGATATCAGAGGGGTTAGGTGAGGGGGGGATAGGCGTCGCGGTAGAATGAGTGTAGTAAAGATTTTGTACGATACCTGTGTAGCGGGGAGCTATCACAGAACACAAGTTATTTGACAGATGACTGAATCTCGCTAACGACCTTTTTCTCAAGATAAGCTTACATATATACACAAGTCTCGACATACAACACTTCAATTCGATAAAGCGGCACGACACAAGAACCCTCTCATCGTGACCGCCGGTAACTACATACCCGATCCTGCGGACCGAATGGTAAGCAGTCGACGTCGCCCTAAGCACGTCATTACGGATCTTCCAGATCAATTAACGATGCTTTTAGGTACCACAAACACCGGTCACCGTTCTCGCCGAACCTGTCGCTGGCGACGAAAGGCTCGACGAGTAAACTAACCCACAGACACAGCCCACTGAATTTTTCGCCGGATCTTCTCAGTGGGTCGCGTTATGGATCCGGTGGTAGATTCTGCGAAGCACTGCTCTTGCTACAGTTAGTGTTAGCAACGTCGTCAGGTTTGAGCCCCGTGAGCTCACCTACTTGTTAGAGTTACGCTGAAATGGCTTTTCAAGGTCATCAGCTTAAGTTTAAAAAAAATAACACTAGGCTCGGTAGAAGATTTCCCCTGTCGTTAACCCAAGCCTCTATTAAAAAATTACAACCCAGTTTGTGCGGTGGCCTTACAGAATGTGGTGGAACACTACCTGCTGCGTCATGAAGCTGGTCAGGTCGGCGTGGTGCTGTCGGGCGGTGACCCGCTCTCCGTCCTCCAGCCAGCGCAGGTACATCAGCATCATTCTGGCGAAACGTAATCTAACTAATGCCTTTTATATCAGAATCTGAACTATTCCGTTCTTAGTAATTATTTTTAAAACTACACATTTTATACACGACACATTATGGCTCGTATGTGGGTAATCGTTGTGACATTGCATTGTTTATTTTAGTCCTTAATACGATTTTTTTAATGCTTACGATGAGTGGAGGAGCTCGCAGCCCACCTGGTGTTAAGTAGTTACTGGAGCCCATATACATCTACAACGAAAATACGCCACCCACATTAAGATATAAGTTCTAAGGTCTCAAGTATAGTTACAACGGCTACCCCGCCCTTCAAACCGAAACGCATTACTGTTTCACGGCAGAAATAGGCAGGGCGGTGGTTCCTACCCGTGCGGACTCACAAGAGGTCGATGTCGCAGTTATTTAAATAGCTTCTATAAACACTAATGAGAAATCCAACTGAACAGTTACAGATACATTACAAGAGTGCACTTACTTGTGGGCGCCGATGTAGTAGTTCAATAGATCGATTTTACTGACATCGAATTCTGTGTTTCTCGTTGTGTTGGCCGGGGCGGCGTCTCCGTCACCCTCCCCCCCGTCGTCCCACTCACCCTCCCCGGAGTCGCTGTCGCTCGACTCTCCGGTCAAATCCGCGATGGTCAGATCTTTAAACAGCTCACCGTCGGCCCTCTGCGACGTGCTGGCAATTTCGGCGGATTTTATTTCGACTTTGTCACTTAAAATCTCCTTTATTTTGTCGGCTTCGGCTTTATGGTGGGCCGCCAGCTCTTGGAGACGTTTCTTGATGTGACCGAGAGAGCGTGTCTTTATGATGCCGCTGTAGAAAAGGGGCCCGGCCGCCGGACAGGGGTCGTTCTCGGAATAAGCCCGCACTATAACGCTACAACAGTAAGTTATTTTTTTAAGGGATTTTATGACCTGGTAACTTAGACCTTTAAGTCGTGTCTTATTTTAATTTATTTCGTTATTTTTATGAAAAATGATAATATGAAGAGAAATGTAATGAATTTGTTTAACATGGAACATTAATCAACTGGGATGAAATTAAATGAAATGAGATGAGATAATATGGGATGAAATATAATCTCAGTAAAATTGTGGTCATTTATTGCGATTTTTTCAGTGTACTTTTGGAAGATCCCGAGAAGTTACGTCCAGCGGCTTTGTTTCATTTTCCCACATTTGTGCACTTTCACAGATATTAAACAGTTAATAAACCACCATTATTACACATTTAAGCCCGAAGAAACACTAAACAGACAAAATAAAACAAATCACACAACTTCACTGCTTGCGTTCCCGCCAGAAAGTTCCAACAGTAAGTACATTGTAGATGTTGCCAGAGTCGAATGGCCGTTCAGTGAGCACTTTCAAGATGGCGGACTGTTTTCTATACTTTAACTGATAGATAAGCCAGCCCTATACAAGGGATCTCATTAAAGAACCTCATTCCATGTACATCTAAAAAATCATTATAAACAACTCTGGACTAGTTCCAGAAAAACACTGAAGAAGTTTCATATTTCACAATAAACTCACGCGTTAGCCGATACTTGTTCTAAATAGAGATGCATGAACAGCCTCCAAAGGGTCAGATGAGCGGGATGCTGCGGCGGGGCTGACAAAACCGCGTTGCCGGCACGATATATCACCAGCTCCTCCGAGCTCATCTTCAATCCTATTTGCTGTAGGAAACCATATAGTAATACGCTTTTATTAGCTTCAGACGTATGTATGTTTGTAACGGAATCTTTGAACATGATTTTGAGCCCCTTCAAAACGTCGTAATAACTTGAAATTTGGTATACATACTTATTAAGGACCGATGACAATTTAATACTTAAAAAAAATAAAAATAAAAATTTGTAAAATTGAAATTTAATTAAAAAAAGAAAGATAAATAATAGTTTAAAAAAACTAACAAAAGACGCTTTTATAGAAAATTCAAATAAAAAATAGAAAATTAATATTAATAAATTTGAATTAAAAATAGTGTAAGAAATTTTTTTTAACAATAAAATCATTTTTTCTTGGATTTTCTATAAAAGCGTATTTTGTTAGTTTTTTTACAAATATTATTTATTTTTATGTGATTTTTGAGGTGCCGTGGCTTTTAATGACAGCCAGGGCTGATGCAGTGGTATACCTGCAGCGCATTGTCCACATGTATCCGCTGTCTGGCCGCGTGCTGCGCCCGCAGTGCGGCGAGCAGCAGGGCGTGCGCGTGCGTGCGCTGCGTGCGGGCGTGCGCGGCGCGGAGCACGCACTCGCACAACAGTGGAGCCGTCGCCGCGTTGCTGACCGCATTCGCGGTTATTTCTTTGGCATTTCCGTCCTGTTCACATAGTGCAATATTTGTTCACATACCTATATTAAGTTTACTTAATTTAATATTTTAAAAATTTATATTAATTAAAACAGTTTCATTGTGAGATTAGTATCATAAGAAAATAAACAGCATAATAGTGCAGTGTAGACAGAAACATTTAAACGAGTGCTTATACTGCAGGTGTACATATGATGTTGTCACATGTGAATATATGTTTTTTGTTGAATAATGCAATGATTAATTTCAATAATTACTAAGCACGCTTTGAATCATATTTTATTCACAATAGTTTTATTTTTATTTTACATAGTAACAATTAAATGTGTTATTATTAGGAAACTATTGGGCGTTGATACAGATATTCCTATTAGCTAAAGCTACACTTTATAGGTAGTAAGTAGTATATTAGTTATTGGCCACACCTGCAGCATGGCGGTGGCGTGGTCGTCGAGCTGCGCCCAGTGCTGGCACAGCACGGCGCCGGCGTCCAGCACGGCGAGCGCGGCGGGCGGGCCGCGCCACAGCGCGTGCATCCACACCGACAGCACGGCCGCGCGGGACACGTTGTACGACCTGCACCGAGCTTCAGTAATAGTTCTTGCACTGGCAGAAGTAGGCTTCGTGGTAAACTGAGTGTATCTACCCGTGCGGGCTTACGATACGCCCTATTCAGTAAAGATTTTGTACGATACTTTTGTAACGGGTAACTATCACAGAACACAACGTATTTGACAGATGCTTGAATTTCGGCTTCGGATTCGGGAAAGAGAATACTAATGTTTATGTTTACTGTTAGAGAATTATTTATTGAGAAATCCAGCTTATTACATTTAATTACAATTTGATTGTTGACACACGTTGATACACGTGCAGCATACGTTTGAATTGCTCCGAATAAAAACTACATTTTTCTTAACTCTGACACGCCAGATAAAGGGCGCTGGAGCCATACGGCCTTAATGTTGTTTTGCATAAAAAAAACATGCGTCACCGGTTATCATAGTGCATCCCAAAATACTTTTCTTACTACCCATCTGTATTCAGTAATGTTAGTCAATACTTTCAACCAGGGAACTACACCTGTAGTGCTAGCTTTAAAAGAGCACGAGTGTGAGGTCAGTCACAGATAGCTGAACATTGCAACCTCAGTGAATTCTCATCATTTCACTCTGAAGACTGTTGAGGATCACTAGAATCACTGAGATCCTGCTTTGAGCTTCGTGGCCAACAGAGAAACATGTCCGGTCTACTCACTCATGGTTTTCTAGCTGTTCCAAGAAGAGTCTCAAGAGAATCTCAGAGCCGGCGACTCCGCCGCGACCTAGTGTTCGCTGCACCAGCGTGGGGCGAGCGTTCAACAGGATCGAGAACAGTTCCGCGAACCTAAAAATTATAAAAAATCCCTTTATAATATATCGACTTACCCACTTTTCTTGCAAATTTCTTATTTTGTTTATTGGTTCGAAAGAATTACGCTTTGAGCGACGCCTGTTGTACTCATTTAGTATTTTATTAATATTATTGTGTTTGTAATTCTCAAATGTTGGTGTGTGTGTGTGTGTGTGTGTTGCGGCTTCACAACTACAAGCCAAGTAGATTCAAGGGGAGGGGGCTCCGGCCACGTGTACGGGCTCGGGACCGAACTTCATTAACCAGATATCGACACTAATGTTACGTAAGAAAAGATATAAGGTAGGCGCGAATCATCTTCGAAAAACAGAATTTCTTCAATAAAGTAATAATACACAGTCGATTATTGTTTAACGTTAACAGTTTGGTCCATAATGTGTCCAACTGTAGAGAGAGAGAAAGAGACACATATCACGTCAAGTGGTTGTCACGGGCCATAGACCTCGCAACACGAAATGCTGCCCACTTGAGGTGTGAGGTAAAAACGTGGGCCGTCCGCTGTCGTGCCACAACGACCCTGCGATGTGAGACCGTAAATTCTTGGGTTTATTTTGTTTTCTTTACTTATATTGTTATTTTTGATGACATATTTAATGTTTATCTTTATTCAGTCGTTAATTCGGTCGTTCATTCAGTCTTTCATTCAGTCGTTCATTCAGTTCGTTCAGTCCGTGAATATGTTCGGTTACTTGGGCGTCAGGGAGACGGACTCCGGCGAGTGCGCCATGACCAGCAGGAGCGGCGCCAGACAGCACGCGGCGTCCCGGGGCCGCGCCGCCGCCAGCTCGCACAGCGCGCCCACGCCCTCCGCGCAGATCTGCCGACACACAGGCCCAGCTGAGCCGCCTCCGCCTCGACACATGACCCTTACTGCATCGGCTGTCCCTCGTGCAAACGAGCGATAACTTCGACACAGTAACACGTGCGATCGACAGTTAGGAAGTTAGGTAGAGACAAAACTGAACACCGTCAGTCGAACACTGACTAGAGTAGTCCACGGGCGCATCTACAGGTTAACAGTCGCACAGATTAAAAAAGGGATTGTGTGGTTTTATGAAACCACGGTAAAAATGAAACTTTTTTTCACATTAAAGACATTTAACTCCGACAAACAACATTTACATTAAACACTGACAAACACAAACAAAATAGCGTGGAGCACGGGCACAAATGAGTAATAGTCTATACAGTACACAGTCAGCTGCTGCGAACTATAGAAGCCGCCATATTGGCCTTGGCTGCTCTGACGAGCGCCTTTCACTTTATCCCTATTCCGCAGCCGACCGTCACGCGACATGCTACACAGACGAAAAAGTTTGAGACGATGTAATAAATGTATTCACATAAAAAGTTTTATTTACCAGCGGAATGGAGTGTCCCCAGGAGCTGGATAATAACTGGAATGCTATAGCGAAGGGTTCTGTGGGGCGGACGGGGGGCGGGGGCGGGTCGGCGGCGCGGCCCCACAGCGCGCCGTGCAGGGCGGAGCGCCGCAGCACTGCCCAGCACCACTCGGGCGCCGGACCGGACCCCGCATACGACACCAGCCAGCTGCAGATGCTCAGCTGAGTCTCTAATGACATCCCGCTGCAGATCATCGTCATTTCTTGTTAGGAATTGTGGTCCAGTTTTGAGACTAATAACTAGATCAGGCTATAAAAGCTAACAAACATCGAAAACGTACATGTCACTACTGATCTTAAGATATAAGCTCTACGGTACCTACCCAGGCTTACAAAACGCCAGACCACCAGAACACTGGTGGTAGGACCTCTTGTGAGTCCGCGCGGGTAAGTACCACCGCCCTGCCTATTTCTGCCGTGAAGCAGTAATGCGTTTCGGTTTGAAGAGTGGGGCAGCCGTTGTAACTATACTGAGATCTTAGAACTTATATCTCAAGGTGGGTGGCGCATTTACGTTGTAGTTATCTATGGGCTCCAGTAACCACTTAACATCAGGTGGGCTATGAGCTCGTCCACCCATCTAACCAAAAAAAACTGTATGTAACCTTACTAGTCATTAACAAAACGCTGAATTACTGGTGGTAGGACGCCTTGTGAGTCCGCGCGGGTAGGTACCACCACCCTGCCTGTTTCTGCCGTGAAGCAGTAAGTTTGAAGGGCGGGGCAACCGTTGTAAGCATACTGAGACCTTATTGTAAATGTCTATGGGCTCCGATAACCACTTAACACCAGGTGGGTCGTGAGCTTGTCCACCCATCCAATCAATAAAAATAAAAAAATGGCTGACGTGTGCGGCGTGTAGTCCAGCTGCAGCAGCAAGTGCGACAGCGGCGCGCGGCGGCCCGCCCAGTCGTCCAGCACGCGCGTGACGTCATCGCCGCGGGGGCGCCACGCGCTCAGCCCCAGCGCCGCCACCGCAGCCGCGTCCACCGGCTCCCCTGCCACAGGACCAACTCTCTGTCAGCTTTACGACAAACTGCAGTTCACAGATCCGTTAAGTAATCATAATGGTGCGGATACTGAGCGTTATATCAAAGCCTATCAAACGCAAATACCAAAAAATACAGTTTTAATTTATTGCTGGTGTTATATTTTTCTAAATTTTTTTTATTGCTATATGGGTGGACGAGCTTACAGCCCACCTGTTGTTAAGTGATTACTGGAACCCATAGACATTTACAACGTAAATGCGCCATCCACCTTGAGATATAAGTTCTAAGGTCTCAAGTATAGTTACAACGGCTGCCCCACCCTTCAAACCGAAACGCATTACTGCTTCACGGCAGAAATAAGCAGGGTGGTGGTACCCACCCGCGCGGACTCACAAGAGGTCCTACCACCAGTAAAGTTAGGACGTCATGTAGCCCATACGAGTAGGTACCAGGTAGGTCCTGCCTTATATTTGTCGCGAAGCAGTAATTGGAACATATTTCAAGATTTCAAGGGTGGGACAGCTTTTATACAAATGAAACTTAGACCCTATGTCTCAAGGGGTACAGTATTCATGATATCCATACGCTCCACTAATTACATCACGCGTTGGACCGTAATCACATGAAACTTACAATCAAACAAACATAAATTTAATTTTGTACTGTTCGAATGTTTTTCTATGCATAGTACGGCAACACCGTTACGTTTTTGAGCACTGGCAATACTTACTCTCGTTCAACTGAGCCAAGGTGTGCAGCGCGGTCGTGTACAAGTACGGGTGCGCAGCCAACAATGACCGGAGGCATTTCTGGGCTTCCTTGTCGCAGGCGCCTTTACATTCCTCAGTCTTACGTTGGTTTCCGATCTGAAGAATTACTGGAAACTTATGCATCAATTAGGCCGCTGGATACTCCCGTTCCTACGGCCCTTCCTACGGTCATGGATATCGCAAGGAAAGGTAAATTGGATCTACAGTGTATGGACCAGCGGTGACTAATCGATAAAATACCGGGGAAAAGTTCTATTAGTACATTAAGGCGAATAACATGGATACAACAAAATAAATGTAATTATTATTATTATTATATAAGACATTTCTATAAATGAACCTTTTTTAAGATATCACTCGTGATAGGACGTCTTGTGAGTCCGCACGGGTAAGTACCACCACCCTGCCTATTTCTGCTGTGAAGCAGTAATGCATTTCGGTTTGAAGGGTGGAGCAGCCGTTGTACTGTAATACCTGAGACCTTTATAGAATCCATATCTCAAAGTTGGGTGTTGGAATTTACGTTGTAGATGTCTATGGGCTCCAGTGACCACTTAACATCACAACTAAGCAGTAAAAAAAATTGTAATTTGGTAGACTATGGTGAGAAAGACACCAGTCAGACAGAGTAGCATACTTAAGTAAGGGTATGTTACTAGAGACGGGTAATGCATTAATCTGAGTGGGCGCCGCCACCCTGACTATTCCTAGCCGGACTACCATGTACAGATTTGAAGGTTATTACACTTTAACTTCGGCTTCTCGCTTCGCATACCATGAGCCCTTCTACAGTAAAAAGTCAAGACATCTTAAGATAACGCATTACGTGTTAATCATTGCCCGATACCATATACTTCTGTCGAGGACTTTTTGGCGGGAACGCGAGGAGTGAAGTTGTTTGATTTGTTTTATTTTGTCTATTTAGTGTTTCTTCAGGTTTAAATTTGTAATAACGGTGGTTTATTAACTGTTTTAATATCTATGAAAATGCACAAATGTGGGAAAATGAAACAAAGCCGCTAGACGTAACTTCACGGGATCCTCCAAAATGTCCACTGAAAAAATCTCAATAAATGACCAGCATTTTACTGAGATTATATTTCATCAAATATCATCTCATTTCATTTCATTTCATCCCAGTTGATTAATGTCTCAAATTAATCATCTTCATTTCATTTCACTCGATATTATAATTTTTCATAAAATTATGAATATAAATAAAAATAAGACATGACCTAAAGGTCTTAGTTACCGGGTCATAAAATCCTTTAAAAAAAACCTCTGTCGAATTACAGTGGTACAATCTCAGAATTCAAACGTCTTTCACCACTTACCTGAATTAAAAACTCTAACACGAATTTTGCGAGTTGCTCGTCGTGTGCGCGGTTTATTGCCGCGTGCGCTATTATCTTGACTCGGCTCTCGCATGGCAACACCGGCAGCTCCATCGACAACGACTCGAGAGGTTTCGGTTTCACGGCTGTAACGAAAAACATTGTAATGAGCAAATGCACATCGACGCTTGAAAGGCAAACGTGACTAAGCGACAATAACTGCTTTATACATAAATGATAGGCAATAACAACAACATTCGATGCGCAAAAAAAAAAAATTCTATGTCTATTAAAAGCATTTCAATCCTACAGCCAGATTCGTTAAAATAGATTTTTTTCAGGTATTTCAACTTTAAATTAGTCTACTGTAAAGTTCACGCATTGTCGCTTAGTCACGTTTGCCTTTCAAGCGTCGGTATGTTAAGACACAAACTCAGCGAATTAGAACTTAGAATGTCTACTTTTATCTAAGTTTGCCGCTAGGTTCCAACTCCATACTTGACTTAACTTTTCCCCGATCGAGAAGCACACAGATGAACATCACAATTGAAAATTCGACCTCATGTCTCAAGATGGTAGGACGGAATATGAAACTAAATAGACATATGAGCGCTTTAGCTATTTCTGCCGCGAAATAGTCATGCATTGTGTTTAAAGGGGGAGGGGGCGACTATAAGCATTAAACAAAACGGCCCTAAGGAAGTTTTCACTTCGGCTCATACAAAAGTCGAAGATTTGAAGTCGTCGTGACCTAAAGGATAAGACGTCCAGTGCATCTAGATCTAGCGATGCAACGATGTTCGAATCCCGCAGACGGGTACCAATTTTTCTAATGAAATACGTACTAACAAATGTCCACGATTGACTTCCACGGTAAAGGAATAACATCGTGTAATAAAAATCAAACCCGCAAAATTATAATTTGCGTAAATACTGGTGGTAGGACCTCTTGTGAGTCCGCACGGGTAGGTAGCTACCACCCCGCCTATTTCTACCGTGAAGCAGTAATGCGTTTCGGTTTGAAGGGTGGGGTAGCCGTTGTAACTATACTGAGAACTTAGAACTCATATCTCAAGGTGGGTGGCGCATTTACGTTGTACATGTTTATGGGCTCCAGTAACCACTTAACACCAGGTGGGCTGTGAGATCTCCAATCATCTAAGCCAAAAAAAAAAATAGTTCCATGAGTCCGTGCTGACCGTGCAGAGAGACGGCGTGGCACACGCAGTAGTCCATGGCCCCGCGGCGGCCCAGCAGCGCGGTGGGCAGCGTGGGCAGCTCCGATGCACTGGACATGCTCACCCCTTCTGCGAACACCGCCTCCAGCTCGGCATCGATTTTTTCTTTCAACTCATCCCGATACAGGTGTCTGTATACACATTACATTAAATCGTTAGAAATCGAATCGAATCGATAGAATAATCGATTCACTGGTGGTAGGGCGTGTTACAAGCTCGCACATGTAGATAGATACCAAAACCCCATATATAAGTTCGCCATTAGAGCAATCAACAATCACAGTCGGTGGGTTGGGGTATTCATGTTGTGATGCACCTAGTATACGCAATAAAAAACAAATATCACAAACATTAAAGTAGACGAAATTGTGTTTTTTTTATACCACTACTGTTATAGTTTATGAAGGTATTTTTTTAGTGCGTGAGGCACGCGGCAAACCGTTCTTGAAACCCTTCAAATACTTACAGAATTCTATCTACTATCCATCTTAGAGTTAACTTTTTAAAAGAACAATAACATCATATACCAGATGATGTTTTTTTTAACTAGATTTGTTGAGAAACAAAAACAATGAAAATGTTCAAGATCACGAAACAATATAATAACCTAGAGCGCATATGCAGCGAGCAGAGGGCGGTCATGGCGGCGCGGGCGAGGTGCGCCAGAGCCGCCCGCAGGCGCGTGTAGTGCACGTGCCGGGCGGCGGCGCGGCGCAGCACGTGCAGCCACGTGCGCACGCCCGCACACGCGCGCAGCACCGCTCCGCCGCCGCCGCGATCCACCCACTCCGATTCGCGGACTTGTTTTATATCCTAAACAATTACAATAATTAACCTTCATACTACTCATTTTACATTATACTTTTACTAACGAATTATAATTAACTAGCTGCCCACCCCGGCTTTGCTTGGGTAATAGTGCACGCGATGTAAAGAATTTTAGGTAATTTTTTTACACATTGGGTTATATTATTGGAGTTTCAGTAAGGATCCCTAATTTTTTTGAAATTATAATAAATATAGCCTATGTCACCCGGGGATAGCGTAGCTTTTCAACAGTGAAAGATTTTTTTAAATCGGTTCAGTAGTTTCGAAGCCAATTTAATACAAACAAACAAACAAATCTTTCCTCTTTATAATATCAGTATAGATTACGAATCACTATTTTGTATGAAAGTACTAATTAAATTATGTGATAATATTTAATTTCAATAAACAAATACTTACCGCGTGCGTAATGGCCACCAGCCTTGCAACCAGGTCTCTCAGAGGGAAGGCGTTCAGGAGTGACAACATGTCCTTTTCCCGCATCTTACCCTCGCTGACCGCACCACCGGCGCCGTGTTTGTCCACTTCCTCCCAAGCATCTTCACTCTCTGATAATAAAAATAAAATAAATAACTGTTAAAAAAAACCGCTTTTATAGAAATTCCCACTAAAAAATAAAAAATAAATCATAATAAATAAATTTGAATAAAAAAAAGTATAAGAAAAAATGATTTTGTTGTAAAAAAAATCTATTTTTTTTTTAAACTTATTTATTATTAATTTTTTAGTTGAATTTCAATTTTTTCAATTTTTTTTTTTAAATATTGTGTTGTCGTCGGTACTTAATAAGTATACAAAATTTTGAGTTAGTTCGACGTTTTGAAGGGGGTCAAAATCATGTTCAAAGATTCCATTACATACATACGTCTGAAGCTAATAAAAACGTATTAATTACAATTATTCCGAGTGAAGCTTCCATGACGAGCCTTGATTTTTTCACAACAGTGGAACATAATACTGATCATATTTATCTTAATCAAGCTTTGAAAATCATTTTTTAAAACAAGTCTGGCCCTGACTTTGATGAAACATGTGTATATAAGATATTATTTTGGAGTAAATGGCTAAACATTTTACTTAAAAGAATGACAATGTTGCAAATAACAAATATGGTAAAAAAACTTCCAAAGTCACGAATACTTGAAACCACTGGTGGTAGGACCTCTTGCGAATCCGCACGGGTAGGTACCACCACCCTGCCTATTTCTACCGTGAAGCAGTAATGCGTTGTTGTAACTATACTTGAGACCTTAGAACTTATATCTTAAGGTGGGTGGCGCATTTACGTTGTAGATGTCTATGGGCTCCAGTAACCACTTAACACCAGGTGGGCTGTGAGCTCGTCCACCCATTTAAGCAATTAAAAAAAAAAAACTTGAAACCATGCCAAAAGCGTACCCTCAGTACATTCCAAAGCAGGCTCCGGAGTGGCCTTCGGCAGAGCAAGCAGGATGTCCAGGAGGGCGATCATCTGTGCAGCCGACACACTGTCCCGAACTGCCAAGTTTATGAACGATGACGCCCATTCAACTGAATGAGATTGTCTGTAAAAAAATAAAAAAACAGCTGTTAACCCACAAGAATACTAGCATTGCTTCTATCATCTCATTTTCGTGTGATATCAACCATGCAAGAGGTGAAAGGCTATTTGGTTTAAGCGACATTATTGCAACTTTGTAGGGGCCATTTAAAGTTTAATATTTGGAAATAATACCATCACAAAAAAAAAAACATCAGCTGTTTGAACAGAGTAAACTTAATTGAATTTCAATTAAAAACATCAAACGGTTTATGCTTATACCAAATAAAATGCACCTTTAATTATTACAAAGATAAACATCGCGTATAAACCGAAATGACGCTTAAAGTAAATAGTCTTTCGCCCCTCGCATTATAATTTTCAGATTGATTATGAAAATAAATCTTATCTTAAAAGTATTTCTAGAATACATTTACACTTAAATGTTTTATATTGGGTAAGCCTTTCCATTCTCCAATTAGTATCTACTATATCAGGATAGATTCCAAATTGTGAGTACTTTTTGGCACCTGAACAAGTGATGTATGAGAAACAGCAGCTGCCTCACATCGCTGCCCTCCAGTAATGCAGTACTGAGTGCTCTCGCCCATCGCAGTAGAGCAATAGACAGCACTGTTGGTGAACTGTCACTTAGCTTCAATGCTTGCAGCACTAGGGATAACGCTTCGCGGATCTCACTTTTAGAGCTTTTCACTATTTCAGATAGCAGTTCTTCAATCTGTATTGAAAATAATCCTTTCACTTTTTACAATGTTAATTTACACAATAATAATCATTAAGTCTATTGCTGATATAATAAAGGTAAAGTTACTATTGTTACGCCCGTAAGAGTAACTCCATCTATCGCCGAATAGTCGAACGAATACCGAAGGACCTAGTGGCACCTAGAACGCCAGAGAAGTACAACGCTATCTATTGTCAAATAGCGAGAACTACTACTAGAGATGTGTGGAATATTTTCGATAATTCTGGGGATGAGGTATCGGCTATAAAAGCGTTGTAGAAATGGCACGGAGTCAGTTAGTAATCGGAATTATTCGAAGCGAAACAGCGAATGGGTCACCTGAAGCGAAGCGGAAGAAGCTAATTGAGAGTTTTAAAGTGTTTGTTGAGTGTTTTAAGTGTTCAAAGTGTTGAATACAGTTTTTAAGTTGTACCCTGGTAGAATTTTTATTTATCTCGAACCCCAGCACGTAACACTATTTAAATTTGAGAAATTCTAGACCAAACTATAAAACTTAAACTGAAATTTAATTTAAATAGAGAACATAGGCAACAGAGTTATGAAACACTTACCTCACAATGTGCTAACAAGGCTTCATGTTGATGATGACAGTATGAATCCGTTATGTCTCTCAGCAGTCCTTCTAGTGTGAGCTTAGCTGCAGGAAGCTTTTCTTTCAACAGCTGAGCATGTTCATACGATGCTTGCACATATACTTTGGCACCACATCTGCACTGCTCCTTTGCTTTTATGTAACGTTTTTCAATCAACCATAGCCTCGATCTGGAGGATTCCTCTTCGATAAAACCAAGAGTTATTTTCGTGCGTTCCCTTTCTACAGCTCTAAGTGATGAACTAAAAAATGTTAGAAAATAATTTTTAATTTTCTACAGAGGAAACTTGTCAAATATCTAAAAAACTGGGGATGTCTTTGTCCTAATGTCTTACTTGAACTCGGCTTATAGCACAAATTAACATGAGTCTAAATAATTGTTTACTGGTGAAATGGCATATCGTAAGTCCTCAGGAATAAATACTATCTCACCATTCTTGGCCATGAAGCAGTTAGGCGCTCCCATTTGAAAGTTAAGTTGTTATACAATAAAAGCGAGACTTCAACCTTGTGTTTAGTGGGTGGAGGAATTCACATTTTGAAGGCTGAGAGTTTCAGTAAACATAAAAATAATAATAAAATTTTAATGTGTAGTATTATTGTGATGAGTCTTATTTTAGTTTCATTATGGATACAATAATGTGTTAATTGACCTATTTGTTTTCTATAAGTTTTAATGAAATCATAACACTTATAACCTGAATGTAGACAGCAGATCAACCAAAGGATGCTCAGGCCCTGATGAAGGTCCAGCTTCAACAATAGTTTCTTCCTTCTCACTCAAAGATTTTATTAGCTCAAACTCTTTCCTGGCAAATAAATGAATTGCCTCTTCTAATGGAATACACTTAACTCTTGGCTCCTCAACTTTCTCTGGAACTTCATACATTGACTGCTGAGGTGGTTTGTGTACTTCTTCCTCTAAGATAGGAGCTGAAGGTGTTAAAACTTTAGCCAGGCCTATATTACTAATACCACCTTCTTCTGTTGCTATGCTTTCTTCATTTGTATGTACAGAATAGTTAGAGGATTCATTTGTTAAACAGTCTCTTACTCTTGTATTATATGCATCTGGATGAGCTAGTTCATATTCCCTTTGCTCAGTGATGTCAAAACACTGGTTGGGTATAATCAAACGTTCCAATTTTGAATTTAATTCTTTATATGTTTCTGTCATAGTCTTACTATTCTCACTAACTTCTTCAACATTTTTGCTTTCTACCATTTCCAATTTGCTTTCCGAGATTTTAATTTCACTTTTGCTTTCTATTACATTCACATCTTGAAATTTAATAGGAACTGTTGAAGTTTTATCACTTTTGTCTATGACTAATTTGAGGGTCTGAGAAATAGTAGCATCTGAGCTTGGACATGCAACAACATCACTCTCTGATAGCTGAATATCTGTACTTTTACTGCTCAATTTCTCTTTAGTTTTCTTTTTCTGGAAAAAAAGGACTTTATATACTTTGTCTTATTGTATATTTTCTGCAGGAATGCAGCATCACATCAGGCAGAAAAAAATCACTTTGTATCAAATCACAATCGATGCCACTGTACTAAAAGAAGCCAAATATGCAGTATTAGCTATCCTGAGCTGCTTCTATATTGAAATTGCTATCATTTTTACATTATTTTTGTTTTTATAGACTTCCATCCTTTACAAATTCAAACATTTGTAAGTCTGAGAATTTTATTAACATAGTTTGTTTACTACCGACAGTAAGCTATCAAAAGGCACATATTTACATTAATTTAATATATAAAATTTGATCGATTTATAGAAGCAAAAATATAAAATAAAGGGAATTTAATGTTATGACTAAACCTAAGCACTGCGTAAATCAGCACTGTTTTCATGTTGATAACTATGTATTTTCTGCTATAAATTATTACCTCACGACGTTTTTCTTTTATCATAGTAGCCATGTTTAAAGCAAATCACTCCTAAATTATTATATTTTTAAACTGAAGAATTGGTAACCATTTTTTTATGAAATCTTTGTTTTGCAAATTATGAAAAACAAATAAAAGTCATTTATTACAGTTCATTCATAGAGAAAACAATAACATGTATCATGTTTATTTTTTTAATTTGGTTCTTAATTTATATAGGCCGAGAGAAGACACCCTGTACAGCCAAGTCTATTTTTACAAATTTTGTAATTTTAACTGATAATGTAGAATTAAATTGGTTATTAACTGAAAATGAAAGTGACCAAACCATGGTCAAATAAATTGTTAAGATTTCAAAGATTTCTAAAAAAAGTTCAATTTTGAACGTTTCCATTGGTTGCTCAATTTTTGTCACGGAAGTATGGAGGCGCAACTAAAGACACTGGGAATCCCCGTATTTTGTTGACCCAAAATGTACTTTTTGTGACGTTGGCGGGCTAGCGACGTATGATGTTAGGGGAATTCTAACTATTTATTAGAATAATGTCTGGTTTAAATCATTATTTTATTATAAATATGTAATATTTAAGCTTTTTAAAATTTAATTTATTAGAAATATAGTAACTAAAATGCACACAATATTAATCATATTGTTGGATAATTAATCCAGTTATTTATGAAAACTAAATTACAATGTGGCTATTTTTACTGGGGCCCCATCCAATGATTTTATTATATGCCTCAGATAGTATAGCTACGCCACTGTGCCAAATTATGTTAAACAATTCCTTAGAGCATTGCATACGGTACAAAATAAGGAGAGAACCGAAACATTAAAACTATGACCGAAAGGCGAAACCCTCCATAGATCCAAAGGTTTCGCCGATTCATGAGAAGAGATTTAGCTTTGGCAGTTTTATTTCATTTCACAGAATACTAAATGGTTAATAAGCCATAATTATGACACGTCTTAACATAAAATTTGTCACTTAAATGATTCTTATTATTTTGTGAACATGTACATCATCTGTACATCATCATTTACTAAATTTATTTTGTCACGAAATTTAGCCGCCACGGTTTCCTATTGATGCAGACTGTTCGAGTCTCGCAGTGTTCCCGAGACCGCGGAAGACAGAGTGTCCCGTAGGGTGGGAAGAAGAGTAAAAAATATATGAAGCGCCCTACTAACCATTTCATCTCATCTCCGGTACCACGAACTAGATGTGTCTCTGGCAAAATTGTGAAGCGGATTCTTGAATAACAGAAGATTTTTGAAACTTACATGGCGACCATTTATTGTCCTGTCGTTTTGCGATTGCATTCCATTGTAGTCTTCCATGAGCTTCTCTTTGAGCTAGGACTTTTTATGTTTTTTTTTTTTGCGGGGAAGCGAAGTCATTTGTTTCGTTTTGTTTCATTTTGTTAGATCAAGTTTTTCTAAACCTATACCGTAAACAACCTTGTAAGTGTAACAACGTCCTCTCCTTCGTCTTGAAGACTTTTTTGTATAATACCTACGTAGCATCAGCTCGATTTAGCAAAAGGTTTATGTATGTGGGCTACGCGTCCTTTGCTTGTCCAATTAGACAAATCCAAAGTGGTATATTGGATAATTCATGAAAAAATCTCTTTGAATTGTGGGCAGGTATTTTGGGGGTAACGGTAATAAATAATGTAGCCATTTAAAATTGTTAATTAGGTATTTTTTCCAGGTACAAGCGAGAGCCGAGAGCGGCTTGTATCCCTCCCTTGTGTCACTGCAAATATATTAACTAATATTAAGTGTTTAATCTATGATCACTGCCTTGTGAATTTTATGAACGAAATCTAACGGGAATGCTTACCGCTTTCGTAAACTAGAGGCATTAAATAACCTAGTTAAACAAACTTTAAACCTTTGAAGTTTCCAACCTTTAACTAACCAAGATTACAAGCACCAATGTGGTACCTTTACTTAGCGATGTTTCAATAGATAAAGATGTTTCATCATAATGTTACGCGCTAGGGCTCTGGATAAATAAAACTTTCACTGAAGTTTATATTAAAGCTGTATTTTATTATTTCCACACTTAAGGTAGAGTCCACTATCACAATTCACTTCCCTCGCATCGCAGGCAAAGAGTATATAATCACTACGTTATAATCGCAGGTTTCGCATCTAATATAACCGATTATAAAAGCCTTCATGTCGTCTTCGCTACGCTTGTATAGACGACATGTCCCGTCTGCCAGAACATTTCTGTTAATACCAGTCGTTTCTATATCCGTTTTCGCTGTATGACAATAGATGGCGTTAATCTGGCATAACACTTCTTGAATATTTTTTTACCCACCCATTGTTATTAGCCTCGAGGAGTTATGTTAACTTCACCGGATGAGTCGTCGTGGCCTAACGGATAAGACGTCCGGTGCATTCGTGTTGAGCGATGCACCGGTGTTCGAATATTGCAGGCGGGTACCAATTTTTCTAATGAAATCCGTACTTAACAAATGTTCATGATTGACTTCCACGGTGAAGGAATAACATCCCGTAATAAAAATCAAACCCGCAAAATTATAATTTGCGTAATTACTGGTGATAGGACCTCTTGTGAGTCCGCACGGGTAGGTACCACCACCCTGCCTATTTCTGCCGTGAAGCAGTAATGTTTCAGTTTGAAGGGTGGGGCAGCCGTTGTAACTATGTATACTGAGACCATCTCAAGGTGGGTGGCGCATTTACGGTTGTAGATGTCTATGGGCTCCAGTAACCACCTAACACCAGGTGGGCTGTGAGCTTGTCCACCCATTTAAGCAATAAATAAATAAATAAATAAATGACTTAAATATATAGGGTTATTTTTCATACAGGGTAATACCATACTAATGTAGGACCACCAGTAACTAAAACCTGTGTGCCTGTTCGACATCCTGTGTCCGGATGGTAGAAGTAAGTAGCACCATCTCAGTGTATTCAAAAGTGGCCGCTGAAAGTGAGAAAATTAAGGTGGCGCCACAGTAGCAAGTGGAAAGATGTAAAAATAGCGCCATTAACTACCACACTTCAATTCAGCTTACTTTATTCTGTTTACAACTGAATAATTCATATCATTTCCACTTCCTCTACTAGTGCTATTTCGGTGAGTCCTCCAACAATGACTTGCTGTTTAGAGGTGTTCATTTTTTCAACTTGTCCCCTATTTATGATGTTGCCCCTTACATCCATACCCTCCATAATCCTGTGGTTTCAAATCAAACTACAATAAACTTGAGAAAATTTTATTAAACATTCTTGTTTTGTTGGACTATGTTATTTTTCCCATTAATCGTTTTGAGCGACTATCTATTGTTCGCGATGGTTACGGACAAACTTCGTGCGTTTTTTTTCGCGTTCTAAGGCAGAGGAGCATATAGTCCAAATATCAGGAGCATTGAGAAACACCGATGTACCACTAATTGGCATGTTAAGAATCATTTAATTTTTCATTGTCACCGGCAGAAAGCTTGTCACTAGTGAAGAGTCAATTTGCCTGCCGCGACCATTCATGCGATGCCTTGATCTAGTGAATTATTTCGACATTCATCAAAACTATTTCATGGTAAATAAAATTATCCACACATAATATCCATGAGTACTCTTATAGTAATAACTTATTTACCTATTTTAGGCACTTCTTACTTATTGTAACTAACATTTTTTTTTATAAATATAGGTAATAAATAAGCAAACAGGTTTCCAATTGTTTAACAAACAAATTAAAATGAACTCTTTAGTTACATTTTAAAAATATATATATCAAAATCATTGCACTTAACAGTTCGTATTTTATACAAGCTTTACAGTCCAAAATAAACTTATGTTAAAATTACATTAAACATGACGTTTGTGTACCATATCTCATACATTTAATTTTGTAAACCAGAAATGATTCATTCTGTGAACAAAAAAAAGATATAACGCACGTAGAATTGTGTTACTGTAGGGTTTAGATTTTAGATCTCTCATACGCCTCTTACGATATGAGTCTCATACGACAGACTCATTATAATTTCTTCAATTTTAATTTAAATATTATCATTGGGTATGAGAATTTTCAAATACATTTAGATAAAATAAGTGTAATTAATATTTGAAAACTTGTATCAAAAACATTAACGTTGTGCAATTTAAAAAATATTTCGGATGTACGTAGAAGTGTGCAGTTTAAAACAAGCGAGATTATATGGCAAAAGTACTTTAACTATTTAAAAACTTAATCACTTAACAAATTTACTGGTAGTAGGACCTCTTGTGAGTCCGCGCGGGTAGGTACCACCGCCCTGCCTATTTCTGCCGTGAAGCAGTAATGCGTTTCGGTTTGAAGGGCGGGGCAGCCGTCGTAACTATACTGAGACCTTAGAACTTATATCTCAAGGCGGGTGGCGCATTTACATTGTAGATGTCTATGGGCTCCAGTAACCACTTAACACCAGATGGTCTGTGAGCTCGTCCAACCATCTAAGCAATAAAAAAATAAAAAATAAAAACTTAAAATCATACGTTTTTACAGACACTACGTATATAGAAAACACTCTATTCCTCGAATCTAAATTCTGCTAATCACGATTGCCATAAGTTTATAAGAATTCATGCAAAAAAAAAAATATGTTTTGCGAGCAGTACTCAAAAGATACAATTAAAAAAGCACAAACCCATTGCTTTCACCCATTGTGTCAAGGGTATCGCGATCCGCATTCCGGGTACACCATCAGACCAGTTAAAGCCACCACCATATTATTTATCTCATCCGACATTTGTTTTTATGAACTAAATGAGCAGATAAGTTTACTACCCACTTAATATTAAACGGTCAGTATCAAATAACGACGGCAATTTGAAATTTCACAATTAGATTGTAGAATTTGCAATTAGATTATATGGTCTTCGGTGGACCGTGATTCCAATCTGGTAGTGGATTCTGTGAAGTACTACTCTTAGTAGAGCTAGTGTTAGATTGAGCTCAAATTGAACCCGCGGGCTCACCTACGTCCGCGCGTATCTGGAAATAGCCTCTTAACTATAAGCTAATAGGTAGGAAACAAAAATGTATTGTTAAACCAAAAGGTATGACTATTCCGCGGCAGAAATAAGCATTAAGATGGCAACTACCTGTGGGGCTCAAATTTAATTATTATGTTTCAGTTCGAGCTTCGGTTTCGATAAAAACTGAAAAGGTCTGTCCGGATCCGTCACAATGGCTTAGCTCAACCCTAGCTTCGATTATGAACAACCCTAAATAATGTCGCCAATTATCTCAAACGACATGTCTGACACTTATCGATCGATTTCACATATTTCTAGTTTAAAAATCACAGTAATTTAGCCGTTCAAACAAAATATATTTGTATTACGTCTGCTGCAGTCCTTGCATGTGATTTTGGTAAGGCGTATTCTCATCTTCGAACTGTTGTCCGTTTTCCTGGGTCACAATGAAGATCGGGGATTTAATCTTCCTCGGTACTGGCGAAGTTGAAGCCGTGTAACTCCGTTGCGTGCCACCGGTCTGCATTCTCGCCCTGAACATTATATTGTCTATTTCGTGCATGGCCACGTCTCGTTGATGTTCGTCTAATTTCCGTAGCTTCTTAGCGAGCAGTCGCCCGTAGAGTTCGCATTCGTCTGATTCCCGTTTCTGAGCCGCAACGTTCTTCAAATACGTTACAGCATCGTCCATTTGTTTCTTTGCGTATTTCAATTCGGTATTGTCGAAGTTCTTCGTTTTCGAATTGTTCACTTGACACGTTTGTTTGTTGGATTTCTTGTCGGTCGGGTTCGCGGTCCGCGGCGTGTTCGTTTCGGACAGTAACGTTTGAGTGTTGAATTGATTGTCATTAGTATAGAACTGAAACGATCGGATAATTATTTATTACAGGTGGCAGGACCTCTTGTGAGTCCGCCCGGGTAGGTACCACCACCCTGCCTATTTCTGCCGTGAAGCAGTAATGCTTTTCGGTTTGAAGGGTGGGGCAGCCGTTGTGACTAAGCTTGAGATCTTAGAAGTTATATCTCAAGGTAGGTGGCGCATTTACGTCGTAGATGTCTATGGACTCCAGTAACCACTTAACACCAGGTGGGCTGTGAGCTCGTCCAGCCATCTAAGCAATAAAAAAAAAATAAAAAAAAAATTTGTACAATGTTTCAACTCATACAGACTCGGGCTACTAAGTAGGTAGTAATTTTAACTAAGAAAACATTTTCCTTAAGACGTAGTAAAGGCTCTTTATTCCTTTTTTTTCCTACCTAAGCTGATAGCCTTGAGAGGCTATTTCAGCGTAACCTTAACTAGTAGGTGAGCTTACGGGGCTCAAACCTGACGACGTTGCTAACACGAACCCTGGCAAGAGCCGTGCTTCGCAGAATCTACCACCGGATCGGAAACGCGACCCACTGAGAAGATCCGGCGAGAAACTCAGTGTGATGTGTCTGTGGGTTAATTTACTCGTCGAGCACTTCGTCGCAAGCGACGGGTTCGACGAGAACGATGACCGGTGCTTGAGGTACCTAAAAGCACCGTTAGTGGATCGGGAGGATTCCAAATGACGTGTGTTGGGTGACGTCGACTGCTTACCATTCTGTCCGCAGGATCGGAACTATCTTTATTCCGTAAATATGCTGCGAATACAGAAACCGTGGATACGTTCCCCATACGGGATATACTTTATGTACTTAGTATTAAGTTTGGTTTAATTCTGTCTATTTAGACATAGTTGTAATAAGGTCTATTTTACGTTTTTATTAGTCCATTTGACGACGCGTTTACAAGGGATATTCGATTGGATATCTACATATTGGAATCCTTTTTATGTGTAGGTATGTGTATGGGTCGCATTTTTTAATTCGCGAATAGTGAAAACGCGCACGAAGGAAGCGCGAATCGGGAGCTTTTACTGTACACGAACGACATTTAATTATGTTTATTGTGTAGCTTTGTAAACAAGCTCGGGTTTGGGTTCATAACCATGAATGTTTCTGTCTCGAAGCCAGTGCTCCAGTTTGAAGAATGAATCAATTGCTATGTTATACAATTGATACTTTGACTTCATATTTGAGGGATAAAAGGCTATTTAGTTTAAGCGACATTTTTGCCACTTCACAGGAGAGCCATTTAAAATTTGGAAAAAAATATCACAAAAAAAGAAAACTTCTTTAACTATTTGAATGGTGTAACATATTTGAAGTTTAATTGAATATGCAATTTCGAAAAGGGAACATCTCTGAAAATGTAAAATATTCAGGAAATGAAAAAAACTGATTATTTTCTAAAGCAGTGTAAAATTTAAAATATTAGCTTTTGAGATATATTTTACTGTTAATTAGCAACTGAAAATTACTGGAATTATTATAAAATGGGTGTAGGTAAGCCTCAAAACTACATGTATATAAAAAAACGTATTTGACAAAATATGCGACATGTGCCCTTTTCGAAATTGCATATTCAATTAAAAACGTCGAATTATTGATGCTAATACCAAATAAAACGGTCCTCTAACGGTAAATTTCGCGTATTAAGCGAAATGTCGCTTAAAACAAATTGCCTTTCATCCCTCGATGTGTTGATGTTCATGGTCTCCGGCAACCTTTAACTCCAGGTAGGCCGAGAGCTTTTCCACTTAACAACGCAACTAAATACAATCAAAACTTATAGGGTATTTGCAGCTGACCTACTTGTAATCATTAAAATCGACATGAAAGCTCCATCTTATAATTAATTAAAAGAGAAAAGTGTAAATTGAATACGTAAAAAATAATAATCTAAATTACAAACTTTAACTTGCATATGCTATCGGTTTAATGGGAAATGTATGGGAGATAAAATTAATCGACGGCAAATTTAATTTTGTATTACAAAGTTAAAAAAAAGAGATTCACTCCGCTAATGATCGAATATCTGTTTTTATGTAGAATACATGTACATCATAGGATAATATATATCATAAAGATACACGGTTCGACATCATGTCTTAAAATGTGACGCGTGTGAAGATATTATCTATAAAATATGCAATAATAAAAAAATTAAGTTTTGTAAGCATTTCGCAACATTACGTAGTTTTTCGATTCAAAATAATTCGAAATCGTCGTGGCCTAAAGGTTAAGATGCTCGGTGACATCATATCGAGCGATGCGAGTGTGCCAGTGTTCGAATCCCGCAGGCAGATACAATTTTTTCTAATGAAATAGGTAATTAACAAATGTTTACGATTGACTTCCATGGTAAAGGAATAGCATCGTTTAATAAAAAATCAAACCCACAATAAATATAATTTACGAAATCGCTGGTAATCTTGTAAGCCGACGCGGATGAATACCACCATCCTATCCTGAAGCAGGAATCAAAAGACTAACAACTGACGCGGACGTCTCAACATGGATGCCGTATTTACGTTTTGGATGTCTATGGGCTCCGGTAACCATTTAACACCAAGTGGGCCGCAAGATCGTTCACCTAACATTTGGTTAGCCAAGCTTATAAAGGCATTAAATATATACTCAATTGCGCCACAAGACATTTTAACATTATGTATGTTCATCAAAATTTAATGTTTTACAGTAAACGAAGTGACACACATTGAATAAATAGCAGAAAGAAAATTATATTCGTTATGCCTTGTCGTTTTCGAAAATAAATATCATAATTTGTACATACTTTTGCCAGTGCATATTTTTTACGATAAAATGCCCAATTTAAAAAATATATTATTAAAAGTAAAAAATTGCCAAGGGTTTTAAAGTTTGTGAATAAAATTCAAAGTAACTTAACGGCGAAAGCTTGCAATACAGACAAATAATAGTGTTTGATTGTACAATGTGCAGCAAGATGTATACTAATATGTATACAAAGGCGTATAGGTTTCAATTTGTTCTCTACATAGCAACATTACGTATATGTTTCGACATATTTTCGGAAAAGAACATGGCTTGAGTTTCATGTCGCTTTTTCAGTGGTGAAACTATATTGCGTATCAATGGTTAATCAGAATTTAAAATTACCTGTCAAGGCCTATTCAAATAAAAAACTGTTTGATTTTATACCCAAAATTCCCAATACCAATATTATTGGAACTTGATCCAATGTGAACCGGCACTATTGGGACTAATCCCCAATGGCTTACCTCATGTTCCAATTGGTTGGTGTTGTCACATTCATATTTCCCGCCAAGAAAGCTTTCCATTATCGGATAAGCAAACCAAGTCGTACTGTATCCATCTTGCGATTTTAATTTTCTTTTTAAATGCATTCTAAAGGAAGTCATCAGCGATTCCTTCTTTTTTTTAAGATCGACGACCGAGCAATGAATGCTTAAAGATGATTGTATTCTGAGCCAGGCATTGTTATTTTCGATTCTATTTTTGTGCTGTGGATGTTTTGGATCCCATAGGTGCTGTTCCCTTCGATACAGTTCCAAAAATTCCAGCACTAAATCATTGCTCCACGACATTCTTTGAAATTTGCTAATAAATACAATGATTTTTCTCACTAACCAATCAGACAGCGTAACAAGTCCAATGTTTGTATATGACTATTTGTGTAGGTGTTGGCACTGTTGGCCTCGTTCCACAAATCAATGTTTGGGTTGGTATATTTGGCGACCAACCAAATCGATTTAGTTGGCCGTGCGTACCACTACGCTACGCTCGATTATTCGCTGTCACTGGCCTGCACTTCGGCTCAATTTCTTTTTCATTTGCCAAACATGAAACTCATTGGCTATCATTGTTACATATTGTTACGTGTTTATAAGTTTGTATCTAAGCTTTGTGAAAAGCCTTTCTTTGGAGAGTAATTATATTTCAATCCTTAAATTTAGATTGAAACATAATAAAATCGCCTAACTAATACATATAGCACACCAAATTCAATAGGAAGAAAATTATCCCGTAAACAAAGGCAGAGCAAAACTGGCGCCATCTCTTTCTAAAAAAATCTTTAATTCGAGTGTGTTGAATTCTGATAATCTGATCCATTTAATACGACAAACGTTCAAATCGCATATATGATGAAATTCTAAGCGATTCAAATTTTATTTATCTTTCGTTAGTAAACGAAAAACTTTTGTGGCAATGAAGTTTAATTATTACATCGTTCCAATATTTAACTACCTACTTCTGACTTTAGGTTTTATTCAATGACATTGTCCATTGATAAAATTTTATTGTTTATCGATATTTATTTAAAGTAGAATATGAGATTCATGTGTACATATAACAGTGTTTGTTGTTATCTCACGTATCTTGTTTTGGAACCCATAGGACAAGAGATTTTCATTAAATAATCCCGACCTATTAGATAAAATAGAATTCAGTCAGAGCTCTATTAATGGTTCTACAAGACAAAGACTTATCAGTTAACAAACTATACGATACGAACTGGGCAGCGGCTGGGCTCTGCTCCTGGCATTGCTGAATGGCTTGGCTCCATGGCCGACAGCTAACAAACTATACGATATGAACTGGGCAGCGGCTGGGCTCTGCTCCTGGCATTGCTGAATGGCTTGGCTCCATGGCCGACGGTAACCACTCACTTTCAGATGGGCCATTTTTTATTTATTTATTGCGTAGATGGGTGGACGAGCTCACAGCCCACCTGGTGTTAAGTGGTTACTGGAGCCCATAGACATCCACAACGTAAATGCGCTACCCACCTTGAAATATAAGTTCTAAGGTCTCAGTATAGTTATAGCGGCTGCCCCACCCTTCAAACCGAAACGCATTACTGCTTCACGGCAGAAATAGGCAGGGCGGTGGTACCCACCCACGCGGACTCACAAGAGGTCCTACCACCAGTAATTACGCAAATTATAATTTTGCGGGTTTGATTTTTATTACCCGATGTTATTCCTTCACCGTGGAAGTCAATCGTGAACATTTGTTGAGTCCGTATTTCATTAGAAAAATTGGTACCCGCCTCAGATTCGAACATCGGTGCATCGCTCAACACGAGTGCACCGGACGTCTTATACGTTAGGCCACGACGACTTAGAATGTGTATCCGTTAGGCCATGTGCTCGTCTGCCTACAAGGGCAATAAAAAAAACTTAAACGAACAATGACATGATAGGACTATTTTCACTGTTGCATTTGGGTTACCCTATAAATATTAAAAAATAATCATAATGACTAAATATACTATACTTTATGTACTTGTATCTACTTGTATTTACATACGCAACATTTCATTCAAAGAAGTCATTTGTGGTGCAATTAAACTTGTCTTGTTGTGTACAATAACAAGGACCATCCCAGATATTTTGAAAGCCCTTCACTATTATCTAAATTGTTAAAAATACTGTGGTCAATAATTTACATAATTATGTAAAAGGCAGCAACTAGTTGTAAAAAAATATTTTTGAAATCGACTAATTTCTAAACCAGCAATAAAAGAATAAATTTATGTTAGTCTATTAAAATTATCGTGATGTTGTTTCACAGCATTAATGTGTTGTGTTTGGATTTTGTCTGTGTGTGAGACAGTGCATTATAACATCATTTCGTTTTATTTCGTCAGTGAACAAAGTCCAGTATCTGAAATTACTCATCAACTACTATTTAAATAAATAAGCAAATCACATCACATATATCAGTAGTGACAATATACGTTTCTTGTTAAATTCAAAAGTTAAGATTTTAATAGTTTTTTTTGAGGACGTAAACCGGGTCTCGGAAGTAAGTCGCAAATTATAATCTAATTATAATAAAATATCAAATCTACCTTCGGTGTAAAATTATGCATTTCCACTTTTTAATTCTTTCAAAATATTACTTCCGTAAAAACGTAACTGTACCGGCTTAACTATTACCGTCGAAGTAGGTAGGTCCGGTCCGCCTTTGATTTTACTTTTTGTACAACCAGGTATGTACAGTGCCTGCAGAGAAATTTCTAGATTGACCCTATGTAAACAATTTTGAAATACCCTCTTTTATATTTTATTAAAAACTAAAAATAATGTGTACTGTAAAACTACAATTAAAAACAGAAATTGTGAAAACATAATTATGATGAAAATTGTAAAATATAAATATGCTTCTCTTTTTTTTTAGTTTCAGAACAGAATGTCTGGTTCTATTCGTCTTCATTATCAGAGCGAAGCATTTGCTTCAATTAGAATTAAAAATTTTACTTTATATTTTAAACCTCTAAAATATTCCTACCTACACATTTGTATATTTGAACATAACTGTACTAGGAAGTTAAAAAAGAAAATAAAATATTTGACAATTTAGTAAAATTGTTACCTTTTACAGCATTTCATTCTAACAATAACGATAAACACGATCAGCAATTATAAATTAGATTTTTTTTGTTTCACTAAGATGGCGACAGAAGTAAGCTCAGCTCCCACAACATTGCCACAGCTCCAATCTGTGCAGAAGGCAATGGCTATCCCTACCGTTGAAGCTGCTGTTGGGCAGGTCGGAGCAATTTATTCAAAAGTCAAAGGTTTGTCAAACTCTGTTTAAGAAAAACAAGAGAGCTTCTTTGCATCAATTAGACCCATTGCTGCATGTCAAAGTATCTGTCAATAGAAAAACGAAAGTACCTAGTTAGGTAGAAAAAAGAAATTCTTGATAAAAATATTTATGAAGTCCATAAAAGTCAATGTTTAAAATAATTTGTTGTATTAAATTATACTTATAGCATCATTAATAAATTATAATAATAACATTTTGATGAGATTACAAATTAGTATTTATTTAAAAGTAAAATATTTGGTTATTTAAAATTTTTGTTTTATGCAGCACTCCTTCCTGTCTCTCGTCTCTACTCATGATTGTGTCTGAATACCAGTTACATAAAGTATATAATATATATTTTACACAAGCTTTAGTTTTATCTGGTACCTATTTGAAACATTTTATTTTAGAAAAATTTCAACTACCCTCCATCTCGATATTAACATCAGAAGGCAATTACTCGAAACTTTGTATTATAAGAAAACATAATAATAGACATTGTAAAAATACTTCAATTATTTACGACAATTGATAACTAATCAATAATAAAGAACAAAATGAAATGTTCAGAAGAATTCAGTTCCTTTAGATTTTTCCATTATTAAAAAACAGATACAAGAGTGTTTGTAAAGTGTAATAAAATAAATCATTGTAGTTTTTTTTATCTGAAGGAGCATTAATTAAACAATATGGCAACCTGCATATGAAATATAAGTCAAGGGATCTTTGTAATGAATAATATGATGGGGTCTAGTTGCATCATGTTTTGTTTTCATTCATTAGATTGTCAGCTTAAAAGCGGGTAAAAATTTTAACCTTGAATATGTGTGGTCACATTTGCAACATTCACATCAAAAATCTAGGTATTGAACAACCTGATCTCCTTTAAACTACTTGTTCTTCTGTCTGCCTATGTAAGCTAACAAGAAACTTAAGAATGTAATTAATCCTAGGTGCCCACTCACTTCTCGAATGGGCTCTATCGACCGCTGAAGCTGGAGTAGTTCTTGCTGCAACCACTGCCGCGCCGTATGTGTCAGCTCCTCTCGCTGTCGGCGACGCCAAGGTTGCTGCAGCCATTGATCATCTCGAACGCAGAGTGCCACTTGTCACCGAACAACCTAAAGTCATAGTGGAGACTACCAAACAAGCTGTGCTATCGAAAATCTCCCCTCACGTGAACAAGGTAAGTTATTTTATTCCAGGGCGAGGCCTATTTTTGAAGAGCTTACAGGTTCGTAGGACTTTGAATTAATTTTTTAATTGACGATCTGTTGTCAGTTACTTCGTTCGCTATTACAGACTGAAAAATATTTCATTGGCAATATTAGAAGTGTCTAAAGCAACAAGATATATAAACGTTTTTAATTTAAAACATTTAAAATTTATATATCATGTTTTAAACCAAAGAATGAATTGGGAATTTTATGAGACTATAGATTATTATTTTTAAGGAAAATTCATACATAGATTTCATTTAATCCAACAAAATGTTATTAAATTATTCATGCAATCATTATACATATTTTACATTTCATTATATTTGTTTTTTCATTAAATTTAGGCAGTGACTTGTCTGTGCTCCTGTCATTGCCGATGTCTACATGCTCGTGGATTGTGCATATTTACAAGGGAAAAAAAAAAAAAGCTAATTTGGCTGTATGATTAACATATTACCAACATTGCATTCACAATCTGGTGTAGAAAAAATTGTTGTATTTTCAGTTATAATGCCCTATTATGAAATATGTTGTAAAAATTTGTCGGTGACTGATCAGCTATTTTTCGGGTAGATACCATTGTTATGCTTATTTCTGCCGCCAATCTATCACCTGTTCTACTGTGAAAACTGGTACAGGCGATATAAAATACAATCGCCCATGTCTTCTTCATGTCTTCAACTTTGGTGGCCGTATTCACCTTGTGATTTCTATATGCTGTGGTGACCACTGCACGCCAATTCGGCCGTGGCCTCTTTCACCGATCTAAGCAATACAAAATCAGTAATTACCAAAACCAACATACAATTCGAACATCCATGGAGCTCATACCAGCCAAGACCGTATCGTGAACATCTTTTATATTATATGTAACAATTACTAGTTAGGAATCGCCTCTGTAACAATATAGAATTCTCCTCCAATCGTGCTCCTCACGTCTTCCATCCATAATTTTCGGCCTCACGATTTTGTGCCTTAATAGAGAATAAAAAGAATCACTTTCAATATAACTATGTTTGTAATGTAGTCTAAAGGTTAAGACGTCCGGTGCATTCGTATCTAGCGATGCAACGGTATTAATACAATATGTACTTAACAAATGTTCACGATTGACTTCCACAGTGAAGGAATAACATTGTGTAATAAAAACCCGCAAAGTTATAATTTGCGTAATTACTGGTGGTAGGACCTTTTGTGAGTCCGCACGGATAGGTACCACCACCCTGCCTATTTCTGCCGTGAAGCAGTAATGCGTTTCGGTTTAAAGGGTGGGGCAGCCGTTGTAACCATACTGAAACCTTAGAACTTATATCTCAAGGTGGGTGGCACATTTACGTTGTAGATGTCTATGGGCTCCATTAACCACTTAACACCAGGTGGCCAGGTGTGAGCTCGTCCACCCAACTAAGCAATAAAAAAGTGCATTACTGGGTTCAGAAAAAGCAATTTCTTATCAGCTCCTCGGTGGCGAAGCTGCCTGTCCATTGAGTGCTGAAGTCTTAAATTGCAAGAGCCTATTGAAAAAAAAAACTGCATTTTAGTTTTCATTTAGTTTAGTTTTCGCATTTTAGACTTATTTCGTATTCAATTAAGGGTTATTCGATAATGATGGTTCGAACTACACACGCGGTGACCGTGTGATCATTGGAAACCGGATTCTCTCGTTATCTGGTGTCACATGTTCCGTAGGGTATCCGTGAATAAATAAACATTCAGTTCATAAATACATTCCTTGTGAATCAACTTTAGGTAATTGAACAGATCCGGTCCTATTATGTGTTATGCCGGATTATGTCTATATATCTCGGTTATGCACTTTTATCTTAACATTGATTTATGTATTATTTATTTATCTTTGGATAACTGTTTTAACTTCTCTAAAATAACCTCGACCTAGATAGAATTGCTGGTTTTTTCAAATTTGAAGCGAGTTTTCGTGTTAAATTTTAATTTTAAGTTGTCCCTATAAATGATTTCTTTAGATTATCAATTCTTAAGTTTGCCTTTATTATTTTAGACGCCCTGGTTGTTGACACACTCACTTCGATGTTACATCTTCAATCAGTGTGCTTAGTGCGAGTTTCTTAATTTTTCGATCACGTAAAAGTTAACAAAATTTGTATACAGTTGGAATAGCGCCCCTACGGAAGCTGTTCCAAAAGTTGCACTAAGCACAGAGGTACATAAAGCACATATCCTTAACACAAGCTTTAGTTGTATCTGGAAATTATGAAAAAAATTATTTTATAAAAAAATCATCTACCCACCCATCTTGATATTAATATCGTTTTATTTGATTAAATTACTATCATGTAATAATGCCAACAGGCGTTATCGTCGGTACTTTTTCTCTTATATCTGGGTTCAATTTGTTGGACTGGTTAATTATTGTACCCCGGGACTTGGTTTGATTGTTAAAGATATTTAGGATTCCCGGTGTACTACCTAATTATTTTCGCTGCGCATGCGTAAGTTTTTAGCATAAGACACAGTAATAGGTTGACGCCAGGGCTGTGGGAAGTGTATTATTATCATTTACCTACTGAAATAAACCATTATTGGTTACTACGAAATAATTTGCAAAATGCCGCTAAACAATTTAAATAGAATGAATGATACGCCACTAGTCGCAAAATTTTAAAACGCATGTTCAATTTACGAAGAGCTTTAAGGATAAGTAGAAAATGTTTTTCTACTCATCATCACCCCACGCGGTGCATTGCAGCATATAGCATTGCTACAAGAGAGAAAGAGATAGCATAATGTCACCAACCTGTCCGGGGTGAATGAATTAATAATGATACTAATGAAAGCCCTTCGACCAATTCAATAATAACTTTCTAAGTTCACAAGTTAGCGCGTCAAACATAAAAGTATATTTCGAATGTTACTTTACGTAATAAAGTCATTTAATTTTATGAATTTAAATTAATAGCGTTTCCTCTTGTGATATATAATAAAACGGAAAAAATATACCGTTTACATAACCGTATATCGCGTAATACATAATTGAAATAAGTACATAATAGCCACGGAAAAAGATAAGTGAAAGTTTGTACTAGATTGGTCTCAATGTGTGTCTATGTAACGATGTGTAGATAAAGACATAAGTGGAATAACGCTTTTGTGTAACTCAATGATATCACGCGTTATGTCGCAGGTTGAAGGTTAAGGCGCGTAAAATATTTTTCTAATATTCTGTCTGATACTGCGCGCGCAACGGGAACAATAATATTCGGTATTTTGCATTCCATTTGCCTGCGCAGTTTTGAATAATAAAAACCTAACTATAATTAGGTTCGCATTTTTTCCCCTACCTAATCATTCGTAGCCTAAGGGGTTATTCCAAATACGCGCGTTCCGGTAGGTGAGCTCACGGGCTCAACCTGAGAGAATTGCTAACACTATATTATCACGTGTTATGTCGCAGGTTGAAGGTTAAGGCGCGTAAAGTATTTTTCTAATATTCTGTCTGACACTGCGCGCGCAACGGAAACAATAATACTCTGTATTTTTATTCCATTTGCCTGCGCAGTTTTGAATAATAAAAACCTAACTATAATTGAATATGCAATTTCGAAAAGGGCACATGTCGCATATTTTGTCAAATACGTTTTTTCATATACATGTAGTTTTGAGGCTTACCTACACCCATTTTATAATAATTCCAGTAATTTTCAATTGCTAATTAACACTAAAATATATCGCAAAAGTTAATATTTTAAATTTCACACTGCTTTAGAAAATAATAAGTTTTTTTTCATTTCCTTAACATTTTACATTTTCAGAGATGTGCCCTTTTCGAAATTGCATATTCAATTAGGTTTCGCATTTTTTTCCCTACCTAATCGTTGATAGCCTAAGGGGCTATTCTAACGGTGGGATGGATGTAATGTGCTCTGCGTCAACCCTGTCCCGCCGTTTCAATAGCCCCGACTGGGCTCCGGCCCGGTCCGAGGTAGGGCGCCGGTTGTGAGCGGCAGGAGTTTTTAGTGAGGTTCAACTCCCACATACCCCACCTGCCGCGCGGGTGGGGATCCGGCGATTTTCTCCTGTGGAAAAAAAAAGGGGCTATTCTAAATACGCGTAGCCTAAGGGGTTATTCTAAATACGCGCGTTCCGGTGGGTGAGCTCACGGGCTCAACCTGAGAGAATTGCTAACACTAGCTAGCCCTATCAAGAGCAGTGCTTCGCTGAATCTACTACCGGATCGGAATAGTGACTCACTGAAAAGATCCGGCTAGAAAATCATTGGGTACGACGCACGTTGTACACATGTTTTCATAACGATACGTTTTAATCAGACATGATGAAATATTCGTATTTAAGGGCCACGCAATTGAAAAGTAGCTTAGCGCCGAAATTACGATAAGGACGACTTAGGAGACGATAAGGAGACTTATCAAATTTAGTAATTTTATTCGTCGTGAAAATGTTTAACTGATAAGAAAAATCCTTGGCACGATAAGTAGTGTCTTTGAACGCTGAGCCGGATCGTTGTGTTTTTTCACGCGTTTCATTAAATATGAAGCATGACTTAGTGCAATGACCCCTGTATAAAGTTAATGCAATTAATTTTACCGTAGATTTTTTTTCTTTTTTTATTGCCTTTGTAGGCAGACGAGCATACGGCCCACCTGATGGTGAGTGGTTACCGTCGCCCATGGACTTCAGCAATGCCAAGGGCAGAGCCAAGCCGCTGCCTACCGCTAAAAACCGCTATTTTATTTATTGTGTACCAACATGCTTTAAATTAGCACAAAAGATTTCAAGTAGCATAATATAATAATATGTACATTGATCTGACAATAAATGCTAACACAATTACAGGTACCTTCAGCATGCCATGGTAAAACAAATGGTACATTGTATGGTTCTAGAAAAAAAAAATATAATAAGATAATTTAACATTATTACACCGTACTACATTTAGAATATGTATATAATAGTGACACCCTCATTTAATCTCTTGATTGTCGTAAAATACGAATAAGTTTTTTTTAAGGAAACGCATATTTCTTTTGATTGAGTGAATGTTAATAAATAATAATAATAATAAATATAAAAATAAATATTTACTAACAATCACGCCACGTTAACTGGTCCCGTGATAAGTTCGGAACTTGTGTTACAGGTACCAGATAACGGAAATAAATGTAAGATTTTTATTAAACACATACATATATTTAATATACAACCATAACCCTGGAAAATACATTTATATTTATCATATTAATATCTTCCCTTGGCGGGATTCGAACCCGCGACCCCCTTGTGTAGTGACCATGTCACTTACCACTACACCAGACGGCCGTTAAATGTTATATGTTATATGTGCGATTGGAATTTCAACATCATGCCTGATGGTCATGGTCTCCACCATGCGTCATACATAGTGGAGACAAAAGAGAAGACTCCAGAAACTATGTCCGGTATATATACATTGTGTTGTCTTATTGCTCGCAGAGGCTTAACACGATGAACTCAAACCGTAATTTAAACTTAAACGTTAATTAAACTTTTTTTTTATTATAATTATGTTTTAAATTACTTAAATATAGCTACGTTGAATTGTTATCGTAATTTCAGAATGTGCTGGAAACGTTGATAGTGCGTATAATTTTTTTATTATTATCATCGAATTCAACCTGCTCTGTCTGATGAGATATATTCTGTTATATTTTTCGAAATGCTATATTTTATCGAAATGCAAATAATTTTGCAAATTTACTTAATATTCTAAAAAGGGTCTTCGAAAATATAAACGGAATAATATATTACTTTCACGGGTGAGAGAAGGGGAGATAGTCTAGGACAGCGGCTCTCAACCGCGGCTATACGAAAAGCAATGATAAGCAAATAATTTATTTAGTATTCTAAAATTGGGCTTCTAAAATATAAATGGATTATATTACTGTCACGGATGAGAGACGGATAAGATAGTCTAGGACAGTGACTCAACCGAGGTTATACGACACATATTTTTTTTTTTTTGTGTTTCTTGGATCGGGAACAAGCAATGATAAGCAAATAATATACTTAGTATTCTAAAATTGGTCTTCTAAAATATAAATGGATTATATTACTGTACTGGACGAGAGACGGGTAGATAGTCTAGGACAGTGGCTCTCAACCGCGTTTATACAACACATTTAATTTTAATTTTTTTTTGTGTTATTTCGATCGCGAACAAGCAATGGTATGCAAATAATTTGCTTAGTATTCTACAATGGATTCTGAAAATAATTATATTACTGTTACGAACGAGAGACTGGTAGATAGTCTAGGACAGTGGCTCTCAACCGCGGTTATACGACACAATGGCGTGTCGCAAGATTTTTACAAACATTATTTTTATCTAAGATGACCCGGGGCAGTTGCGTCTACACCCGAACATTGGTTCGTTCGAAGCAGCGGTAGTTGAATATGGTAATCTGTGTAGCTGTCTACATGATTTGAAGAAATATTCTCAAAATAATTGACAAGGTCCGCCCCGCCTATTTCTGCCGTGAAGCAGTAATGCGTTTCGGCTTAAAGGGTGAGGCAGCCGTTGTACTGACACCTTAGAACTAATATCTCAAGGTGGGTGGCGCATTTACGTTGTAAATGTCTCTGGGCTCCAGTAACCACTTAACACCAGGTGGGCTGTGAGCTCGTCCATCCATCTAAGCAATAAAAAACTGCAGGTTGGATCAGTTCATAAAATAGAAGAATAATTTGTTTGTTTATATCGAGCAGGTGTACGGAGCCCGCGCGGTCGCCGAGCAACGGGTCAAGTCTCTGAAGGAGCTCTCGTGGGCCAAAGCTAACGCGCTGCTCTCCACCGCCTACGGGCAGAAGGCTATGCACGGGGTGGACTACGGAGCTACCTATGCTATGCAGCTTTTGGACCACTATCTACCGCCGGTTGGCGCTCAGGAGGAACCAGGATGTAAGCCCCTATAGCTGATTTCAATACATTTAGCAGTTTTTTTGGCAATACTTCTTCGAAACTTTAAAGCGAACCTCTCATATTTGTCCAGCCCAGTCCAGTCCAATCGGCCCAGCTAATGTTAAGGCTTCTATTGTTGCATTAATGAGAAGGTCGTATATATCCTATAAATCGGATAGCAAGACCATTGCGACCAACATATCTGCGTGCAATATACAAACTCATAGTTTCTCGCCGGATCTTCTCAGTGGGTCGCGAGTCCGATCCCGCGGTAAATTCAACGAAGCATCGCTCTTGCTAGGAGTGGTGTTAGGAAAGACACACGGGCTGAACCCTACGACCTCACCCACCAGTTAAGGTGAAACCAGAATAGCCCATCTAGGTGGCTGGCTGATAGATGGGCTAAAATATACAAACAATATTTACTTCTTTTTTTCCCTACCTATGCTGATAGCCTTGAGAGGCTATTTCAGCTTCGCCTTGACGTGTAGGTGAGCTCACGAGGCTCAAACCGGAGTGTTGCTAACACTGGCCCTAGCAAGAGCAGTGCTTTGCGGATCGGAATCGCGACCCACTGAGAAGATCCGGCGAGAAACTGGGCCGTGCCTGTGGGTTAATTTACTCGTCGAGCCCTTCGTCGTAAGCGAGGGGTTCGGCGAGGACGATGACCGGAATATATACTGTGTTGCGCACAAGCGCAGCGTTGGGTGTCACCCTGCCCATTGGACCAATGACTTACGGTGATATACTGGAGAATATTGGATGCGGAAGGCGGAGGATCGTTCATTGTGGCGGACTATGGGAGAGGCTTACATCCAGCAATAGGGAGATACAGACTGATGATGATTTACTGTGTAACTTTAATGATATTACACTCTTAGATCGGACTTTCCTATTTCTGCCGTGAAGCAGTAATGCGTTTTGGTTTAAAGGGTGGGGTAGCGGTTGTAACCATACTGAGACCTTAGAAATTATATCTTAAGGTGGATGGCGCATTTACGTTGTAGATGTCTATGGGCACCAGCAACCACTCATATCAGTCCATCCTATAATTACGGCCTGAAGTTGATATCACTTAATTCATTCTGCCTGTTTCGCAGCGGCGGATCATGGAGGTTCATGTATGTCTAAGGACTTAAATGTATTGACTTGATATTTAGGCACAGGAATAAAGAATGCTCTATTATTGGTTCGTCTAGCCGAAATAACACCAGCCAGCAACGACCCCGCTCTCCACACTGTGCAGACCGTGGGAAGGCTCAGCTCGGTGGCGGCGCGCCGAGTCTGGGCCAACCTCGCCTACAAGATCAACGAACTCAGAAACTCGGGTTTGTATCGTCCAGCAACTTCGTCGTTTCGTTATTCAGATTCTAGTACCCACTCTGATTTTAGGATAGAATAAAATTTTGCTAAACGATAATTTGCTTTTCGAAATGCTTTCATTATTAGCCTAGGTATGTTAACGTATTTTTTTATTTATTGTTCAGGTGGATGGACGAGCTCACGGCCCACCCGATGTTAAGTGGTTACCAGAGTTCATAGACATGTACAAATGCAGCCAACTACATTGAGATATGAGTTTTAAGACCTCAGTTTTAACAGTATAACCAAGGCCATGAAACAGTGATACTTTAAGACGAATATTATTTCTGTATAGAAACTAGCGACATCTTGTAGCGGGGATGCCCCTAAACTTATATGTTGTTAAAGTTAAGGCATTTAATTATTTTATAGCTAAACACACAAAATAACTGAATTAATAAATCATACAAGTCTTTATTTGTTATAGACAAATTGATTAAATTTTATCAATTTGTGATTTCTGAAAATTTACATTCCTTCATTAAAAATAAAATATAAGATAGGTAATATGTTGCTGTCATCTACAGGAGCAATCAGAAACTAATCGAAGCGAAGCCATCTAGTGGCCGACGCTCGTAAACATTTTTGTTGAGTGCTTGAGTTGCTTATCGATAGCTAATTTATGTGTATTATCCATGAGTACAACGGCTGCTCCACCCTTCAAACCGAAACGCAAAAATTGCTTCACGGCAGAAATAGGCACCTACCTACCTAGAAGGATAGAAAGAGGTTAGGTGGTACCTACCCGTCCACCCACAATACGTCCTACCACCAGTAATATATGTGGGAATATTTAGGTGTAACCATTGGCCACACCGACCTGACAGATGACAGATGGTGCATGAAGTATAAGTGACAGATTGATTAAGACGAAATAAGAAAAGACGTATATTTTTGTGAACTGATGATTAAATAAAATTTAACAAATTCGCTAATTTCATTGTGCACCGCGATCCCACAAAACTTTGGGGGCTTCGTCCGGGATCGAAATAGACATCAAGATCGATGATCAGTGTACAAAAGTTGCGAACAAAGACTACGCACACGGGAAAAAGTGAGGGTATTTTCACATTTCAAATTTCACGTGAAGACGTTTACAAAGAATTCTATTGATAGTAAAATGCCTCGGAAGGGTGCTAAAGAAGACGAAGAATGCTTTGCTGAACCTGCTCCACAAATTTCCTTCTGCGAATTAGAAAAATCTATGACTGCATTNGAGCAGGACGGCCGTGTGGGAATATTTAGGTGTAACCATTGGCCACACCGACCTGACAGATGACAGATGGTGCATGAAGTATAAGTGACAGATTGATTAAGACGAAATAAGAAAAGACGTATATTTTTGTGAACTGATGATTAAATAAAATTTAACAAATTCGCTAATTTCATTGTGCACCGCGATCCCACATATATGTATGTTGACGTTATCATGTTAACGTATGTATGTTGAACGACATTGTCACTGACTTTGAGACGTCCAATTAACTTGATAATTTGCACACGCAATAAGGATCGATTAGATTAGGCAATAATTTTATTACTTCGCTATAATATTTTCGATAGGCAACGGCTTGGCTCTGCCCCTGGCATTGCTGAAGTCCATGGGCGACGGTAACCACTCACCATCTGGTGGGGCCGTATACCCATCTGACTTCCAGGGCAATAAAATATATATTACCTGAACAGTATGACAACGAAAAAATTTTATTTTTACTTGAATTTGGGTTCGCTATTCAATCTACATACCGACGCTTGAAAGGCAAACATGACTAAGCGACAATGCGTGAACTTTACAGTAGACTAAAGTTGAAATACCTGGAAAAAAAAATATTTTAACGTATCTAGCTGTAGGATTGAAATGATTTTAATAGACCTAGAAATATAATTTTTTTGCGCATCGAATATGGTTATTGTCTATCATTTATGTACAAAGCAGTTATTGTCGCTTAGTCACGTTTGCCTTTCAAGCGTCGATTTACGGCGATGGTTAATTAAACGAGCGCCCAAATTTGCTCGCGAGATTTACGTTTAAGCTGTTATTCCCGAATCGCATAAACTATACCGCCTATTTCTGCCGGGAAGCAGTAATGCGTTTCGGTTTGAAGGGTGGGGCAGCCGATGTAACTATACTGAGACCTTAGAACTTATATCTCAAGGTGGGTGGCGCATTTACGTTGTAGGTGTTTATGGGCTCCAGTAACCACTTAACACCAGGTGGGCTGTGAGCTCAGCCAACCATCTAAGCAATAAAAATAAAAGAAACTAATGCTTAAAAAAAAAAACAGGTTTCACTAAATTTCGTAATGTGCATTGTTAAACAGGTATAGAGCTGGACGTTCGTCGATACGTAACCGCGTTACTGGCGGCCCTGCATCTCGCCAACGTCACCAGCCTCCAGCAGCAGCAGCAGGCCGACCGGGAGGACCGAGGGGCGCAGAGGAAGGCGGAACACTCCCGCCCCTCCCCCGAGCACAACAGCCCCCAGCACTCGGCGTCGACCACCTCCAACGAGGTCAAAACGACCCCGGAGTCGAAATCCGTGGATCCTTCTAATTAATAATCTAACACATTATATCGTCTTCTCGCATTAAAACTGTACAATCTCAAAACTTAGTAATTTTACAGGAGGGTGTTTCAAAGGTTTAAAACATGTGATATTTTTAATATTAATCATCTTTGCAACATTTATTTTTTATTTTGTGTTACATTTTCTGTCTTTTAAAGTAAGATAAAATTATGTATTAATTTTCTTATTAGTAGTCAAAACATTGGTAAACTAAAAAAAACTAAAAACTAAAACTGAACTTCGCTCTTTTGACAATATTTATTAGAAAAATACTGGTGATACCAAATGATTCGGCGTATTAACTCAATTTCGAATATTTTTGGAAATTTTACAATTTTAATGCGAAAAGACGGATATGTTTTGTATTAAGTGTCTCGCCACAATGAAGGTATACCTAGTTGTACCAGCATTGTTTTGGCTCTAGCTTGTAAGTTTCTTATCAAAAGACTGTCTTATTGAGTCTTATAAATAATGTCTTTTTTTTTAAATTTAATATATGGCTTTTACTATACGATATTATAATGGATATTTTTGTACGAATTTTCTAATTCAAGTATATTAAAAATTTCTTACAAATGAAACTAGTTTTTTTTATTTATTTTTTATTTTAAATATTCTTTTTTATTTAAATCGCCTTACACATTACATACATTTGGAGAATAATATTGTTTAGGCCATTCGTTTGTCGGGTGCGAAAATTCCGATATTTCAGATATGATAAATACGATATGGATAGATAATTTTGTAATACAAGATAATACTGTGTGCATGTTTGATTTACGTATGTGGTACTCATGTCTTTAAAAAAATAGTTTTAAAAATACCTGTTAGTGTTTCTATCTGAATACCATTAAATGATTAAACCATCAATGCAATAACAGGCACGAACTTCTAACATATAACTGACCGGCATAGAAGACTCTCAAGGGTAATTTTTTTTAAGGGATTTTATGACCGGGTAACCAAGACCCTTCGGTCAAGCATTATTTTAATTGTAATGAAAACTTTTTTATATGTAAAAGATATTATGAAATGAAATGAGATAGTATGGGATGAAATATAACCTCAGGTGGTCATTTACTGAGACTTTTTCAGTTGGCTTTTTGGAGGATCCCGAAAAGTTATGTTCAACGGTTTTGTTTTCCCACATTTAAACCTGAAGAAACACTAAATAGACAAAATAAAACAAATCACACAACTTCACTCTTTGCGTTCCCGCCAAAAAGTCTCTCAAGTTTGAGAACACGCAAAATGTTGCGATAAAATATAAAAAAAAATCTTTAAAACGAAAAGTTTCTTTGCAGGCAATGTACGATGAACGCGGACAAGTTTCCAACTATCTTCGCTATATACATTTCTTGCTCACTTGTTCAGCTTACTATACATTACTTTAGGTTCTCTAAGGCAATCGTTTGTCGTAGTACCTACGCTACATTAATAAAAAACTGCTTAATCATGAATATGACTCAGAAATCGGAAATATGTAAATTACATGTTGATAACAGTTATTACTGCAACGTACACTTGTCAATATATCCACGGGCAACGGTAGCTATTCAGTTACTAAAAGATATGTGAACTCTTTTGTTCTCCTATGAGATTAAAATTAATAAAATATTGCCGGTTTGTGGAGGAACCTATGGATCGCCTAAGAGTATATCCGTAACTAATTATAAACTTAAATTATTAAATATCAATACTGGTTCTACGGTACGCATTTACGTTGTAGATGTCACGCTATGTAGATAGCGTAAAGAAAATAACCTAGATATCGGCTTAGAACAAAATCTATCAATGTTTTCTGTAAAATATCTCAGATGCAAAATCTCTTTATTTCAAGCAAAAGCGACAAGAGTATGCTTTATGTGTGTACTGATGTTTTTCAAAATCGTCTTTTGATTTACATAATCGATAAGTTCGAAATATTTTATACATAAACAGCTTAGCGGAAATAAAGCTTTAAAAACGCAACCTTCAAATTTCCCTCCAAAACGTTTAAACTGTCACGTAATGATAATGAACGCCTCAATTTGATTTTTAACATAACTGTCCCATCATTCTAAGCATCGAACAAAAACGTAACATAAAAAGAGGGTAGGTACCACCACCCTGCCTACTTCTGCCGTGAAGCAATAATGCGTTTCGGCTTGAAGGGCGGGGCCGCCGTGGTAACCGTGAGACCTTACAATTTATATCTCAAGGTGGGTGGCGCATTTACGTTGTAGATGTCTATGGGCTCCAGTAACCACTTAACACCAGGTGTGCTATGAGCTAGTCCACCCATCGAAACAAAAAAAAATACCTTACTGGTGGCGATTTACGTTGTAGTAGTCTATGGGCTCCAGTAACCACTGAACACCAGGTGGGCTGTGAGCTTGTCCACCCATGTAAGTAATAAAAAAAAAACAAAAAAGAAAAAAGAAATATGCGAATCACGTACCTAACTTATGACTAAAGTTGGCATTCGATAATTCACGTCACATTTGCGACAGTCGATCTCCTTTGACCAAGTGAACCAAAATTAAAACTACTTTTACGTTTTATCTTCGTGTTTTTATTGTCATCATATCACCATAGATATCACTTAATATTTAACACGTTGAACGCCATGTGTCCACAACTTAAGTACTTTCCCCGATATATAATGTCTAAAAATCGTTAAGTGTTTTGTTGGAAATATTGTTAATAACACAGAAATAATGTGCGACTTACCATAACAGTGCCTACTCATTACCTATTTTCCGAGAAATCTCAAATAACGGACACATGGCTCGGCCCACTACGCTAAACATGGTTTCTAGTCTAGCGTTCAATGTGTTTCCATCAGTCATAAGTCAGATAATATGTATTATTTATTTTTTTGACATCAAATGTCGACAACACTAGAGCACACGTCATTACAGATCCTTCCGATCCATTAACGGTGCTTTTAGGTACCACAAGCACCGGTCACCGTCCTCGTCGAGCCCGTCGATTGCGACGAAGGGTAAATTGACCCATAGACACGGCCCGCTGAGTTTCTCGCCGGATCTTCTCAGTGGGTCGCATTTCTGATCCGGTAGTAGATTCTGCGAAACACTGCTCTTGCTAGGGCCAGTGTTAGCAACACTCCCGGTTTGAGCCCCTTGAGCTCACCTACACGTCAAGGAGAAGCTGAAATAGCCTCTCAAGGCTATCAGCATAGGTAGGGGGAAAAAGACAACACTTGTTTAGTCGTCGGTGTTTGTACAAAAAATGAAAAGTACTCAAAACGTTTGAAGTAATTTAATGAAAATAAATAGACTATAAAAGTAGTTTTATCGACTCGCAATTTGCCTATGGACTTCGCCAATGCTAGTACCAACACGTGACTGACCTCTAGCCTAAAATACACTATAAAGACGTAACCAGTGCTGTACATAAGGTTTGGCTTTGGATTGGAGTTCTGTGCGTAAATAGCTTTGGTTTGTATACGAGTATGAGTCGTTATCTTAAACGAAAATTAATTTTCTATGTAAATACTTGTATTTATTTGGTTCCAAACAATGACATTGTGGGAGAATTGTTTTATGTAATATTACTCTTTTATTTCTTTAATGTATTAGAATGTACTGCTTTAGCCGAATCTTCATGTATTATTATTCCATGCTTTCTTATATGAAATGTAAATTGTAGCACGATTTATCTGGGATATAGGGAGAAAGCTAGATTGAAATAATGTCCCAGTCACTTATAAGATTTTAGTGACCCTTTTTTTCGAGGACTTTTGAAAGAACGCGAGAAGTCACGTCACTTTATTTCGTTTTCCTCTCAGTTCTTCAATTTCGCAGATTCTAAACGATTTCTAACATTATTCCGCATTTAGAACTGAAGAAAAATAAAACACACGCACACAATCCGTCTGCTCGCGTTCCCGTGAAAATGTCGATAGTTCTTTTTGTTTTTGTTTGGCACCCATGCAATAATATCCTTTCTGTTTTTAACATTTTTAATGTGAAAGTATGTTTTTAAGTCTTCTATACATTACTAAAACATATTATTTTATTGCTCACATACTGTGACAGCCCTAAACTATAACATGCATACTATTTTCTACAAGAAATTAGGTCCATTATTTAAGCATTGAATTTTACGTACTTTAAAAAACAACACACTTATAAATACAAGTTAAGTTTAAGACCGTTAAGTTATCACGAATTGTTTTTTTTTTCTTTTCATGGAATGTTATTAAAATTTAATCACATTAGCGTGCGTCATCGATACGGCTGCTAAATGTATGAGCAACAATAAAAAAAAAACATAATAGAGCTGCCACTGTTACAATTAATGAGATACTAAGATTATTAATACTATATAGCAAATGAATTTGCTGAGTTGCCGGAACGAAGGACAGATGGCGCGGCGGCTTATCCGAGGCCGTGGTCTTCGAAGAAGCCCTGCGGTGTCTCCTCCTGCAACAAGGGCATCACTGAGCCAGAGTCGCTCGTGGCCGCGTTAGACCGACCCATCGCTTTTCGGCAACGCGAAACATACACATTAACGTAAAACCAATCTAAGTTTCTTCTACAAATAGAAATAAGTTTATAATAATGTTTGGAGAGAAAGAACGGAGTATTCCCAGACACAAATCCTTGCAACGAATATACAGTAAATAGAACACGGTAGACGTTAAAACTCACGAGACTTGTTGAGAAAATTTATTGCACATTCTAATTTAGATTTTAGTAGAAATAACAATCAGAGAAGCCACTCCAAACCTCTGCCCGTTTGAACACCATTGAGGGCTATCTCATAAAATCATACCTACCATTTAGTCATAGCCTGCAACTTCTAAAAAACACCTTTAATGAAAATTCAATCTGCTGACATCATATTTTATTACATAAAATACCATACAAAACTATGAAATGATTTGGACATGAAAAAAAATGTTAATCGAAAGTCATGTGGTTTAATTTTCGTGATCTTACATTATTTGATAGTATAATTTTATTATTATTAATTATAGTTTTCTTGCAAAGTCAGGAACTTAGGATTCAGTCACGCTTATCTTGTGTAGTTTAAATCTTCTAATGCTTTTATCAGTCAAAACAAGTATTAGGTATTACGTAGAATTTCATTACCATAAATCAACGAGACAGTTTAAATTTTCAGTTGACTAGGTCAAGATGTTTTCCAAAGCAGGAATACCTACTCCGAGACCCGGAGTATACCTGGAGTCCGGGTATACTCGGGACTGACATATTCAGATTTAATTGATAATTCTTTTATAAGTCCGCGCACAAGGCTTTCATTACTTCGAATACAAAACTAATATTTATTTGTTAATAAAATAAAATAAAATAAACAATCACCATTTAACTACTATGCGATATATTAATTCGGATTAATTACGTAAAATAAACTAAAAAAATCAGTAACAATAAAAATAATATTTAAAACAATGTAATAAAACACTTATTTGTATAAAAATAAACAAAAAATATTTATGGTTTTTTTTTTCTCAATAAAATTATTCAATGAAATAGGTGGCACAATTTGGATAGCTGTAAAAAAAATTATGCCGTAGCATTCGTTGTAATACAATCAATTTGGGTAGCGTTTACAGTTCAAGTTTGAAATGACTTCGATATCATTAGTTTTTGGTGTTGAGTAAATTAAAATTCGTCCTAAAAAGTCGTCCTAACTGCGTACTAGTATCGGTCACTCGGTAGTTAATTTTTTTTCTTTGCAAATAAAAAAAAAATCGGTCATTCATAACGCATTGTACCTAATAATAGTTGACAAATATTGTTAAGAGGAAACGCTGGCTGTATTTATTGCATAGGTACAAACCTATTTTTCTATTTCGCCCCGATCATGACATTAGAGCAATTATATATTTGCCATAAACGATCTGGCATGTTCCATTTTTTTTTTAATTATTAAATTTGGTACATTAATAAGAACTGTTTTAGCGAAACAAACATTAAATTGTTATTTTCACATTTCTACAGACGAGCTACACTATTATAGTGTTCTTAATCATGAAACTTTTTGAAATATTTATTCTTCTAATTTCTCCGCATTAGCGTTTCCTCTTCAATCACGTTCGATACGTATGTTTCTTACTAGCCACCATAAGTGCCGGTAAGCAAGCTTGTTGAACTCAGACTGTCAATGTTACCCAAACGACTCAAGTTTAATCGGATTGAATAGATAAACTACCGTACAAAAGTACTCAAGAATTTTTGTCTTTGAAAATTGATGATTTAGAACAGAGACGAGGTTTTAACAGGTGAATACCTATGTAGATTGTGAAATATAGAAGAGATCGTGTGAATAGTCACTTACATACGTTAGATTACATTTAATTTTGAAAAAAAATTGAGGAAAGCACATGACATCGTTCATTGAAATAAAGACACTAACATAATTTCATTATAGGTTTTATCAAATCATTTTAAATGTTAATACTTACACGCTTAAGTTAAAAACCTATGTTAAACGAATAAAATTAATATACAGTGCTAAAAACGTTATTTTTTTTTCTCGTTTCATGGCACTATTGTCAGTAAACGTTTACCAAATGTTTTTTTTTTTTTAAATTCGTACAATTATATTAGCGTTAAATAGTGTGCATGGACAGTTGGGAAGCGCAGGAAAGTCTTCGATCTTCGACGCGGGGCGTGTGTTAACCATGTTAGAGCAAGCCGACGTCACGCAGCGCAGCGTCCACAGTCTCGTCCTAACAAAACTCCCACCATAAACACGCGAGCATTTAACAACGTTCGCTTGCTTACAAGAATAAAAAACTAAATGTATCCATTTCCTTAGGTTTGTAATAAGGAACGCGTAATATATTTTGGTAAACTCAATGTGATCTAAAGTTAAATAATTCCCGCTGAACGTATGTACCGAAGCTCGAATTTTCTCCTATGTTACGTGTGTCGGAAGTATTCTCATCCGAGACAAGACCTAGACACCCTAATGTATTTTTTTTTAAGTTCTGACCGACAAACAAACAAGCCAATCACATAATAATACCACTCAGATAGGTACCATTTACCAAAACTAGTACCGATTGTTTATGTACCAGTTAGTATTATAAAGAATTTGGCTTTGAATCAAGATGCATAAAGTATAATCGATGTTGCACACAAAAAGCATACCAGCTATTTATGTAGACACATACATTTATAGGCACGGAACCTGTATTTTTGCCACGTAAAAACATTATGCGGAAACTCGACAACGAGATAACATGCTGTTAGGATTCAAGTAAACCACACCAAAGCGTAATATTAAATAATTTTATCACCTTAGACAAGTACTAAAACAGGATATCTGTAGCAAGAGTAAAAAAAAGTGACTTGTAACACGAAACATGGTACTGTTTGGATTACACAAAAAAAAACCGCTGTTTATTAAAAAAACATTCAGTATGCCAGTAACAGAGTTTATCAATTTAAAATTATGAAAAAATGAATTAATATTATGTCCATTAAAAACAGATTTTAATGCAACATGATTTAAAAAAAAAAAGTTACTCTTGCTACAGAAAGGGATAGGATATGGTTCATGCAAGAAAACAGAATTTCCATATAAATTAATGTATTTTCGACAACTCATTACAATCAACCACCACATTCTGAGCGAGGACACTGTTTTACGCACAATCACCAAAATTACATTAAGAGAATTATAAAAAAAAAAATCGCTTAGTAATCTATTAGGCAGACAGTAAACTTATTCGATTAGAAAATATCAAATTAAACTTTTACCTACATTGTAAAATAGACCGTGCGTATTATAAAATTCGAGGTTATTTTATTGAGCAAAATATTATTCTTCATTTAAGATTATTTGATTTAACTAAGAATTTAATATTAGTAAAGCAGTGTCCCATAAACATTACACAAATATTAAGCGACGAATTCCTTAAAATTTGGTTCTTTAGTTATTTTTAACCTCAATCTATCGAATACGAACCGCATAAGTATGTAATGAATTTTGTAATTTTTTTAAGCGTTTCTAATGAATTATTTATTATTTGATGAGAATTTTTTTACTGTACATTATGTTAGATTTAGAAAAAACATGCGTGATTCATATTGGTGTCAAGCTTGAAAAGTGTGAATAACAGAAAATTAAATTTGTAAATAAATAAAGCATTTTAAACTATCGTTAATACTGTTAGTTGGTTTATGCATAAAATATAAATGGATAAAAATATGGCATTAAAAAGTATAACCTAAAAACTTAAAAACTTAAATGAAATGAAGCGTATAAGATTAATAAATATATAATTTGTTCATATAATATTAATAAGTTAGCTGTTCAGACATTTATTGCGTAAATTTTTCAACAGGTTCCAAGGGTGTGCATCAGTGCAATAGTCCATCGTTCAGATCCTGACCGGTCAGTGCATGCATATCACACAAACAAAACATAAAATAATTAGCAAATCGGACGGGATACATCAAGCTCAATATGTGTTGTACGGTTTTTCTTAAGAGGGCAACCATTGACTACGTGTCTTGACTTTTAATCAAAGTCCTTCCTGCTATTGTTGAAATAATTTGAACCACATGAAAGCACATGTAATTTGCTTTATATTATCAAGCCATGGAAATACAGAACAATTTACTTAATTGTGAATTTAAAAGGTAACATCAAACTTTCAATCACAGTTTTAAATAAGATTTAGATCAACTATCCTCCAATGCACAGGCGAACATGCTGTGTTAACAAAAAAAACTTCTCTTCTCACTCCGAGTTAACGTAACTAATAGATGCCCCTAAGGGAAATTACTTAAAGACAATCAAAGGTGCTGTCGATATCAGCATCTGAGTTTTGATTAATTAGAAATAAATTTTAATAATAGTTTTTTAGATGTACCTTAATTTTTACTAATTCTGTTAGAAAGCATATTTATAATATTATTTATCCTACTAAATATATTTCTTTTAAGTTGCAGGCACTAGTTAAGCTTCCATATTGTATTAATTATTTACTATGCTAATTTTTAATTTAAATTAAGTGGTCCGAATACTTTCTTTCAAGTACTTTGTTTAAAGTGCATCCTAACTAATAAAGTGCTTTTATAATCTAAAAAAAATAGAAGGCACCACTAAGGCTATTCTCCTATACTGGTCCACATTTACTGTTTTAATAATCTACTTTTATTTGTAGCAATTAACATTTTTACAAAGCAATAATAATTCTGATATGTATGACAATTGACCATTTCATTATTTCACTGAAATTTATTTTTCATAGAAAATAAGATTTTTGCTAAACCTACTTACACCTGATATATTTCGGTCCAAAACTCTTTTCCTAATATTTAATCCTTTATCAATATTCAAAATAAGCATCAAATGAAATGAGCAAAAGTATTTACTGGACCCCATATTGAGACCTTAATCTGATCTTATACACACCATGCTCAAGTATTATCAATCAAACAAGTTCATTATCCTGGCTACTGACCTCCTGCAGAAGATCCTGGGCAGCGATGGCTTTCAGGACATTCTTCTTGCTGGTTTCTTGTAGCTCTCCACCAAGAACCAGTTCATCAAGTATGAAGTAAGCTTTCTCAAAGTTAAAGATGATGTCCAGTTCACAAACCTTTAAATTAGAGGTTTATTAATTGCAAACTGTTTCGTTGCTATTGAAGGCCTATTCCCACAGGGATCATCAGTTGTATATTGCATTGCTCCAGATCTTTAGATTAATGACCTTCTGGTAACACAATATCTTTGTGTTTTCAGCAGTCTGTACTCCAATTTTCTGATTTATTATGGTCTTGGTATAATTATATAAAACAAATCAACTAATAAATATCTGAGGTTCTAAGTACCTAAGTAGCACAACTAGCATATTAATTACTTATATTTATATTTAATAGACCATGAACAAATAAAAATAGAATTCATCACTGGTGGCAAAATACTGAACTCTTACATGGCAAGTGATCTCATAGGTATAAAGTAAGAAATCTGGTCATGTATTATTTGAATAGACAGAAGTGAGGAACTACCGATTTTATACCACAGTTTTAAGAAGCAGTCACTAACTTAGGAAAGTTGGACTTTTTGAAGGAGCTGATAAAATTATTTGAGACTATGCAGTCAACGTTGACAATGTGTCTTTCTAAGCTAAGGAGTTTATATTGTTGTCTTATTAAGCCACATCGATATATTTTAGATTTTTTTATATGAATCATAATTTTTGTTAGGATGTGAAAAAAAAAACTCTAAAGAGGTTGTTAACCCTTTTCAACATACTTACACTGCCAAAATACTTGTCCAGCAGTTCTACATAGCGATGGATCAACTCCAAGGTCAGCAGCTCATTGTCTTCTTGTTCCATAGCACAGCAGAAATATAGTGATGCATATCTGTAAACATTTAATTCATTCTATACTTTTCAATAACTAACTTTACGGTAGGCAGCGGCTTGGCTTGCCCCTGGCATTGCTGAAGTCCATGGGCGACGGTAACCACTCACCATCAGGTGGGCCGTATGCTCGTCTGCCTACAAGGGCAATAAACAAAAAACTAAATTAATTAGTATTATTGTAATTAGAATTTATGCAAATTGTAGAATTTTTTTTAGTATTAAAATCTAATTATTTCATGTAAGCTGCTTGCTTGATGAAATACAGTCACCACTGGTCATGCATCTACCTAGGAACAAACAGCTGTAACATAAATTGTTGGCACTGCAGCAGTAAGGTTTCTCCTAGAAGAATTTATTTTATTATTTTGATAGGCAGCAAGAGAAAACCACAATAGTAAGGATAACCCTTGAAAAACAAAATTTGGTTGGTGTCTAAAGTATTAGAAACCATAAGTGGGATTGAATGATCTTCAAACAGTGCTACATCATTTATTAAATTAAAAAAAACATTTTAAGCTTGTTATTGTTTTGTGGAGACTTGGTGTCTCAGGAAAAAGGAACGCAAAAAGATTGAGGAGTTTGAAATGTATTGCTGGAGAAAGCTGCTACGCATTCCTTGGACAGCTATGAGAACCAATGTCTCCATCCTCGAAGAGCTGAAGGTCACCAAGCGCCTGCTGACTATGTGCCAGGAAAGGATCCGGAGTTTCTTTGGGCACATAATGCGATATCCTCATTGCACAGCCTGGAGAAACTCACAATTCTCGGACAAATGGAGGGGAAGCGCGCTAGAGGAAGAGCGCCAGCTATATGGGTTGACCAACTCAAGGAGGTGACTGGAGGCCAGATATGGGGAGCGGTACATATGGCACAGAACCGGACCGATTGGAGAAGATTGACATACAGTCACGATCCTCAGCATTGAGGGAACGACCAGAAAAAGAAAATTGTTTTGTACTTAATGTTATGCTAAATTTATAATATTTATATAAAAACTAATTCAAACACTTTTTTTTCATAATTAGTTGATGCAATAAAGTGATTCTAAAAAATAGCCGAATCACGTCACTGAGACATCTAACAGGCTTGTAGAAACCCCTTGTATTATGAAAAAGATTTTTTAAATACCTTTTATACACAACTTTAACATCTTTCCATTCAAGGAAAGAACACATTTTGGGTTTTCGAGCTAGCACTGTGGTAATCAATTCTCTAGTTATTTTCTTCTTTAGCTTATCTGGATGAGCCACGTACCACTTCTGAAGCCTCAATTTGCCTTGACGGCTAAATAATAGCATAAACTGCATCTGAAAATAATGCGACTTGGATTTACTTCATATAATTTGTTTTAAAAAACATTTGTGATTTGATTGTATATTTTGCTTGGTGTAGTACTTAGGTGATTATTCCTCATACGTTTATATTTTAGGGACATTATTGTTGCGAGTATGTACTGAAAATATTTGGTTAAGTGATAATTACCATCTTGACTCCTGATTTTTCCTGTTATGTCTGTTACAGAAATTGGAATGTATTATTTTAATTTATTTGCAATACTTTATTACATTTTACTGAGACCAACGTTTTAGTGCAATTTAGTTGATTGTTTTATCACCACAGAACACTATTACTTCTAGCGATTTATCACAATGAAATGTTCTACGTATTTTTTTTTTTAAGTTTTTTATGACCTGGTAACTAAGACCTTCAAGTCATGTCTTATTTTAAATTATATTCTTATTTTTATGAAAAATATGAAAAATAAGAATATGGACTGAAATGAAATGAAGATGATTAATTTGAGACATTAATCAACTGGGATGAAATTAAATAAAATGAGATGAGATGGTATGGGATGAAATATAATCTCAGTAAAATGGTGGCCATTTACTAATTTACTCCTTCACCGTGGAAGTCAATCGTGAACATTTGTTGAGTACGTATTTCATTAGAAAAATTGGTACTCCTCTCGGATTCGAACACCGGTGCATCGCTTCAACACGAATGCACCAGACGTCTTATCCTTTAGGCCACGACGACTTCAAAAGGTGGACAGACTTGATTAAGTCATCTACGAAGTGTTCCCTTTCTGAATGTACACGTACCGCCACAAAAAGAGAGATGGAGAAGTCTCTCAAAAGCCGCAACCCAGCAATAAGACATACGTAACCACAACTAAACCGCCAGGAGTGTACGACTGAGAAGAAGGGACAAATTCCAACTTGATGAACAATTTTAAGATAGTTGTTAATGTTTAAAATGCTATGTCAAGATCAAAATGATTGAGTCTTGAGGGTATTTTATTATCCAATTTAAAGCTATACAGTTAGCATTCCAGTTTAAGCAAAAAAAGCAAAAATAGGTGTTATCCCTATTTACCCAGAAATTGCGGTTAATGGGGACGAAATTAGTGTTAATAGAGAAATTTGCTAGAGCTGTCACTACTTGGTTTTAATTTATTTAGTTGCACTGACAAAGTGATCATCAATAAAAAACATTGAAAAACTGACAAAAGTACATGACAGATGTTACCTCAATTACAGGTGCAATCGACACTGCACTTACAACAAAAATAAAAAATATATAACTAAAACTTGATTACATTTAATTACTTAAGATTAATTTTTATTTATTTGGGAAATTATCCGCGACAGATTTTTCCTGTAAGTTGTGAGACAATTAGAAAAAATATCTATTTCATCACTTAAAATTAGTTCAGTTAGAACATTGACGGAGACCGCGCTACCGTGGAAATTATTGTAGTTCCAAAGGATTCAGTTTAAGGGAGAGTAAGCACCTAAATTCGAACGAGCGGGCTTTCTTATATACTGTTTATATTTCTTCGTTCTTAGTAAGTACTTAGGGGCTGTTATTTTTATCTGGGTTAAGAGATTAGGTGTGTCGGTTATTCCATGGATTAATCAGGTGGATACCCCCACTCTGGACAAATATTAATATATTTTATTATGTATTACTTAGACATTTTTGTCCACCTTGAGATTTCATTGTTCTTGTTACATGTTTGTGCAAAACCGACTTACTTATGTTAAATTGCTTAGCTATTTCAACTAAAGACTTATTCCCAATTTCATAGGCTTTTATTGCTGTTTTTAATATTAAGGAATCATATCTCTTATAAGGCTTTGCACTCTTTGATACGTACACGCGAGGCATATCTAAAAATAGAAAACAATACGTAACTGATAAATATGAATGTTTGCCAAACAATAAAATAACACTGCATTGATAATTTTCAATAAAATTTCTAGACAAAAACATCATGAATAAACCAGATTCTTACCAACACATTTAAAAAAGATTGTTCTAACTACATAGAAAACCCTACAAGCCTGTACCTATTTATACGTAGGTCATTCCCATTTAACTCATCTCAATTGACCCCTTTTTCGTTGTTATTTGTACCTGAGACGTTCCCATCATCCCCAAATACAACAGATTTTTAAAAAATGGAAGATTTTGCAACGATTAAAAAACTAATATTGAGTGTCGAAAAATTTCCTGGTTTTTTCCCCATTCACCTCTCAACCCCTAATCACCCCATTACCTATTGCTCTTATTGGTCAGACTCCTGTCAACGCTAATATCTTTCTAAGTTTCAGATTTTGCGCATATCTTATTTTTTTCTCACTTGAACTATAGTACATTCTAATCATTCTTACTCACTTTTCAGTCCTAAAACTTTTTTGTTTTGCTAAGTCAACTTTGAAACGCTATTTCATTTCAGGGTCGATGCGACTGTGAACTTTTTCTCTAATGAGAAAAAAATTGAGCAATATCGTAAAAAAAACCACGTACATAATATATTTGTATATTAAAATTTAATATATTACCTATGTCACAATTGTAGTTGCAATTGTTGGTACAATAAGGCACATAAATCAGTGAAAATGGTAAGATTACAGCGCACTACCAAAACAGCACCAAAATATTTATTTTAAGATTCTGTCATAGTAATTTTGACCTAAATGTTATTGGAGATTTAACATATAGTTTTTAATGTGTGTTCAGTTTGGTTAAAAAAGTTATTGAATAATATTTTCAACCTCGTTCCAGTATTTATTTTAAGAAAGAAATTAAATTAAAATATCAGCTGAGAATAATATAGATTATATTATTCCCGCATTTTATTGGTTAGAGCCAAATTTTTTATTCTGACCAATCGAATAAATAGTGATCTTTTTTGTATTTGTTTTAATGGACAGTATTAGTTTAAAATGAAATTTACCATGAAAATTTGTTACTAGAAGCAAATAACATGTTTGAGACACTTTGAAAATATTTCATTATGTTCACTGTATTTTGAACATACGGAATGGCAATGAAATGGTTAATTTATTTACTTTCAAACATGATACCTTTTCTTTTATGATTAATACAATGTCAATAGTTTCAGAATAATAATGAAATTCTAACAGGTGTATTATTCGCTTAAACTGTGAATTTTGCAATGTCAAGAAAATTTTATATATTTATATGTACTTTTTAAGTCATTGTGGCCTAAAGGATAAGACGTACGGTGCATTTGTATATTGTGATGAAATGGTGTTCGAATCCTGCAAGTGGGTACCAATTTTTCTATTGAAATATGTACTTCACAAATGTTCACGATTATCTTACACGGTGAAGAAATAACATCATGTAACAAAAATCAAACCTGCAAAATTATAATTTGGGTAATTACTGGTGGTAGGATGTCTTGTGAGTCCGCACAAGTAGGTACTACCACCCAAGATAGGTGGCGGCATTTGCGTTGTAGATGTCTATGATAATATGTATGTATATGATAAGTAGTTGAAATAAATAGTTGAATGAAAATATTCTGTGTTCATGACTTTTTATAGTTTGTTAGCTGCTCTCAGAGGCACTCAATCATCTAACACTTATATGTAACTAAATGAAATATCTTTTTGAATTAAATAATATTTCCTAATATACATATTTTTTAAACAACCGAATCAACCAAGCTACATATAATATTAAAATACATTGCTAATAAAATGTTGGTTATGATCACCCATGAACATCTTGAAGAACAATAAGAACAATAATAAAACTTACTAGAAAATTATCTCTTAGAAAATAGTCTCCATCAAAAAGTTTCCATTAGAATGAGAGGCACACATTGTCTGTTTGGGACATGATTGAATTGGTTTTGTATATATAACAAATGTAGTATTCCTTAAATTTAATTGCAGTAACTTGTATTGTACCTTAAATGTGCTTAAGAATCTTCTTCTTCTTTATATATAAAAATGAGTTGCTGTTTATTTTATACAAAAGTTTAGGTCTTTTATTTTTCGATTGAGGTACTACGAGGTCTGCCGAGTCAGCGAGTTTTCAATAAATAACTTTGTGCCAACCTCTATTGCAGGCATCAGGACATGGTGAGACTAGCAGCGAGTGTGAAGGCGAGGAGCAAGAAGACTCTTCTTCGTCTCATTCTAATAATGTGCTCGAAGCTTGCAATACTCTTGACAATTTGAGTTTACAAGACAATGTGCAAGTAAATATTGTTCGTTTAATTACCAAATAACTTAAGTACTTAAATCTTATATAACAATGACTAAAATAAAGTTCATCTGCCAATAAACAAGAAGAATGGACAATTTTAGTACATTTATAGTGATTCTTTGGTCATGGGATTGGAGTCTTATCTTCTAAATTTCATACCAAACTAAATGATTTGTAGAAGAAAAAGCCAAAATGAGATTTGAAATATGTTCTGCTGCTAGTATTTGAGGATTTAGGAATCAGGGAATTAAATCAGTAGATCAGAGAACTAAAATTGAGCTAAAATAGTACTTGGAATAAATAGTACAGTTCATTAAGTGCATACAGATTCTTTGATACCTAATAAAATATTGATTTTTTTTTTCAGAATACAAATCACGGTGAAGATGAGCTTTCAGTCTTCCGGCAGCAGTGGCAGAGAGAACTCGAATCAACACCGACAACACAGAAAGGATCAAAGCTTGAAGAATCATTTGCAGAACCACTCACTGATGAGGATAAGGTTAATTCTGATCTCATTATTAGCAATTTGGGCAATCATATTTTTCACCAATATATTATAACAAAACAAAATAATACTAAGAATTAATGCTCAGAAAAACATTAAGAAAATGCAGAGTAGAAATATAATTGTTAGCTTCTAAATTACATTAGTTTTTCAACTATTATGTGGATCCTTTGTTTGTTTTTCTTTTATACTTTCATAGATAACAAGATAATTTCACAATATTCATTTTTACACTTCATTTACATATAGCACCATACTCTACACTTAAATAGAAATTCTTTCGCGCCACTTCGATAAAGCGGTACGACACGAGAATCCTCTCATCGTGGCCGCCGGTAACTACATTCCCGATCCTGCGGACAGAATGGAAAGCAGTCGACGTCGCCCCAAACACGTCATACCGGATCCTCCCGATCCACTAACGGTGCTTCTAGGTACCTCAGGCACCGGTCACCGTTCTCGTCGAACCCGTCACTTGCGACGAAGGGGTCGACGAGTAAATTAACCCTCAGACACAGCCCATTGAGTTTCTCGCCGGATCTTCTCAGTGGGTCGCGTTTCCGATCCGATGGTAGATTCTGCGAAGCACTGCTCTTGCTAGGGTTCGTGTTAGCAACGTCATCAGGTTTGAGCCCTGTGAGCTCACCTACTAGTTAAGGCGACGCTGATATAGCCTCGAAAGCTTAGGTAGGAAAAAAAAAATCTTTTATTAAAGAAGAATATTTGGTACCTTTGTTTGGAAGCTACATGTTATTTTTACTTTGTAGGCTAAGCAACTGTTCCTCCGTGGCGTTGAATTCGAGCGCGGGGGGAAGTTGTACGAAGCTATACAACATTACAAGCGAGCCATACAGATCGTACCGGACGTCGAGACGCGGCTGTACGAGGGAAGCGAGCTCAGGGGAGATACGCCGGAAGGTAATGCCAAGCTTGATGAAATTCAATGATAGTTTTGATTTAGTCGGGGAATGCTGTAAGCTCGCAAGGGCAGCTACCGCCAACCTACTTATTTATGGCTTCAGTTATCATTTTTTTTAAATTTGTTGTTATAACTCTTGAAAGAAAACCAAGATTTTTTTTTATTTATTGCTTATATGGGTAGACGAGCTCACAGCCCACTTGGTGTTGAGTGGTTACTGGAGCCCATAGACATCTACAATATAAATGCGCCACCCATCTTGAGAAATAAGTTCTAAGGTCTCAGTATAGTTACAACGGCTGCCCCACCCTTCAAACCGAAACGCATTACTGCTTCACGGCAGAAATAGGCAGGGTGGTGGTACCTACCCTTGCGGACTCACAAGAGGTCCTACCACCAGTAAGTTAAGAATAAGCTTATTTTGATTTAGAGCATAGTAACCATAAATAATATACTCTATGCGACCACAAAAACTGTGCAGTATTAAAATGTGGGAAATAGTGAAATTAGAGTAATAAACGCTAGATTAAATCCTAAAAAGAGTTTTAATTATACTGCTTATTTAAGTAATAATGACTAACATCTGGAGGCTTGTCATGTTAGTAGCCATTTGTTACTTCGACTCAGCTCATAGTGATACTGAAACGACGTATGTAATTTTTACTATAGTACTGGGCAATAAATAATGCACATCGATCTCTAGAAAGAGATTTTTGGCTAATTGCGGCTTTGTAGAGCATTGTCCCTATCGCACGAAATACTAACAGCCCGGTATCTATTAAGAGCTGTTAAAACAATTATTGCGAGTTGCTTATTTTGATTATTCTTTTATTTTTTATAAAACAATTATTTTTCTGAAGTGTTGTCTTTTGATAATAGTAAAATATAAAAAAAAAGTGTATGTTTACGTTTTTTTTAAAATATTAATCTCAATAATCAATAATATATTAATAAGGTAGTCTGCACGCTAATCACCAGCGCTTTAGGTGGTAATCCAATAATTGTAATTAATAGAAATAATCATATTGGATCCCCTGAGAAACTGCGCCCTTGAACGGTCCATCATCAACAGCTCACACATGTCCACTGCTGTGCTTAGGGCTCTCCTTGTACACATAACGTTATGTTATGTCTTAGTTATGTCTTAGGCATTTCTCATCCATTTTTTGAAAGATCAAATATATATCGACGCTTGAAAAGCAAACGTGACTAAACGACAATAACTGCTTTGTACATAAATGATAGGCAATAACCATATTCGATGCGCAAAAAAAAATATTTCTAGGTCTATTAAAATAATTTTAATCCTACAGCTAGATAGATTCGTTAAAATATAATTTTTTTCAGGTATTTCAACTTTAAATTAGTCTACTGTAAAGTTCACGCATTGTCGCTTAGTCACGTTTGCCTTTCAAGCGTCGATATGTATTTATTACTTTTAGCTTTCGCTACATCCTATTCATGATACTAGTCATAACAATGGATTTGTGTGGCCGCTCCGTTAGATTCAGAGGTGGAGGAAGTGGTTTGCGCGGACAAGGCTCCTCCCTCCGAGGATGAGGACGAGGAGGTCGTGGAGGGGGAGGAACTGCTCGCGAGGCTGCAACGAATTCTGGCTAGGAGGGGGTTGCTGTGTGAACCGAAACTACCCACGGTGGTGCGTATTCATATTCTCAAACTTTGGGAAATTTTCATTTGTCGTTCTCTGTCTGTCTCGCTTTGATCTATTCGAAATTGAAGGAAACTCATCTGTCACAGAAAAGGACAGAAGAATGGAAATCTTACATTTCAAATATTCAGTTAAATTTGTTCCAATAAATAATTTCGTAATTGTTTTCGTGAAATCGATAAAGAAACATGTAGGCTACTTGTAACGTTTCGTCACCATTTCTTTTGTGCATCATTTAACCGACAATTTTATTGAGTTATAGACAGAAAAATTCTCAAAAAGACCTCAATTAAAGGTTTCAAATTCATGAATTTATGAAACTAAAGATTATCTATATAGAACTAAAAGTAATATATAACATACAATTATGAACCTAAAGTAAATCAGTTAATAACCATTTTCATTACGGCTTGTACTTTTGATGACTTAGCAGACGTCGGTTAGTTTGTGTGTTGTTTCGGCACTTTTTTTTTCTCCCCCTACCCCTATTCGCTGGTAGTCTATGAGGCTATTCAAGCTACGAGCTGACGGCTAGCGGTTTCGTCATCTTGACGGCATTGAGGTCTCGCATCGGCCCCGCGTTTTTTTTTCTTGCTGAGATGGGTGGACGAGCTCACAGCCCACCTGGTGTTAAGTGGTTACTGGAGCCCATAGACATCTACAACGTAAATGCGCCACCCACCTTGAGATATAAATTGTAAGGTCTCAGCATAGTTACAACGGCTGCCCCACCCTTCAAACCGAAACGCATTACTGCTTCACGGCAGAAATAAGCAGAGACTCTCAAGAGGTGCTACCACCAGTAGTAAAGCTTTTGAACGTGACCTCAACGTGTGCAGTCGGCGCACATATCGTGGCTCCCGTACGAGGTGTTGCTGGTAGTGCTGCGCTGGGTGGTGAGCTCGGAGCTGGACGCGGGCGCGCTGGAGGCGGCGGCCGGCGTGTGCCGCGGCTGGTACGTGGCCGCCCGGGAGCCCGACCTCTGGCGCTCCATCTGCGTCAGGTCAATACCTCCTGCTCTCTTATTCGCTACCAACGAAGCTCACTCTCATATCGTTAAGTCAATTTTTGCCGCGAACGACTATTCGAACTGGGTTTCCCTACTTATTCGCTCTAAGGGTCTATTTTAACTAGCTCATGGGCTTACTGGTGGTGGGACCTCGGGTGGTTCCACCGCCCTGCCTATTTCTGCCGTGAAGCAATAATGCGGTTTGAAGGGTGGGGTAGCCGTTGTAACTATAGTGAGACCTTAGAACTCATATCTCAAGGTGGGTGGCGGCATTTACGTTGTAGATTTCTATGGGCTCCGGTAATCACTTAACACCAGATAGGCTGTGAGCTCGTCCATCCATCTAAAGAATTTATTAACACTAGCTCTAGCGAGAGCAGTGCCTCCCAGAATCTATCACCGGATCGGAATCGCGATTCACTGAGAAGATCCGGCAAGAAACTCAGTGGGCTGTATCTGTGGGTTGGTTCGCAAATTGAGTCGATTGTAACTTCGACCTTTTGTCTCGGGTAGTGACGCCATTCCCGTTGTTATGTGCTTAGGATGTAAAGAGCAATGTATCTCAAAACACTTGTGCAGGACGATGTCAGTAGGGCAACATTGTTACTTTATAATTTTAATTGTAGTCCAGTATAAATTTAATTGCAAATTAGGATGTTAAGGGTAATCATCCGACCTTAATAAGATAAGCTCTTTGCTCTGAGTCGTTAATGCTTATGGAATGTACCAAACCCACTTTTATGACAAAAGGAGGAGAGAGAACATAAAACGACCAAAATATCCTCCTTCTATCGCATTAACAAAGCCATCCTATTCATCATAACAAACCCTTGCCCCTTGCGGCATCAACCAAGCCCTTGTTTCGAGCCCTACACCCCAGCAGAGGGTAATAGGAAAAGAAGATCTTTAAACCAATGCACGCCCAATGTACGAAGGGCGTAACGTTTTATTTATGCCCTCTCAAATCTATTTCTTTTTCTTCTTTAGTTTTTGACTCCGGCACGGTTTGTGAATTAGCCAGCGTGAAGTAATAAGATTTTTATGATTCGCATGAAATTAAATGAAATGAGATGAGATGATATGAGATGAAATAAAATGGTGGTAATCTACTGAGACTTTTTCAGTGGAATTTTTGGAGGATCTCGAGAAGTTACGTTCAGTTCAGCGGCTTTGTTTCATTTTCCCATATTTGTGCACTTTCATAGATACTAAACAGTTAATATACCACCGTTATTACACATTTAAACCCGAAGAAACACTAAATAGACAAAATAAAACAAATCACATAACTTTACTCCTCGCGTTTCCGCCAAAAAATTCCAAATGTAGTTTTTCAAGTTAACCTTAGCAACCCTCGACCCCCCCACAGAACATGGGGCATAGAGTGCGGCACCCCCCGCGCTAACGGCTGGTCGAGCTGGCGCGACATGTACATCGCGCGTCCCCGGCTGCGACTCAACGGCTGCTACATCAGCAAGACCACGTACCTGCGCCACGGGGAGAACTCCTTCCAGGACCAGTTCTACAGGCCTTGGTATCTTATATACTACTACAGGTACCTCAGGTGAGGCTCATTTGATCGTTATCTTAAATATACATAAGTTTCATTTTCAATTGACCAAGGCGAAGGAGCCGTCATAACTTGAACTTGTCCACCAATTTTGAGATCTTAGTATTTTGCCATGCCGCGTTTTTTTTTATATTGCTTATATGGGTGGACGAGCTCACAGCCCATCTGGTGTTAAATGGTTACTGGAGCCCATAGACATCTACAACGTAAATGCGCCACCCACCTTGAGATATAAGTTCTAAGATCTCAGTATAGTTATAACGGCTGCCCTACCCTTTAGACCGAAACGCATTACTGTTCTACTGTACTGTTTAATGTTCTATTTCACTTTGTATTTGCCATTAACAGGTTCTTCCCCGAAGGCGTGGTGCTGATGTGGACGACAGCGGAGGAGCCGGTGACGTGCGTGGGCCTGCTGAAGAACCGACACGTCAAATCCGGTTCCGGGATCATGATGGGACATTATAGGCTGATTGGTCAAAAGGTATTTATTTATTTGGGAAACAAACAGTACAATACAAACATATAATATTACAAAAAATAGACAACAGCTGGAAACCTTAAATAATAATAAAAAATATAAAAATATAAACCTTGCCTATTTCTGCCGTGAAGCAGTAATGCGTTTCGGTTTGAAGGGCGGGGCAGCCGTTGTAACTATACCTGAGACCTTAGAACTTATATCTCACGGTGGGTGGCGCATTTACGTTGTGGATGTCTATGGGCTCCAGTAACCACTTAACACCAGGTGGGCTGTGAGCTCGTCCAACCATCAAAGCAATAAATAAAAAATCTGCGGCTCAGTAAATTCACTAACTGTGAAAGAGATATTTTTAGAAAAACAAAAACAACATGCTTCCCATATGAGATAGAGGAAGAGGCAGGGAGTTAAACTCCAGTATGTAATGCGTTAACATATAAAATATTTATAATGAATGTACTTCTTTTTGCATATTATATGCGAGTAGAATTATTTCCCTACATTACAAGTTCGATTATTTTTGGTTGTCGTATTGTTTTGTTCTATAGTTGTAAGGCATATTTGTTTTGATTAGTTGTGCGCACATGGCTTATGTTACAGGTCAGATTTTTTACTTATTGTTATTCATTGTGTATCTTTTTTTAGCTTGTAATGTGTATTGTGTGCCTATTGAAGTCGTCGTGGCCTAACGGATAAGACGTCCAGTGCATTCGTGTTGAGCGATGCACCGGTGTTCGAATCTCAGGCGGGTACCAATTTTTCTAATGAAATACGTACTCAACAAATGTTCACGATTGACTTGCACGGTGAAGGAATAACATCGTGTAATAAAAATTAAACCCGCAAAATTATAATTTGCGTAATTACTGATGGTAGGACCTCTTGTGAATCCGCGCGGGTAGGTACCACCACCCTGCCTATTTCTGCCGTGAAGGAGTAATACATCTCGGTTTGAAGGGTGGGCCAGCCGTTGTAACTATATAATACTTGAGACCTTAGAACTTATATCTCAAGGTGGGTGGCGCATTTACGTTTTGGATGTCTATGGGCTCCAGTAACCACTTAACACCAGGTGGGCTGTGAGCTCGTCCACCCACCTATGCAGTATAAAATAATAATAATAAATAAATAAAATAAATATAGATTATACCTCTTTAATAACTGAAGCGAAAGGGAAACAGAACGTTCATTAAAGTAACGCATTTGACTTTAGGTTGTGATCGTTATAAAGAAGACCAGCGAGAAGAAGCAGGTGATGGCTTCGAACACGAGGTTCCGAGCGCGCAGGAAGGAGCTCGAGCACGAACAGACGTTCCACCTGGTGAGGCTCTCGTCACTAAGAAAACTATAATCTTAATATATATAAATCACGTGTCACGTTGTTTGTCCGCGATGGACTCCTAAACTACTTAACTGATTTTAAATTAAATTTGTACACCGTGTGCAGTTTGATCCAACTTGAAAGATAGGATGGTTTTTATTTCGATTAATGGTCGCAATATTTATTAATTAACAATAAAATTATTTCTTATGTTGATTTTTGTTATTAATTGTAAGTTTCATAAGTCTAAAACAGATGGCGCATTAAATCAGTTTTTACAGACAATTGTAATACTGTCTGACATTAGTATCTCATAGATGGCGCTGTGTTAAAAATACCCACGGTTCACATTAATAATTAATAAAGCTACAATTTAATGGTATAAACACCACGTTGCTGAGGCTAAAGTATAAGTGAAACTTATTTCGCAGTAAACGCAATACAGTGAAATCTAATTGTTCTTACTTTGTCAATTTTTGGTATTAGCATAGCCGGCCGCGTGTTATTTAGAAACAAAAACATTAGTCACAGCCACATGTGGCCGGGTCTGCTAGTTGTATTATATAACTAGTAAAATATGCACTAGTAAAATAGGAACACGCTTAGCCGTGGTTGCTGAAGAAACTACTCGCGCGCCATCCAGTGTTGATTGTATTTGTAATTCTTTTTTCCTGAAGTGCGAATGTACATATTACACATCAATAAGTACAAACATTCAATAGAACGCTTTCTTTGGCTTAATGTGTACGTTAGTTTGTATGTAGCGAAATTTTTCAACGCCATTTTCAATCGATTTCGATACGTCCGATTAAAATGTCAATTAGCAAATGCTTTAAGTACCGATAACAATACAATAATGTTAAAACTTCGTTCTAATATAATAAACTAAATAATAATATAATAAAAAATAATAATAAAATAAAATAATATAATAAACCAAAAAAATAAATAATAATATAAACAGAATAAAAGAAGTGATGATTAAATTGATTATTTTGTTTGGATTTTCTAATGAAGTTTCTATTTTTTTTCTGCAGTTTATTTTATTATTATTTTTTATTGCCTTTGTAGGCAGACGAGCATACGGCCCACCTGATGGTAAGTGGTCACCGTCGCTCATGGACGTCAGCAATGCCAGGGGCAGAGCCAAGCCGCTGAAAGCCTTTTTTTATAATGTTGTTTATCCTGACGGTACGCGTGGTGTGCGGCAGGAGCTGGAGCTGTGCGACGTCCGCAGCCGGCGCAACTTCCAGCTGCAGTGGCGCCACCACTCGGTGCGCGCGCGCCTCGACCAGTGGACGCAGTTCGAGCTGGCGCCCGGCCGGTACCCGCCCTTCGCCTTCAGCCGCGTGCGCACCTACACGGCAGAGTCGCACGCGCCGCTGCTGCCCACGCACGCCTACACATAGGCCCTGAGAAACGCAGCGAGAGATGAGGTAAGCGCCGCTCTGTCGGACGGAGACACGGACGGCGACAGCGACTCGTCATAGCTCCGGGCACTCATCTTCCGGTGCGTTCCCTCCCCCCGCTCTCGTGGCGACCAACTAACTAGGCTCGTACTATATAATAGTTTACGAATGCTTTCCCGCGTTAATAAAGAATTGAAGCACTGCAAATCCGCAGCAAGTGTACAGTGAACGGTTTGCGTGTGTGTGTAATTAGGCAAGCGACAGTGACGTCACGATCCGAATGATTCTTAAAGAGATTGTTATAAGCGCGGAGCAGGAAGGATTTCGTACGTTAATCTGTTGTTACCTGTCTTTGTCACTCCTGTGTAAATATAACGAGTCTCGCTCGCACACATGCAATGACCGCCGTTCTCAGGGATTGTAAACCTTTTACCTGAGACTGTAAGGTTTGTTCTTGTTTGCGTGTTGACTCTGAGTAGTAAGGCAAGCAGTAATTCCGATACAGAGCAATCGGATTCTGATTTTTCAATTTTAATTTTTTTATTTCTGCCGATTTAGTGATTGTAACTCGATTTTTATAACTGTTATAATACAAAATCTAAATAAATAATTTATTATAATAACAATAATTTCAGTAATTTTTTTCTCCTTCAGACATTTTATGTAAACCGTACTTAATACAAAAATGTTTGTGACCACCCCCAGTAGATAAAGATGTCAATGTACAAAATTCTTCATGCTCCGCAACTAATTTTTTTTTTCTTTTTTTTTTTTATTCTTTTTTTAAATAATTGCCATTAAACCAGTCGATAATCTCTAAGTGATATATAAAAGTTTGTCACCATATTGTGTTAATTTGTGAGTTAGGGTGACCATGATCGCCCGAAAAAAACGTCTTCTATTCATAGACAAATTAACGTTTTGTGAGTAAGCATTATTTAAAATTGATTTGTTTGCTTTAAGACTTCCAGCTATTTTAACTCGGTCTGGAGGGTTTTCGTTTGATGGAGTCAAAATAAATTTTAAGATTATTCTATTTTTACGACGATTTTAGAATTCTGACACAGCACGGCCTATGTATGTATGTATTTAGTGGAAATTAGGGTGAATACAAAACCCAGTGTTTATTGTATAGGAAGCGCTTAAATTAAATTAAAATGTGTAAATAATGTATTATGAATTCCCAGTGAGCCCAAACTGGCCTCAACTGGTGGTAGGACCTCTTGTGAGTCCGCGCGGATAGATACCACCCTGCCTATTCCTGCCGTGAAGTAGTAATGCGTTTCGGTTTGAAGGGTGGGGCAGCCGTTGTAACTATACTGAGACCCTTAGAACTTATATCTCAAGATGGGTGGCGTATTTACGTTGCAGATGTCTATGGGCTCCAGTAACAACTTAACACCCGGTGGGCTGTGAGCTCGTCCACCCATCTAAGCAATAAAAAAAAAAAAAAAACTTTAAACTAAAACGCAACTTACCTTGTACTATGTTATAGAACACTATTCTTGTACATATTGTTATTATATTTATTATTTATGACATTACAAAGTACCTAATTTATTTCAAGAATATTTATTATGTGTATCATGAATTGTAGAGTATATTTTCAAAATGAAATAAAATTTGCATTTGCGACTGTTTAAGTATTTTTAATTGCAACGAAATGCTTATTACATCCTAAAAGTCAAACACTGGTCGGTATGAAAATTGTAACATGAATTTATTTTGTGCCTAGTCAGAGCGATAACGCCATTGCCTTTTTTGTGAAAAAGCGCCTCTATGTGCACAGCTGTCAACCAGGACTTTTTGGCGGGAACGCGAGGAGGACAGTTGTGTGATATGTTTTAATTTGTCTATTTAGTGTTTCTTTAGGTTTAAATGTGTAATAACTGTGGTTTATTAACTGTTTAGTATCTGTCAAAGTGCACAAATGTGGGAAAATTAAACAAGTCCGCTGAATGTAGCTTCTCGGGATCTTCCAAAAAGTCCATTGAAAATTTCTCAGTAAATAACCACCATTTTACTGAGATTGTATTTCATCCCATATCATCTCATCTCATTTAATTTCATGCCAGTTGATTAATGTTTCAAATTAATCAACTTCGTTTCATTTCACTCCATATTATCATTTTTACTAAAAAAGAATATAAACGATTAGGCTGTATGGTTTGATACCTTTACCTTTCCAGTTGACAAAGAACTACTACTGTCAACCTATCACCGCTGGACGTAGTTTCTTGGGATGTTATTCTTTCGTCATTATAGTCAACCAAACGGCTGGATTTACTACTGAGATGGTTTATAGGAGTTTCCTACGTAGTAGGGGAGCCGAAGCGGGGATTTCGGGATTTATTAAAGCGCGGCAAATTAATATACAGGGGGATAACTTGTACCCGGTTAAATACCTCCACCAAATATGAACCTCATAAATAAGGCCGCGCATCCAGGATAATGGATCAGATTAGTAAAAAAAGTTGATCATCAGAAATTCTCGAGCGCGTCAGATTAAGGTAGGGTGAGGTAATTACATGCTATAAAGTGTATATTCCAATAATTTGACAATTTGAGAGTGACGTAAGGAAAGGGGAGGACTACAAAGATGAAAAAAATAACGTTATCTGGACATTCTCGAGCGTGGCCCATTATTTTTTTTATTTTGAAGAAAATTGAAGGATAACGGAAAATTTAATATATAATCTGAGGATTTCCACGAGCTGGTACAACAAAAATTTGTTGATAAAATTGAATGCGTGCAGCAGCGTAATGTCCATGATGTTCCCCTCTCTGCGTTTTTTTTTGAACATGTTTTTTAAAATTGTTTTCTTGCAAATACAAGGATTTTACTTAAAAAACATAAACTTTTTATGTGCATGCTGTTTCCTAAGCTATAAATAAGTTCAATGATTTAAAAAAAATATTTTTTTTTTTGTTTTTTTGTCAGATTAGGCGAATCTCTCTAGATAATCGTCAGACGATGATACAGCACGTCTAGGACATAAAGATGACCCATATATATCTTAATCTGACGCGCTTGAGTATTTCAAAATGGCGAATTTTTTTGATTATATAATAATGATCGCGAGTTTGCGTCACATCGAAATCGTCAGATTATTGCATGAGAGCTTTATTTAAGGTTCACTTAAGACCCCTAAGAAAATCTGACGAGCTCGATTAATTTTTTTTTTTTTATTTTCAAACCTTACCTACGACCACACTCACCATTCAAACAATCAGATTAACACACATACATTATTAAAAATACGTAGGATATTTGCGCGCGTAGAGCTGTGGGCATTTCACATAAAAGTTCGCAAGCGAATCTGCAGTGTCTGGTCTGGTGAATTTACTTACATGTGGGGGCACGAGAGATGTTCACGTTACAATGCTCATAAAGTCGCTGTTATTAGGAAACACAACATAATTTTCTCGTAATTGTAGATTCCTCATTGCATATATATGAAATACTCTATTTTGCAGAAAATATGAACTTCTAACACCAGTGGTATCCTTGTTGTTAAACTCAAAAAATAATGCAATTGACTTCATCGCTGCAGGGCAAAAAACTACAGCGAAAACTGTGTGTAGCTAATAAAAAATTTAAAGAAAAAGGACATACCATCTCACTAAACAGACAGCTTGATATTTGGCTAGCAAAAAACTATCTTCGAGAAGCTTATGTGACACAATTTAAAGTATAGGATTTTTTTTTATAGTTAATCTTTTATGACAGAAATGAGTATAACTTTCTATTTTAACTATTGTATTCTGACAATCACTTATATTTCTAAGTTGTAGACGTAATTTGGTCAGTAGACTTTCAACAAAATATATACTGTTTTTAGTCAAGTTATTTGCATCTAGAAATTACATATTTGTAAATTTCTGATTTATTTACCTTTTGAAATATTTTAAGGATCGGCTCGACTATGACTAATTTGATTCGACTAGTCTTACTTATTAATGTGATGTGAAAATGTGAAATAATAATAACGATCTATGTGAAGTAAAAACATTCATTAATAATAATAATCTTTATTTTCATAATAACATATTTTACAATTTCAAAAAGATATCCATAATGACTATGCCTACGTTTGGTAATACATTGTGAATATTTACTATTTATACAAGTGACCAGCTGCTAGCGTTATGTGGACAGTGTCCTTAAATGCCGTCTTAATCTAGTGAGAAAAAAAAATCTAGAACCGCACTGGCTAATGTTAACAGTCATCACGACTTAGAAAGATTCCAGTTAAGATAAAAAACTTCCAAAATTGAATCACTGTTGTAAACACGTGATTGTTGACATTGAGTTTTGTAAATGTCAAGTGTCAGTTGATGTTAATGTCATATTATCTTTTTGACATTAGGGAATTTATTGTAGAATGAAACATTATTTATGTAATGCATAATATAGCTCTAAATGTATTTTCTGATTATTGTATGCGTTTGTTTACAAAGTACATAATAAATATTTATTTAATTATTTTTGGTGCTAACACTAAAACTAATATATAAATTACAATTTTTTTTTTAATAAAACTTCCGTACCGATTCACATTACTGTATTTAACAATATCTATGTATGTTTAAAACTGCACATTGTTTATACAAAAATTTGCTTACTAAAAATCTAGATGTCACTATAAAATCGAGGTTTCAGAGCCTTTGAGAACACAATTAGATCATTCACTCTAATGTTCCAGGGCGACATAATAATAGTAATATATTGTTATAAAAAGGGATGATTAAAGTTAAGCGAATTACATATTGATCTAAATGAACCAGTGAACTATATTATAGATTTGATGTTCCTTGTATTCTGTAACTAGTCCGAAGATGTCTTAAAGACACTGATTGATTTGTAGGTAAGAATGAAGATAGGTTATCCCGACATCAGAAGCACAAGTTGGATCATTCTGTTTTTCTTATATCGCCTCTATATGTACTGTGGTATGTTTTATTTTTCTGGAAGTTTTGACTCGTGTTCTTCAGATCAATGTAATATTCTTTGAAGAATGTTTGTCATTAAATCGTATCCCATGTATCAGCAGTACGACTTTCAAACGGTAAAAATACAATTATAGATGCCGTACCTTATGTTTTTAATGTCGAGTTATGTAAATTAGAATTAAGCATGGGAAAGCGTATAATAAATAATAAAAAATCAATTTGCGTTTCATTGTCTGTTCAACTGTGAATTTTGGGATTGTTTGGCAGTATGGTCGTGAGATAGTATGGTTCTACTGAAGTTGAGTATCCCGTTTGGAGGAGAGAAACTAAAATCGGTCAAGCAATGAAGTAACCAGTTACTTTTGCTTATTGTTGGTAAAGTTATGACGATTTGAAAGTGCCTACAAAGGCCTACCTGAATGAAAAACAATTTTGATGACCAATATGCGTTGCGATGCGTTTATGAGTTTTAATCTTTTAATTACTTAATAGATACCGATTTAAAATGATTCCCGAAGAAAACGAACTATTCAGCAGATAGCTCCGCATATGCAGATAAAACACTAAAGCAAAGTAAATTAAAAATGATGTCACACTAACGTGAGTTTTTTGAACGAGTATTTACTATTTTTGTTTTTCATTTTTAATAAGTTTAAATCTAACAATTAATGATCTATGTCGTCACCATTACGAACGCTCATTCGAACTATATAGACTGGCGGGTCTTTGCCGCGGTAAAAAAGAATAAACGAAAAGTACCGAATACGTATAAGTTCAGTGTTTATTTTTTTACACGAGAAAGTTTAGACAAAAAAAAATAAAACAACGACTATGACTATAAATTTATTATTTTATTATAAGTAATTTGTAGTAATAATAGCATTTTGTAGTTAAATGTATGTACAGTGCACGCGGTTCGTCCGTTCGTTCGGACAGCGAGCGGCGGGGCGCGCGCCGGCCTTGAGCCCGAGGCGGGCGCGGCCCTCAGATGAGCCGCTCGCTCAGCCAGATTCAGGAGTCGGGCGGCGGCGGTGCAGGCGGGCGGGCGCGCGGCGGCATCGCCGGCTCCGTGTTGCGACGCCGCACCGCCGCACGCTTCTTCAGCATCGTGGCCTGCGGAAGGGGCGCGGCTCGCTAGCGGGGCGGGGCGCGGGCGTCACGGGGCCGCCGAGCCCGCGCCGCCCGACCCGCGCTTCGTTTTCTTCAGCATCGTGGCCTGCCACACCACACACACTCAGCGGCGCCCGCGCACCCGCACCCCACCCCAACCCACCTCCGCCCTACCCTCATTCCGAAACTAGTAGAAACGTGCCGATGCCGAGTGGAAAGATCGAGCCACGAAAGCATAACCTTTGAATTCGCCTATTTAGTCTAATCTTGTAACAATTAGATAACCGTAGTTATCATAAACTGCCGAATACAATATTCTTTTTCTCGAAAACAAAACTATAGATGATACAACATGAAATTATTAAATAAGAAAAAAGGTTGCTATTTAATGTCGTTACTTAAACGCACTTTGAAATAGCGATGTGGCGAATTCAAGGGTTAAGGCCGGCCGCACATTGCAAGAAATTGCCTGTTTTTTTTTTATCAAGACCTTTCACACCTCGCACTTTGTTAGGAATTTCTAACGAACCGACCAGTGTTGCCGACTCTTCAAGTAGTAAAATATGAAATATATAGAACGCCATATGCATTCAAATGCACCTAAAATTTCTAGATTGAATCGCCTTTTACGAAGGAAATATGTTCTTATCTCTCAGTAACTTCGAACTGCAATGTTTTAGAATTTGTATTCTCACTACAGCATGTGTAGTATGTATTATTTTTAGAATTATGTCTGATTGCATCCATCATGCAAATAGTATTTTTGCCGCATTTTAGATTATATTTTTAATTTTACGTTTATGCAAGAAAAGGTCTGGATTGAGATACTCTATTTTGAGTATAACTTCTCATTTACTACAAACACTATTTGTTACAAATTAATATTCAGTGTTAAACATAATATTTGTACTATAACATATTAAAAGAAAGGTCGAAATGATCAGGCTTAATTTTAAAGTCACTTCAGTCAGTTGGCAACACTAGATCCGCTAGTCATTTTACTAATAAAATTATCTGAATACAATTCGATTGACCGTATTTAAGTAAAAGGGAATTTATTAACTACCAAATTAATAATTTATTAATAACCAAGAGTAAATTATTTATCCCCCCTTTATTATTTTTTTCGTTATTTTTACTTGAAGTATTTTTCCAGCAATAACTCGTTTAACAAAAATGTCCAGATTATTTTCTTCTCATCTGACAACCCTAATTAGTCTTCTAATTTTTTGGTGCGAAAGATCTATTTAAATATGATTAAGAGCGGGTCTTCGAATTATTTTAAAATTCCGACAACGACTTTTAGTAAAAGACCTTACGCTGCTTGCCAAAATTTTTGCTAGTTTTGGGAATGTGCTGCCGGGCTAATAGTTTGAAAGCGTACGAATGGCGTCGACCGCGTTGACCCGAGGGAAGTGACGACCCTGCGGTGGGGTTGAGCGTGTCGTGCGCCGGGTTCCGTGGACCGGTGGCGGACTGAAGTCGTACTACGGAACCCTAGGCGTTCAGTAGGACGACCTCATGCGTACTAATGGTTTACTGGTGCTGAGTGGAGTTTGAGTGCTCGGGCGTTCGGTGAGATTGGGATAAAAAAAATTAAAGTAATTAAAAAAATAAATGAAGTCTCTCGCCTGTGCTGGCATTAAAATCATCCTATCAAGCCAATTTATATTTTACAAAAATTTTTTTTCAATTTTGCTGCGTTTGCGTGGTTTTTCAAACAAGCAATTAATCATTAAATTGTTTTCAGAACGTAACGGACTGACTTAATGATATTATGTAAACGCATACCGATCAAAAGTAATTTGGGTTCTAATAAATAATATAATAAATAAATATCGGCAAGCGAAAACATGCATTATTGTTGCGAGATAAACTAGAGTAGGTATGCTCCGCGAGTCGTTGCAAGTATCTAAATAAATAAAATAAAAAAAATCTAAATTCGTGTAGTGGTTTGTTTCTTCGTCTGTCGTCTTCTTCTGTTTATCCGGACTACATTAAAATTTGGACATGACTTTTTTGGGGCAGATACAGAAGTTTTCACAGATATTATAATATTATCTACTAATAGCTTAGCGGGGAATTAATAATCAAATTCAATACTGTTGACTTTAGACTGATTGGTTTGAAAGGAAGGATTACTGGAGGCCCTGTGACCTTCCAGTTTCACCAGAACAAGTGGGAGAGCAAAGGCTCAGCCAGGAGGGAAGGGATTTGCTAGTAGCTGAGAACCGCCTCCAGAGGAGACCTAATAACTCAAGAGCAGCTGTTTCGCGAATGACTGAATTAGACCTCATTGCGAAACTTAGGTAACAACTCGCAGGAGCATACGGTACTGGATAATCTAGACTGAGATGGATACCTTTAAAGCTGACTTGAGGACCACTACTTCGCTAGGCGCTGCCACCCACGGTTCGCCATCCACCTGCACCGGAATCTCGCTTTTGAGGTTGATTTTTATGTGTCCGCCCTGTAATGGTTTCGTTAATAAGCAATTTGGTTGACACTAAACAGCGCTAGAAAAGTAACGGATTTATAGATGAAAATAGCGGGCCTTGCTGTGTCAGACTCAGGCGCCTTCAAATAACTAGAGGGGACCAAATGATACACACATACCTTTTTTTAGCGTTGTGTAATCCATTTACGGAGACCCGGTCGAGGGGGGTAACGGACCGGGTTATGTCGGACTCCGGCGCCTCCTGAGAGGAAGAAGGGCACGCTGGTACATACCTGCGCTATCCGCATCGCCCCGCGTAGACCGGATTGGATCTGTCCAAGGTGCACTACCCCGGTGACGCCGACCACTTCGAGCATGCCGTCCCAGTGGTTCGGCTTGTTGAACTGGTCGTCCTTCTCCGGACCCCACGGGTTTGCGCCAGAACCCCAACTGCACCAGACATTTTTCCAAATGTAATTTCATAAAATAGGTTCCTTAACGTTTCCTTATACCACACCGCGCCTTTTAGTGTATCCGACATCGGCTTAAGAATGTGTAGATTCAAAATCGTACAAAGTAGTTAAAAGTACTTTACGAATTACGATGTTTCAAATGCTTTACAGTTTTCATGGTCACGATCACGTCGGAAATAAAATAATGACAGTAAAAAACCCGAAATCAAATCGTAAAAGTAATTTAATGACGTCTACGATTAGACCTGAAGGAAACATCAAACGCCTATCAATCCTGTAGCGAAGTCATCAATTAGTATCTGCTTGATTATACCTATGTGTTACTATGTGAACTTTCCAGGTGTAACGTTGAGGAGATTAGTTCCAACCATCTAATCAATCTGCGACTGGCCCAAATACTTTTGTAACCGTTCTTCAATTGACTTTTGCCTTGAGTCTACATTTAACCAAGTGCTTGATTACCTTGATCATTGCGCACGTATTTTCTTGTCATGTGGCCGATTTTCCATTTAAAGCAGAATGCATAGTTCCGAATTATGCATTGACTACACGGTGAACATTCATGTCTGGGCTCTTATTCATCTTACCAACAGTACTTGGTGTAGATAGACAGAAAGGATATACGTGATATACTTATGTGGTTGCCAAATCCCCACCAAGACGTTTCTACGAATTGTATTTCAAGATGTACGATAAAAAGCATCAGCCAACCAAATCCATTTTTTTTCCATAATAGCGATTTACCTAAGTATGTTAAGTATGATGATTCCCTCGACAGCTGGCAGTTCCACAGGTCGACCGTCCACTTCAAGTTTGACCGCCTTGTGCAGATCTTTGCACATCTTACGACCCACCATCTTACGCAAGCCCATCTTCACGTAAACACCTTTGTTTCTCAGCCTGAAATATTAATGTCTCTTTATTCATAGTTACGGCGTGACGGTATAATTAAAATTAGTCAATTCGGCCAACCGTTTTCTAGAATAAAAATAACTCGAAAGATAATCCTTTGGCGTATTTACGGACCTTCTAGAACATAATGGCTTACTTCCTCTAAATCAGTGGCGGATTAAAGGTCCAGAGTGCTCTAGACAATCACTTTATCGGCGCCCCTGTACCGGCCATAAATGGCCATCATAATACTATAAATTTTAACTAGTTGTTTTTGCCATTACGATGACATTGTACCATCAAACCCTAAACTTTAGTAGACCAGGACCCTTGTACTTACGCTAATGCGCGAATGAAATATGAAGTTATAACTGTGAAGAAATCAAGAGGGACGACAGAACGAACATCGAAATTCATGATACCTCTCTGCTCTGGGAAATAGGCCAAATAGGAATAATCTATTATAGATTTAGATTATAAATCAGTATTTAGTTTTTAATCGTCGATATGTTATTTTCTTTATTTATTTAAAAATTCTGATTTCCGCCCCTTGTAACTACACGCCCCCAAGCACGTGCCTAGTTTGCCTTACGGATAATCCGCCTCTGCTCTAAACACTTGAATCGACTTACCTGCTGTTGAACTTGTTCGGGTTTTCCTCACGTGCGTTATGGAAATCGAGACATAAGTCTGCATCGATGCCTATCCCGAAATAGTTGTTCATTACCAGGATCTGCGAGTTGTCCTCGCTCTGAGATCCTGTGGTCACAGATGCTGCAATGTTATGATGTAATCATTCGATACGTGGCTTATTATAGTTTAGGTACACGAAGGACTTATATATAGAATACAAGTGGAAGGGGGGTAACATTTTGTTAAATCCAAGAATAGTTTGTCTATAGGTTTTCAAATTACTTTTTGTATCATATATTATTATTTGGTCTAGTTCAGTTTAGATCTCAGGAGATTAGTACTTATTGTTAGTAGGATAAATAATATACAAATATTTTATTTTAATATTGCTTAGATGGATGGAGGAGCGCAGGGTTCACCTGGTTTTAACCACGTTAATGCCGTCACCCACCTTGAGACATGAGCTCTAAATCTCAGTTTTAAAGCACTAAGGCTGCCCCATCCTTCAAACAGACGTATTACTGTTTCACGGCAGAAATAGGCAGGGCGGTTGTACCTACCCGTGCGGGTTCAGAAGACGTCTCACCACCAGTAATTACGAAAACTGTAATTTTTACGGGTTTTATTTATAATACACGATGCTATTTAAGTCATAAAATCTACAGTAGGTACCTACTTGCTTTAAATTACTTTTCGGCCTTTCAAATCATGACTTCCCGCATTGAAGACACTTAATTTGATGCATGATGAGGCCTGCACTTACCAGGAAGCTGTTTGGATAGTTCTTTTGGTTCGTCTTGCTTATCCTCGGGATGGAAGACGACGGTCCAGCGATCGAGACGGATCTCTTCGGCATCAATAACATCACGCAACAAGGATAGAGGATCTTCGCAGCCTGTGTACCCGGAGCCCCATCGTAAAACACGAGCTAGGTCATTACCTGAGAGAAAAAATGCGGTTTACACCAGCGCCGTCTTAACACTAAGGAATTGAGTCAAAAAATGTTGTAAATGCGAGGTGACCTAATGGCCTTAGCATTTAATTGGTTTTAGGAAATTCTACCGAAGCAGCCATGGTTTAAAGGGTGGGTGGAACAGCTCTGTCAATAATACAACTGACTCAGGATTTAAAGTTCACGCATCAATGCAAGAAAGCTGTGTGATTTTGTTTAATATAGATAATAATATATAAAAATGAATTGCTGTTCGTTAGTCTCGCTAAAACTCGAGAACGGCTGGACCGATTTGGCTAATTTTGGTCTTGAATTATTTGTGGAAGCCCAGAGAAGGTTTAAAAGGTAGATAAAAATGCCTGGAAGTAAATAAAAATAACAGTTTTGTTTTTCCTTTGATGTGTCCCCCGTCGGACGAATTCCTTTTGTTTGTTTTAAGTTTATTTTATACAAAAGTTTAGGTCTTTTGTTTATCGATTGAGGCAATACGAAGTCTGCCGGGTCAGGTAGTAGATAATAAAAATCTTGACAATTGGTCGAGTGATAACTGATAACTGAATCGAAGGATTTTGTACTTGTATTTGTCTTGTGTGTGTGTTTCCAGTGCCAATACATTCCAAAATCCTCGAGATCGTTGATTGGAGGGATTTTAATTTATCATCATCGTTATCATCATCAGCCTATAGTAGTCCACTGTTGGACATAGGCCTCTCCAATTGCTCGCCACTGAGCACGATCCTCGGATTCTCTCATCCAGCTTTTGCCAGCTTTTTATTTTTATTATATCTATATCTATACTAATATATAAATCTACAGTGGTTTTTACGGATGTTCCGTTATAACTACTGAACCATGAATCCGATTGACTTGAAACTTGGTATCTATGTAGAAAATACATGTACTTAATGGATAGGCTAATATTTATATGAGTGTTGGGACTCTCTACACCAATTGCGGGGGCGTTAATGATGAGAATCTTTGTGGGGTTGAGAAATAATAATGTTAATTTTAAATGCCCAGCGAAGCGGACGGGTACAGCTAGTCATTTATGAATTGATCGCAAATTACCGGTGCCAAGTGGAACAATAGCGCATGGTGGATTTGAACACTGCGAGTCCTGGCCGACATTGTCGAGGCACTGCAGCACCCAGCCTATGGTGCCATCACCGCCGCACACCAGGATCTTGTAGTTGGGAATGTGACGAAACACGTACAGCCTGATAAACGGATTTTATAAATTTAATGGTAAATAAAAAAAAAAAATTGTGAATAGTTACAATTTGCGTAATTACTGGTGGTAGGACCGCTCTTGTGAGTCCGCGCGGGTAGGTACCACTACCCTGCCTATTTCTGCCGTGAAGCAGTAATGCGTTTCGGTTTGAAGGGCGGGGCAGTCGTAGCTATACTGAAACCTTAGAACTGATATCTCAAGGTGGTTGGCGCATTTACGTCGTAGATGTCTATGGGCTACAGTAACCACTTAACACCAGGTGGGCTGTAAACTCATCCACCTATCTAAGCAATAAAAAAAGTTATTATAATGAAGTAAACTGATATTATTGAGACAAAAATCAACGAAAATTAATTAAAATATAGTTACGGTCATGTATGATTTATGTAGTTTGATTAATGTAATGAGGAACTAGATATCTTTCAACTTACCCAGGCAAAGGACCTCCATTTTCAAGGTCGAACACCTGGTAAGGGTTGAGGAGTTTCCTAAAGGAGGAGATGAGCTCCAAGCCCTGACATCCGCCCGACTTGACGTTGACAAAGACCAGCAGGGGTTTCACGCCTTCTGGCACCATCGTGGGCTCGATGCTGGGCAGGAGCATAACTGGGAAACGACACGTTTGTTCAGATGCTTGAATAAGTTTATTTGGTTTCAATGTTTTTTTGGAGACTTTTCTTGGAAATATATTCTTGGATTTCTTTTTAGACGCACGGTGACCGGTGTTTGAAGAGTCCGGGGGATCCGACAAGACATGTTTTGGGCGACGGCGGCTTTTGCTTTGCCTCGTCGCCTGCGTCTATTTATATCCAACTGTCACCCTTGCCACTGACGTTAAATAGATCAGTAGGTAGATTGTTATTCGTGAACACTCACGTAGGAGAAGATGTTTTCGCACAAATTATCATGAAAATATAAAGAAATAATATAAATTTAATGCACAATATAGTACAAATTAGTGAACGTAATTCAATAGTGCATTCTCTACGAGTTAACCATTGGGTTGTAAATTAGAAATGTATGGGGCAACGAAGATAGGAACAATAGAAATGAGGCGATTATAAAAAAGTTCTTACCTAATAAATGCTTATCTTCATATTTGGCCTCTCTGAGAGCGTACAACGCGCGCACCGCCTTGCTCGCGTCCTCATACGTTATCACCATCGAACCGTATTCGTAATAGATCGGCCCGATCGATGTAAACTTATTTTCTGTTAAAAAAAATAATCCAAATTTTCGAGTTATCGTCAATTTCGTTTTCGAGTTAATCCGACGTTTTGAAGGGAGTCAAAAATCAAAATCATGTTCAAAGATTCCGTTACAAACATACATACATACGTTTGAAGCTAATGAAAGCGTATTAAAAAATGTATTTTCTCATACTCAGTTCAATTTTAATAAAAATTGCATAAGTTTTTTTTTCTTTTTTCTTTTTCCGACCTATGCTGATAGCCTTGAGAGGCTATATTAGTTTCGCCCTAACGTGTAGGTGAGCTCACGGGGCTCAAGCTGGAGTGTTGCTAACACTGGTCCTAGCAAGAGCAGTGCTTCGCAGAATCTACCACCGGATCGGAAACGCCACCCACTGCGAAGATCCGGCGAGAAACTCAGTGGGCAAATGGATAAGTGACTTTATAGCACCGTATGTTTTTTTATTTTATGATTGAAGGTTTACTGGTGGCGCGGAGGCCTTTCCCGTTTCACCAGGATAGGTGGGCGAGCAAAGGCTCAGCCAGAAGGGATGAGATTTGCTAACAGCTGCCCGAGCGCCTCCGAAGGAGACCTAACATCTCAAGAGCAGCTGCTTCGCGAATAAATCTACTACCGGATCGGAATCGCGACCCGCTGAGAAGATCCGGCGAGAAACTCAGCGACCTGATGCATGGGTTAGGTTGCACGTCGACCCCTTTGTCGAGTTCGACGAGTACGGTTACCGGAGTTCCTCAGCCTGCTCCTAGTGATAGAGCTGAAGGTATCTAATGCAAGAGTTATTGGATCTGATGGATCCGTCAGGATGTGTACCGTATGTGCGATATAGTCTGTTCGTGCTTACCTGTGCCTAGGAATTCGACTAAGATGTTCTCGTAGTTGCGCTCGGAGAGGCCGGGAGGCAGCGAGGCCACGAAGAGCGCGAGGGTGGGGCCGTGCGGGTCGCGGCGCGGCTGCAGGTAGAACCGCGCGAGCTCCATGCGCCGCACCGACTCGCGCGCCAGCCGGACCACGATGCGCCACGGACGCTCCTCCTCTTCCAGAACGCGCTCCGATACTGTCGTCATGCAACGTTTGAAGGCACCATTAGTTTCATGGCGTTCGTTAAAAGTTCTTTAATAGGAATTTTTGGAACGAAGTTCCTTATGTGACGATGCGGAGGGGTACCCTTACCGGGAAAAAACGTCCGTAACGTAAGATTCTTATTAGTAATGCACACAGTGTACGACTCAACTTTGTAATAACGTACAAATTAGTAATGCACACACTGTACGACTTAACTTTGTAATTATTATTATTATTATTATTAATACTTTATTTCAGTTTTTTTTTAAAACCATAACATTTTGTTAGTAGTAATTACTTATATCTATGTTAGTGACTTAAAAAATGTACAAAAAATAACATAATATTTTTTTATCATTCATTGACCACGATCTCAGAGCGTTCGTTTGCGCAATACACTAACTCTTATGCAAACAACCGTGAATGAAATGTACCACAATAAGTTCGCACGTTATCGAATGACCGTGGGTTGTTGCGAAACCTCCAGTTTTATTTTCTTTATACCTCGAATAGAACTTTAAATTAATATTTTTTTAATAAGGAACTTCGTTCTTATCCGGTTTCCCACGACACCACACATCTTTTTTTAGTGCTTAGATGGGTGAACGAGCTCACAGCCTAACTAGTGTTAAGTTGTTACTGGAGCCCATAGATGTCTGCAACGTAAATGCCGCCACCCACCTTGAGATATGAGTTCTAAGGTCTCAGTTACAACGGCTGCTCCACCCTTCAAACCGAAACGCATTACTGCTTCACGGCAGAAATAGGCGGGGTGGTGGTAGTACGAGTACCTATCCGTACGGACTCACAAGACATTTTGGTCACGATTTATGGTCTGATAAGCTTTAATTCCAAAGGAGCAGGTTAGCGGCAGAAATAGCCTAGACGACGTTACCGACCCGTTTAGACTACTAGTATTTTTTTTTGTAAAAAGCTTGACTTTGATGTATTTGATTCAAAATATTTTATCTTAAGCTAGATTCACTTTGGTCTTGTATGAAGACTGAAGTGTATACAGAAAGTTTTTCTCGAGTATGGACAGATAAGAATAACATGACTGTATATTCTGCGTTTACAAAACAGTAAACGAATTTCGGTATCAGAAAGACAATATGCGCCTCATAATATCTTCTTGATAATAATTGGTGTGACTTTTATGAGCTGAAGGCAATTGTGTATATGGAGCACTACGTTACAGCCTACGTTAACCTTGTGCGGATTTTTTTTAATTGCTTAGATGTGTGGACGAGCTCACAGCCCACCTGCTGTTAAGTGGTTACTGGAGCCCATAGACATCTACAACGTAAATGCGCCACCCACCTTGAGATATAAGTTCTAAAGTCTCAAGTATAGTTACAAAGGCTGCCCCACCCTTCAAACCGAAACGCATTACTGCTTCACGACAGAAGTAGGCAGGGTGGTGGATCGTTCTAGTGAATCAAATGTAAATCAGTTTTTAATATAAATAAAATTGTTAATAAAAATATTAATGCTACAAATATAAACTTTAAATATATAAAAATAACACGAACAGTTGCAGTTCTCACCGCCGCGATCGAGCAGTATCTCGGAACAGCGGTAGTCGGAGGCGGTGCATGGGTTGAGGCCGAAGCGCTCCAGAGCTGCCGCCATGAGGTCGGAGACGGTGTCGTCTCCGCAGCACGGCACCGTCACGAAGGTCTCGCCAGCGCCCGCGATGCGGCCCGGGTACACGCGTACTTCGCCACCGCCGAACTCCGACTCCCTGAGAGACCGTATTCATTGAATATCTGTGTGGTCATCTCTTTCAGGCTTCCTCCTACATTTTTTTTATTGCTTAGATGGGTGGACGAGCTCACAATCCACCTGGTGTTAAGTGGCTACTGGAGCCCGTAGACATCTACAATGTAAATGCGCCACCCACCTTGAGATATAAGTTCTAAGGTCTCAGTATAGTTACAACGGCTGCCCCACCCTTCAAACCGAAACGCATTACTGCTTCTCGGCAGAAATAGGCAGGGCGGTGGTACCTACCCGTGCGAACTCACAAGAGGTCCTACCACCAGTACCTACATTCGATCGAATTGTAAACTCGACTTGTACTATCATGCATTTTGTTTGGTAGTCATAGAGTGTATAATCGTAGCGATGGGTGGCATCTTGACTAGAAATGTCTCTTATCAAATATATAGTTAGCAAATATACTCATTGTATTCTAAGATAATTAAATAATTGCGTGGTCTTTGATGGAAGAATTTTGTAAAAATCTACACAGAGAATAACGCTAAGTTTGAATTGCACCTTTTCATCTTAACTGTTTACCGTCACTTATATAGACTGATCAAATCTGAGAAGAACTGGCAAGAAACGCAGCGGGCATGTCTTTTTTTTTTAATATTAATTTTCTTTTAAATATTAATTTTTACAAGAGGTACTATAATATGTTACAATTATTGCAATATTGAAATGCCCGGAGCGAGCAACTCATTCCCACTTACTGCTCAGTATTATTTGGAACCTCATGCGAAGAAAGGTATGCTATAGCATCGCTCGCTATAGTGCTCAGGAAACACCATGGTGAACTGGGGTCATTTAAAAACCTAATGTTACGCGGTAAATGCTATCACCAGAAATTAGATTGAGTTTGCGTTCATTCGAGTAGAATTCTACTTTGGTAATTAATAACTTGAGCTTCTATTCAAGGTAGTTTAGCTGCCGAGTTACTTACTTGAAGCAAACTTGAAAGGCTTCAGGGCCACCAGTAATCCTTCAATCATAAAAAAAACTTACTTGAAGCGTAAGAATAGCGCGGGTCGTTTGTTTGGAAGCCTGGTGACATGGGCGAGTGGCGTTGGATCTTTAAGCGGTGGTTCGTCGCCAGCCAGCGCGTCCGTCAGCTCGAACTGGTCAGGGTTGCGAGCCACGTGGAACGCCCTCAGGGCGGCCGACACGAGCTCACGTTCATTCCAGTTCCTGCCCACGACCACTGGGCGGTAGAGGCGACGTGACCACGCCGCTTCGCCATCATACACCTTAACTACTTCTGTAAACGAAAGGTAATAAGTTCAGAAGGTGATCTCCTTTCTCTTTTTTCTTTCTTCCATATCTCAATAAAAGGTTTTAAGGATGTCATCACCAATTAGACGACGACTTTGTTGTTAACGTTTTCCAAGAAAAAGGGAAGGGCTTACGCTGAGCCCTTGTCTTTGTTCGGTGGACGATCCAAATGATGTAGTTCTGAACTTGTTATAACTACTATTCTTCACGGCCATAATGAAAATCTACAAATCAAAATACGACTTTAACCGGCTCAAACCTTAATTAGTTTAAATAAAATATTTTTCGTGTATCTCAGGAATGTGGACAAGATAGGACTATTATAACAAATTACATTATTATTTTAGCAACGTTTATTTTTTTGATTCCGGAAACAAAGCCAACACGACACATAAAATTGCTAATTGCGTGACAAAGGTTAGCCCACTATTGAAACTTTGGCTAATGGCTAACCTTTGTCACGCAATTAGCAATTTTATGTGTCGTGTTGGCTTTGTTTCCGGAATCAAAAAAATAGTAATTAAATAATTTAGTGGCTTTGTAGATTTGTATTAGTCTCTGATGTCTGAGACAATTGTGCAGTGTACGATAGAGATTATTTAAATTCATATTATGGTAAATATGGTAGTTTGGACAATTGTTGTTTTTTGTATTGTAGGTTATCAATTATGTGTAATTTTCAGATGCCTGATGAAGGTCTAATAAAAGACCGAAACGTTGCTAAAATAATAATGTAATTTGTTATAATAGTCCTATCTTGTCCACATTCCTGAGATACACGAAAAATATTTTATAATAATTATGGACGACAATATTGATAATATTAGTTTAAATGTTGTTACGACTGAGTATCGAAAATATTTTGTGTTGTTTTTGTTATGTGATTCCTTGAGTTTACTTTGTAATTTTATTATAATCGTCCTGATATACCAAGGTACCAAGACAGGTGACGTATGACATCTTGTTTGACATCCTGCTCGCACAATATTAAGTAATATCAGTCTGCAACATGCTGTACCAACCACGGCTTGTTTGATGACGGACAATAGTTATAAGAAGTCGCTTATAAAACAAAATGGTGATGGTCACCTTCATCTCTGTCATCTGGTGTTCGATCACGGTGTTGCTTGTGGTCCGGCCGATGTTCCTGGTCGGCAGGCGCGCCAGTGGAGCCCCCACCGGAGCCCGAACGTCCCTCGCAGCCCGAGCTGAACTCCTCGCTGACGCTGCGCGCTGCAACACCCCACATCGCTCACATACACCCCGCTACCCCGGGGAGTACCAGTCATCCCAAGCTCTTGAATCTCGTTGTCAAATAATATTTGGTTGGATCTATTTTGGGGTACTTATACTCCCGCGTTTATTAGGGTAGCTATAAGCCTTTAAGCTTATTAATATTGCGTTTAAAGACTTCCAAGTCTAAATGGAAATCTTCTACGATTTTATTGTGAGTCGCATTAATCTCTCCTTATTTATATTCAATTGTTTAAACACATTTAGTATAGTATTCCGCTAGACAAAGTTTTGTTTGTCAAACATTAATAAATCGTTTGTCTTTTGGAGTATCGCAAGTGAATAATAAAGTTCAATAGATATTTCATTTTATCTATATAACACAAGAGATATTGTCGACACACACAACTTTGTCTTACGTTCACTTTAATCTACTGTTATCTAATAGAATCGAAGGACTGACATCTGTTTGAATAATAACATCATCATAAATCATTAACATTATAATCGTGCTTAAGATTTTGAAGGGAACTCTCAAAACAAAAGACGAACACGAAAAAATCTGCTGACTCCTTGAAAATATCAGTCAAAGCTGTCGCTTAAGTTCGAAAATGATGATTGTAACATTCGGTCCTTCGATGGAAATGCACACGTCGACCGATGCCTTAACTACACACTTCAAACATCCGATATAGTTAACTCCAGCTAAAACCTAAAACTTAAAGCTCCAGTTGGGACAACCTGATCAAAGCTCGCAGCATATATACATATAGCGTATGGAGATATTATGTTCGTCACGACAGTACCTATATGTATGTTACCTTTGTGCCGTTGGAATACTGCATCATGAGTACTCTTGGGCGGTACGCCATACATTGGCTTGTGTTTGGTCAGTTCCAGTCGATTTAGCTCAATGTGAAAAGTGTGAAGAAATATATCAATTCATCAAACTACAAGAGATTTTCTTTCATGTTTACGTAACAGAAGAGAATTGTTTACGTTAATTTCGTGATATTTATGTGACTCGTCACTAAACCGGCGGTTGCTAAGAACAGAGTTATGAATATTATGAGAAATTATTAATCGGGAAGTAGACAGTTGTATTATTTTTTAGATTTTTAAGAAAGTATTCTTGCAGTTTCATGAATCGTTTTGAAAGAAATGTATTTCGTTAGTGTAGCTCTATAAAATGAACGGTTATAGTGCAATAGTTATAGGTAGTCTCGTTGTAAAAATATATATTCAGAAAATACATACATAGTTATGTCATGCAAATAGTGTATGTATCGGATAGAAATTAGAAAGAAGAATCATCATCACATCAGTCAGTTATGATTTGGCAGAATTATTGTTGATGGTGTTTCGCGATCGAGAAAAATATATATGAAGCAAACAGATAAAGCATCGAAATGTTTTATTCTGCCGAACTACATTAAATTGTGTCGACAACTGCGAATCGCACCTAAGTCAGTTGGCAGAGGATTGGTAGTGACGAGAGATCGGGCGGTCGATAGTGCAGTTCGGCAAAACGGAGCGGCAGGCGATCGTGCATGGCGAGGGCAGGGTGTCGGTGAGGAGGGTGCGCGTTACCTCGGGAGTAGGGGGGCGAGGCGCCACCGTGCGGAGTGCAGGCGGCGGGCAGCAGGCGCCGCGCCAGCGTGACCAGCCGCGCCGGGCCCCAGCCGCCCGCTGCGCCGCGCGCTGCCCCAACACACACGCTCACGCTCCGCCGCCGCACGCTTTATCCCGCACACGTGCGCATGTGCCAAGCGATTCGCTCTACCCCAACTCTATACTACCGCTCCCTACTCGCTATGATGCGATACTCTACGCGGACATGATCGACAAGGTACAGAACGAGAACGACACGAGATACAGCCACGCACGATCCGCCACCGCGGCGCTATCCTGCTTCGTTACGTCACTCCGCAGTGAGGGCGTGTCGCCGCCGTCGCGCTTCTCTGTGCTAAATCCAAAATGTGCAACCGGGGCCTTTTGGTGCGGCTGTCATATCGAGACCGTGTGTGGCTTGGTCGAGCAATCGTAATAGATCGAGACCTACGATGCAAGCTAACCTAGGAATGAAGCCGGCTGCGAATTGCGAGGCACATGTCGAAGGAAGAAAGCGATGCGGCGCGGACGGTACCGCAACGCTGTGAAGCAGACACTTACGGCAGCCGAAGTCTCTCTGCGAGGGCGGGGGGCGCACGTGTACCCCGATGATGGCCTCCATTGGCACCTCGGTGCGCGGGATGGATACTGCCGATGGAGGCAGGAAAATTGGTTGAAGCATGCCGAAGTTGCATTCTTCCAAGATGAGCGCCCGACATCCCGCGTGACACTATAACCGAAGAATTAGACTTAGGTCTATTTCACTGAAACTAGTCGTAATTGTGTTGTGTGAGTGTTGAGATAGAAGGGATGTACGTACTGTGGTACCGCACCACTCGCAGCGGTAGCCGGTGAGGCACTCGGTGGAGCAGCAGGCGCGGCGGCACGCGGCACACTTGGAGTTGGCCGGCAGGTTGCCCTCGCGCCAGTGGTGCACGTGTCGCGGCTCGCTGCCCGCACAGTATGTCGCGTTCTCCTTGCAGTCCGCGGCTGCGAAGTCCACGCACTCCGCATGCACGTAGTACTCGCATACTGAACGAAATTTTGTAATTAATCAACTGGAAGCAGTTTTAGCGGACCCGCTTGGTCATTTAGCACTTGGGCCACAGAGTACCATCACATTTAGGTTCTACAAAATGGCATGTTACAATGAAGTGAAGCATGATCCGCACTGACAGATCAACAAAACAAGTAAGCATGCAATGTAAAGTTACTGGTGGTAGGACCACTTGTGAGTCCGCACGGGTAGGTACCACCACCTCGCCTATTTCTGCCGTGAAGCAGTAATGCGTTTCAGTTTGAAGGGTGGGGCAGCCGTTGTAACTATATCTGAGATCTTAGAATTCATATCTCAAGGTGGGTGACGGCATTTACGTTGTAGATGTCTATGGGCTCCGGCAACCACTTAGCACCATGTAAGCAATAAAGAAAAAAACGGGTTTTAAGAAACTAAACGTAAACATAAAACTAATTAGAATGTCGATCATTTTTCTTTTCACTCTTCGTGGCGTGAAGCGAAATGTTCCACAATAAGAGGGGGTTTTTTTTATTATAAAATTTTTTTTTTATATAAACTATTTAAAGACACTTACTCATACAATGTAAGGCTGGCAGTTCATCGAGACGTTTGCGACACACCGTACAGAACTTGCGCTTGTGATGTGTCTGCTCCGACCAGCAATGAGCCACCGGGTTCTGAATAAAATACAATTGTTTCATATTTTAATTAATTAATATATTTACTGATTGCATTTAATGTAAATCATTTTGAATAATATTTGCACGCCAACCTGGTAGATACACGCTGTTCTATAAAATTACTATCAACAACTTGGAAACCGTGTTTTAGCTAATAAAGTTTGATTTGATTTGAATGTTTAAATGCCTTACGAATTAGAGGTACGAGTAGCAATCTTCAAACGAATTGAAACCACTGCTGTTCGTTAGTGTCGTTAAAACTCGAGAGGGTAATTTTGGTCTTGAATTTTTGCACAAATAGCTGACCTGCTTACGAGCTGACCCGGCAGACTTCGTAGTGCCTCAATCGATAAATAAAAGACCTAAAATTTTGTATAAAATAAACTTAAAACAAACAAAAGGAATCCGTCCGACGGGGGACACATCAAAGGAAAAACAAAAATTGTTATTTTTATTTCATTTCGAGCATTTTCATATTTATCTACCTTTTAAACTTTTTCTGGACTTCCACGAATAATTCAAGACCAAAATTAGCCAAATCGGTCCAGCCGTTCTCGAGTTTTAACGAGACTAACGAACAGCAATTCATTTTTATATAGTTTTATATAGATTTGTGTGCTTTATTATGCTTTGGCTTCTTTGTGCTGTGCTGTATGCTTCCCTTCGTTTGTCACTAGGGGCGCTGTTCCAACTCCATACAAGTGTGAGTTAACTTTTACGCGGTCGAGAAGTTAAAAAACTCGATAACATAATCGAGTCCTGCTGTAACAAATTACCTTGATCAGGCTCGGCGCCACTCCACAGCATGGTGTTACCACTTGCCCCACGCATCGCTCGTGCACAATGAAGTTGCACACTGTAACAATAATCGGAAAGGTCAAATTATCTGTTGTTTAGGGACTTTTTGCAGTACTTTTTTTTTTTTTGCCTTTGTAGGCAGACGAGCGTACGGCCCACCTGATGGTAAGTGGTTACCGTCGCCCATGGACTTCAGCAATGCCAGGAGCAGTGCCAAGCCGCTGCCTACTGCTTAACACTCTCCACAAGCCTCGTTTGAAGAAGGACATGTCATAGCGCTCGGGAAACACCGTGGAGGGGAGCTCATTCAATAGCCGGATGGTACATGGCAAAAAAGACCTCTGGAAACCTGACCACAAATTACCGGTTTATTTATTTCTGTCTATTTGGTTCTTTTATATGTAGGTACATACTGTCCGAGCTTCACACAAATCTTACTGTATTGATTTTCATAAAACATTTCGACTAAAAGCTTATGAATGATTTTGAAAACCGGTAGGTATATATTTCGTGTCGCAGATACTGCAAACTGCGGCAGTAATATGAAAGTGAAGCCATATTTGATACAAGAAAGCGTATCTGAGAAAAGGTGACCTTCCATTTCAAGTAAAAAAACATAAATTAATTATTCCAAATGACGCGACTGGAGCCACGGATACAATTAGTTACATAATATTTATTAGAATCATATTTATTATTATTTGTTCATTAATTATTTGGTAAAATCTACCTAATTTATAACCTTTAAACATATTATTATCCTTAAAGTAAGCGACGATCAGAATACCAAATACTAAAAACCAAGGTTAAAAACGATCAGTTAATTTAATGATAATCAAAAATGTTTTCTTAATGCATGTTACACAACGTCACGTAAGGATATCGGCATTAAAACTAACAATACTATTTTCTCGCGAGGAGGGAAGACTTCGAACGCATCAAACACATTATCATCAAATATACTATCTAGTTTTCTAGATTTTTGAGAAATAACTATTGACTATATGTAGCAGCTATAGTTTGAGCTGAAACAATTGTTTTTTTTTTAAATCTCTTACTTGAATATCGTCGTTGTCAAACCAAAATTTGCTATGTGCAATTTTTACTTTTTGACCTTTTCGCCCTTTCAGCCCTATCTACCGTATAAAAAAAACTGTTATGTGGCTATAGCTTTAATATTTATCTATAGCTTTCATTTGATATAGTTCTTAAAGATTCACCTTCATATAAAATTTTATACGAAAATGATTTCACTCGTTAATTCAAAATAGTTTTTGCACATAGCAGATTTTGGTTTGACAGCGGCGATATTTAGAATCGTTTTAACCATTCGTTCTGGTTTGCATCAAGTCCTCTTAGGTTTGAGGTTAGGGTTTAATACCTAGAGAGTTCGGTTCCGAAATATAGGTATAATGTAGGTATAACTCATCTTGAGGTCATAGTAGTAGTCATTTTCCATTTTAACTGGCGCGCTTTCCTTACCGGACCCCGTAAACGTCAGAATCTACATATATTATATTGTATTAACTTGGCTGGTTCAGCGTACTTTTTGCTATAAGTAAATCTAGTTGAGGATCGCAGTACGCTGGTAAAGTGTTCAGAAAACGACGCATATTCGTTTGAAAATCTCTCAGTCGCGACACGCACAGGAAGAACTGCAGTGGCATTATTCTAGGTACCAAAACGGTGCTCTGTTTACAATCGATAGTTACAAATATTTGGTGTGCACAATTGCACATTCAACTGAACGATCGGGCATACGTATACAGAGTTATTGTGCCACATAAACGGCTTGAGCATGATTAAACTGGCGCAATACCGTGTTCCATTCCATGAAACTCCTGTTGCGTTTTCATTTTAAGACTTATTTTAAGGTTATGCTCGTATTTAACGTGTTTTAAATATCATTTTTCCTATTAGACGTCACAATCTGAATGCCTACACCCGCCTTATGAGGCCAAAGTCGCAGTTTTATTATTTAGTATTGGCTGTTCCACCCTTCAAACCAAAACGCATGTTGCTCCGTGGTAGAAAAGGCTTTTTATTGAATACAGGCAGGTTTTTTATTTAATATGCGACGCTATTTCTTTCTCGTGGAAGCCATTAGTGGACTTAAATAAGTATTTTATTAGAAAAATTGGTGGTAATTAACCGGCTGTTTTATCCCTACCTATTCACTGGCGTAAAGGACTATTCCAGCTACGCGCGGGCGGGTAGGTGAGCTCACGGGCTCGCACGGCACGAGAATTTGATAACACTAGTCCTAGCAAGGGCAGTGTTTCGCAGAATCTAATACTGGATCTTCTTATTTTTGTTTTGAGGTCTAAGGTATAGATCATATTTAGATTAGCTATTAAATGAAATCTTCTTCAAAACATAGTTCACAATTAATTGTTCTATAACAGTCACGAACGGCTCAGTAGGTACTATTTCTCCATTATTTGTCTATCGATTTTTTTTTTTTTGTTTTCATTCCTGTAGCTATTGACGAACTTTAATGTTACCATTAAAATTTTTGGAAACATTTAGTTTTTTATTTCCTTCAAAAGGCCAATAACAAAACAAATCAATGATTGTCATCAAATTTCGATCATTGTGTACCTACATCACTAGTGTATATAATTGAAAATGAAATGTTTTTTGTTGGTAATCACTTTATTAGATGGACTACGGCTCGACAGATTTAGCTATTTTGGGTCATCAAATGCTTGTAATAATGTCCAAATGAGGTTGTTTTTGTTTTTCAAACCATTGTACTTCATGGTTAGGTACCGAAAACTGAATTGACTGTTGCCATCTGTCGAATCAGTGGTTTTATTAAGGCCCATAGCAATTTTAAAAGTATAATTTGTAATACTGAACATCCAACTTAAGCTTGTAGTGTCATGAAGTATGGAATCAAATTTTTGGACATTCCCAATTTAAATCGTGTCTCTCACCATATGTGGAATGACAATACTTATGACACAAAAATTATTATATTGCCCTTTAATTGCTATGTTAGAGGTATTCGTCAATTAAATGGTTCATTCTTGTTATGCTTCAAAATAAATCAGTTCCAAATATATTTCCAAAATAAGAACTTTTAAGATTAAATTTGATAAGTATAATTGAAAACAAATTGTGTTATGTACCTCGTGCGCTTATTATTATTATACATTACGTTTATTATTATACTTATCGTTGTGTGCATTGGTTAAATACAAATTACATGTCTATCTCATATTTATATTGTAAATAATAACTGAGATGACGTTTCAGATTAAATTTAGAATGAAAATTTTATGGGCCCAGAAAAGACAGTTTTATTGTCCGGTAGCCATACCGTTCATATCATACTCGTGTCCCACCACCTGTACTACCATGCTACGATCGTTTGGTATCGATAATTTTAATATGAGGCAGGATTAGGATAATTAGTTGAGTGCAAATGTTATGGAAGTAGGAGTTGGTAATGAGAGAATGTCGCATACAGGTTTCAGATTATTAACGACACAAATTGAGAGACTAGCACCTGTGTGCTTAGTGCGAATTTTTTAACGTTCTCGCTAGCGTAAAAGTTAATTTTAATTTGTATAGAGATCCATCGTTTGTCTACGTTTGCCGCTAGGAGCGCTGTTCCAACTGCATACAAATTTCAGTTAACTTTTACGCAATCGATAACGTTAAAATACACGCACTAAGCACATTGGTCCGTGATTTTAGTTACTAAACTAATCATTAATTAGTTTAGCGCATGTTTTTAGATCGAATTTCGATTCGGATTTTTGCTTCGAAGCCATTAGAAATCGTTTGGCGAAACAAACGTATCTACCCAAGTGTTTAGTAAAAACCGAAACATGTTATTGGTCTTCCCGGAAATTATTTACGTTGTAAGGAAAATCGGAACGTTTCAGAGTATTTACACGTCGGCTTAGGCGAGTGATCTCATTGTATGTACAAATAAATTATTAATCTATGATACTGTTACGCGGCGTAGCAAATTCGGATGTTTCAGACAAATTCTTATTCGCTGATGAGAATTTCCCTGATATCAAGAATACGATTTTATTAGTTTAATGAAATTACTATACGTTACTCATTTCTTTTAGATTTAAACAAAAGTAACATTAAGATATGTACATAAATAGGGAAGTCATTGAATTAAAGATCGTTTTTTAGCATAGACAACAACAAGTCTTTATTGCCATCAGCAATATTAGTGACACAGTCTACTGAGCTGAGTTACACCTAATACTTAAATTATTATTTTTACTTAATCACAATTGTGATTAGCATAAGATAATTAGCAAGAGTCAAACACGCCATATTTGATAAGCGATACTATAAAAAAAAATTGTAATTGTCAACTGAAGATCTTGTGGCATGAATCCTTTGAAAGTAGCTAGGTACCTCACGCGAATAATTGTGCATAAGTGAATCTCTACACTCTTTTATTGTACGTAATTATTGACATTGTCATTGCTAATTTATTTGAGAACGAAATTAGTTCGAAGCTTTCAATTAATTCGTGACTAGGCTTTTGCAGGAATAAAATGGAATCGCGTTAGATTCTATTTTATTGTGTTCTGAAAATGATGTTTTTGTTTAAGTTGCGCTAATTGTCGTAATAATAGACACACGCAGTAAATGCTTTGACGATTGAATATTTGTAAATAATAATTATTTTGTGCTCATAGTTCAGACGGTTACGGGAAACTAAACACAGTCTAACATTTACAATGAAAAGGCTTTTTGGAAAGGTTATAAACTGATAGGCAGCGGCTTGGCTCTGCCCCTGGCATTGCTGAAGTCCATGGACGACGGTAACCACTCACCATCATGTGAGCCGTATGCTCGTCTGCCTACAAGGGCAATAAAAATAATAATTACAAATTGAAAAAAAAAGTATCGAAACAAATTTACATCAAGCATCTCGCAATCCCGAAAAAGTATCTAAATTAATGTGTTTTCTGTTTTCGTATTCTCAATGCAATTATTATGAATTCATCTCAGTAATTTGAAGAGTAGGTTCGGTCGTTTGGAGTTCTCCGCGGCGTGAGTCGATAAAGACGCGCA